CTTAATGATCTTAATGATGAACACGTTGTCATATTCTGAATGAATGCAATTGTCCAAAGTGATTGTACCAGGAAAGGTTAAAAAATGCCAAAAAAAAAAATTAAAAAAAAAAAACAAACCCAAAAGAACATTTCTAGCATATGAGAAATCTACCTATTTGCGTTTTGTGTTCTTACCCGATCTATCAAGCCGTGGTTCACGTGTTTTCTATTTCTGTACAATCAAGTGATCGTAACAAGTCTTCTTAACAACTTGCTTTACAACAAATAAACACATTTAGTACGTAAATCGTAAAGCGTATTTTATCATGTAAATCTGGCCATCCATCTTTGTAAGAAATAAACACACTTTATCCTTCCATTCCTTGAATGTTGTCATGTAAATCAGGTCATAGTATATATTTACACATTACACCTCATCACTTTACTTACCGAGTCGGTTTTCATTGTTGAATAGTTTCTTCTCCATTCGGGTCGGATCTTCATCACGTGCAAGAGGAGGAGTGGTGTTTCCAGTGGCCGAAATAATTGTCGTAAGTAAATATAACTTACCATCTTACCTCTTACCTTGTTATCGTGGGTCAATTATCATTATCGTTCTGTATGATTGTATAAAGTATTTTAATGAATGATTGCCAAGGTTTAATGTAAGTGAGACATCTTTAGTAAACAACCTGTAAAATTACAACACACCTCTTCATCTCTATGTTTGTGTTCACTTTTTACAGCACGAATACTACGGCGAAGGTGATGGTGCTTTTCCTAATGACATTGCACTTCTCAAGTTTAACGAATCCATCACTGGTCCTGGGGCCGCATCATTGGTCAAATTACCAGACAACGACTCCAAAAACAAATTCGCTCCTCATCGCTGCGACATCACTGGATGGGGATATACAGTATATGGTGTAGGTAAGTATGCCCCCTTTTTGGTAACAGTATGCAAACTAACAGCATTGAGAACAGCAGAGTATAACGTATCCACTGTACTATAACGAGGGTACACAGTAACTCAATTGTCAGTCGAGTACACCATATATATTTTGTATGATAAGGAAATAGCGGAAATTCGGATATCGAAAGTAATTTTCCTTTGTTTAAATCATAAGCTTGAGAGTTAAGCTCTGCGAACCACTAAGAAACATCAATCTGATTACGAACTGATGGCGGTAAAATATCGTAATCATAGCCCAATATTCTGTAAAACTGTACCTTTTAAGTATTAAGAGCTAGATACAGTAGAGTCAAACAACGAAATTAAATGTACCATACAGCTGTTTTGTCCTTCTAGGACTTGTCAGTGATGTTTAAGGCCTAAATGTTGAAGCCTCGTAGGTACTAAAAATATCCAAAGTAAACGAAAGATAAGTCAAAATATACACAGGGAGGTGCAGCAGCCCCATAATCAAATAAATTCATAACATTGAACATTGTAGCTTTATTTACTGAGTGGAGTAGTCACGTTCATATGCATTTGCAAAGTTTTCAATAAATACAGCTGAATATATAATTGTAATATATCTATATTCAGATTCTTCTGCACCACCCGTTTATCTCGATTTTTATTTGTTTATGTGTCGCGATTGATTCGATATTCAAAGGCATTTCCCTTTATCACGATTTCCGGCCAGACTGTCGTCAACTGCCTTATAATACAGGGTTTGAAAAGATGCAGGTTGTCATAACTGTCGTCATAGTGATCTCCTTGTACGGTTTGAAACAGGGCGTATTTGATGCTCGTTAGTCTCATTTTAAAACATAACATTGCGTTCTTGGATTGACCAAGATTAACATAGCGGATTCGCCGATAAAAACAGAAGAAGCTTACTCTTCCGGGACACCTGGTCTTTCCCTCATGGTGTTTTTTTCAGGAGTCTGCATGTAAATCTTCCTTTTGATCATATTTTGCCCTTGTTTTATTAAATATGAATTTATTTTCACGTTGGTATTTTTCATATATTCTATATAGATGAAAATCACTTTTCGGAATGAGCTCAACAGTATAATTTTATCACTAACAGTTCTTCCTGAAGTCCTGCAACAAGCTAAAATGACCGTAATGAAGGAAAAGTGGTGTGTTGACGTGTTTGGGGAAGATATCATTGCCGATGGTCATGTATGCATTTTATCGGATGATTCTTCCTCCTGTAATGTAAGTATACTAGGTAATCCATCGATATAACCACACACTTATTCTCAGTATCACGATTTCCGTGCAAGCTATCGATACCTGACAGATCCTTCTACAATATTTAGTGTCGAGAGATACAGCTTGATAAAGATAACGAGGAAGTCTTATGGTTTTCACAATGATTTCATCAGGGAATATTCCTGATACTTAGATATATGTGTTCCATACTCGTTAATTTAATTGGCGGTTCCGTTCTTTACATCTGGTAACGTTACATAATTTACTTTGTGTGACTTAGTATTAAGTTTGTATTTTGCAGGGTTCTCCGTGAAATCTTTCTTCTGTTAATATTCCGCCATCATGTTGAGTATAGATTCTGTTTGCGTTTTCTCTGCCGCATAGGGAAAAGCTGAAGATTTGCGCAAAATATATATATACTTTTTGTTTTACAAATTAGGGCAATGATGAATTTGCACACCCAAAATAATTACTTTAACATGGACAACATTCAGAAAATGCAGAGGTTATAGAATTATTGTGATAATTCACGATTAAAATATATGAGAGCCGCTTTATAACATATCGTGAAGGGTAGACGTATTGTGCGATTACAACATAAAGTGAACATTTTTCTCGACTATGCATACTGTGGTAAATGTAACATACTGTCACTTATCATCTCTGAAACGATTTGCCAATTTACCGAAAGCTGTCAGCCCTAAATTCAATTAGTGACATATGTTTCGTTTAAAAAAATGAGGTATATCCCTGCCGAATATCTACCAGCATATTATCTATAACTTACCAATAAAAAGTTAAAACAAAAATAACAACGGTTCCTTACGAACAACAAATGAATAACGGCGTGATGAAGATATGGATAAAGATGCATATTTTGCCTGCATCCATTATTGAACTGAAAGCTTAGGACAGTTGAGTTTGTAATAAATATTTTTGATTTACTGTAATAAACTGCCACACAGTAATGTTTATGATAACACAGGTGAAATATTCGTTTATGTAAATTGCATAAATGCTGTTAAGCATACAAATAACAATTAAGTTGTCTTAGTTAAGTTCTCTGTACCGCATCAGTTACCCAGTATAGAGTGCATGATTATGTTTGATCAGGGCGATAGCGGTGGACCATTGACCTGTGGGGACACCTTAGTCGGAATAACGTCATTCGGTTATATTGGATGTCCTCCCATGTATCCTTCAGTGTACACCCGAGTCACTCATTACCGGCAATGGATCAAAGACAACTCCGGCATTTAAGGCCCAACGGTCATTCTGTACACCATGGGTGCAATTTGAAAAAAAGTCGTCTTATTGATTTATCGATTGATTGAATTCCAATAAAATTAATCATTACGGTAAAAACATTTTCGTCATTTTTCAACATTTTTCTGCTAGTCAAACAGCGAATAAAATAAAGGTTATTAAACCATTTCACCTGAACCCTATCTGTATCTTTATAATCTATACGTAATGCACGATTTGTATATATGTTAATTTCATAATGTGCAAAGTAATCAAATCGCTATTTATGCATATATGAAATACCTTCATGAAATCTTACAACCAGTTACACGCGTGCTGCACATTTAATGCGGGAGTAAGTATATATTCCATGTTTACTTTAGTAACCCTTTATTTCCATATGCAATCACACACTCTCTGAATCTGCGTGATCCATTCGCTCGTAAAATGAAAATTATACATTAAATCCATAATTATTGTTAAATTTCCTATTTGTACAGACTTTGTAATTAGATAATAATGGTAAACAGGAGATCCAAGAGTATCTTGGTACACATCATTGTAGAAGCTTAATTAATTCCTTATCACTTGTGTCTTTTTCTTCTCCTCTTTCCTATTTTGCCAACAGTGGTATATGTACAACAAGGGGACCTACAAATTTGAAAACGATCCGTCCACAGATCCTCATAAGATATAGTAATAACCAATAACAGTCGTAATCTTAGATTAGAAAAATATTCATTCAGTACGTGCATGTACTTCTCAGAAAATAGTGATAACAATTTTCCATAGCAAAAATTCGAGATGGCCACCTGTATGTCTTTTTTTCGCAAATCGGTCCCTAACTAAAAACGACAAAAGTAGGGACATTGACTAACTTCATGAAAATCCTTTCCCAGGAATGGTGATTACTAACGTTTCATTGTCAAAATCCAAAGCTGAAAACAAGGGACAAATGGGACATTCGTATGAAATTTGAGAAATACTCATCCAGTACTTCTCAGGAAATTGCGATAACAGATTTTCATAGTCAAGATCCAAGATGACAGCCATTTTTCTATCAAAGCTAGGGTTTCAAAATTGAGAAATATCCATTCGGGCCATTTAAGACACAGCTATGATAATTATTGTAAAGGGACATGAGGTGGATGGACGGACCACGGGCGATTGACGGACCACGGAAGCAAGGTGATCTGAACAGCCGGCAATCTGATGATAGCGAGCTAACCATGTACACACAGTAAAATTCTCATCTGCATTGAATACATAACCATTATAAATTCACTTATTTTTCAGCAAGCGTTAATGGTGTACAATTGTTATAAATGTGCAAATGTCGTGCATATCACTGTAATATCAGTTCCTGTACAAAGTAATTGTGCAGTTCGCATTCGCTTAAGAGCAATTTCAGCATTCATGTTTCCTGAAGTAAACAGTATTGTACAAGCAGAAGTGCAAACATTTCGTAGAACCAAACGCATATATAACTCGATTACGTACTAAAATTTACAATACGTGTACACTTGTATCATATGTACATTATACAAAGTATCAGACCACTCACTCCATAAAATACTTGTATATACATGACGATATTGGCCAGTTGATTATAACCGTTCACTGGCAGCCCTCTCTCTGTCATTTCTATATCCGAGGTTATCGAACACGGCCTGGTCGTCTTCGGTAATCGACTCAAGATTCACACTGTTAGACTTGGACGAATCTTCACGTATGTACGGAATTTTATTTTTTCGTTTTTGTCTACAAATAAAGTAATAACAAATATAGAAAAAGTATACTATATGACACGCAATGATATATATTGTACTGTATAACAATGCCTCAGTGGATTTGCCACAATCCAGTTATGTTTTATCTTAATTGACTATTTGTTTGACAAACTGGGCGATCGGTTTTGAATTCGAACAGAGATTTTGGTTTTTACATAATGTTGTTGTTCTGTCTTCGGTTCATAGGATGAAAAAGCAAAATATCAGTAGGATGATTTTTTCAAGATAGATTAGTATGTACGATGCGATATGAAAATGAATGACACACCGATTAATTAGTCAATAAGGAGTGCTTACCTTCTTTTTATAATGATGACGGAAGCAATGATGATGGCTAGAGCTAGGAATGCTGACACTGTCGCAATCACAACAGTGTGTCCGGCAGCACGTTTCTGAAGACAATTGATGGTTATTGGAAAAGATACCATATGAGTTAATACTAATGGTCCCTATCATGTAAGTGACCTTCACTGTTTCACACGGATATCTATAGTTGCCATCACTGGATCGAATTTATTTTCATAATGCAAACGACATATGGCAATGTGTTTCATACTCCCGGTAACACTAAATATTTGGTGTCGAAATTATCGCCCGTTTATGATATATATGTTGCAACCACATAAGGTTTGTTTTATTCGTGTAAGTCTTTGTGATTCATCAGATCTTTTGTACTTCCAACACGTTTTCATACTATCCATAGTAGCACATAAAAGAAGTTCCTAAATATCATTCTCATTTTCCACTATCTTTCTTAATTATTGCGTTATTCTTAAGATAACAAGTTTTTTGCCACTTCACTACTTACTTTAGGACTGGCAGAGTTTGCGTTCGAGTTGCCAAGTTTGTGATATTTTCGTACATGTAATGTTGACAAAACTTTGTTGATGGTTGCTTCCAGCGTTGCGTGGGTAACTGGAGAGCTTTTCGATGTTACAATGATCGTCATGTTAGTAAAAGTTATGCTGAAAGTGAAATCAGTTTTCTTAGTATAATTAGAGATATGTCATCTAGAAAATTATACCATATGAAGTATTTATAAAAAAACTAGATACACTCATTGTATCACTGCCATATATAAGCGCCTAGTGAAATATGCTCAGAGAAAAGAGAGCTGAACAGGTATCATCTATGACAACATTCAACGACAAAGTGTAAATAAATAGAACAATATAGAAACCAAGACACTCGAGGACGCAGTCTTTACCTCATCAAACCAACACATTTTCTCACGTGATTTCATTCAATTCAAGATTTCAATATTAAATGGGAAATTGTTTCACATCACCTGTATTACCGAACTCAATATCGAAGAAAAAGTAAGATCTAAAGATTGTACATATGGGTGCATAGTGCATAGTGCATAGATGTCTGTAGTCTTGTTATACATAGGTCTGTAGACTCATGGGTCTGTGCACTTGTACATAGCACTGTACATGGGACTGTACACTTGTAAATAAGTCTGTAGACACATGGGTATGTACACGTGTAGATAGGGCTGTAGACACATGGGTCTGTACACTTGTACATAGTGCTGTAGACACATGGGCCTGTACACTTGTACATAAGGCTGTAGACACATGGGCCTGTACACTTGTACATAGTGCTTTAGACACATAGGTCTGTATACTTGTAAATAAGTATGTAGACACATTGGCTTGTACACTTGTACATAGGGCTGTAAACACATGGGTCTGCACACTTGTACATGGGGCCGTAGACTTGTACGATATCTTTTCATTGAAAAATGAAGGCATATACGATTAATGGGAAATTAAGCCCGAAACAGTAAAAAAAGGATTTGCCTGGGCTGATATCAATTTGATATTTTAGAGTATAGTATAAATACGTTTGCCCGATTATTTTTTATTTGATTTTTCAGTGCATCATACTTGTTCATAAGACCATTGTTAGTCGCATGTTTTCTCTTTCTTAGTGGATGCAATTTCTCTCAATTTGCAAAAAATAAATAAATAAATCAACACAATAAATTTGAATATGTTCAAAGTAAGTATTGGTAGATTTTTTTAACGATGTTGATAATTATCTTTTGTTCGAATACATCCTTGGTAACATATATATTTCAGACTTATTAAAGTTTTGTCAAACATTTGGTTGTCGGAGTCTTTTCGCGTCGGAATTCGATCAGCAGTATTTATGTTGAAGAAGGTATGTAGTTTACCTGTTGCTGCCTTGAAATGATGCTGATGAAACTCTGACTGTCATCGAAGGCATTCCTAGAAGCTGTAGCACGTGTTTCCGCAATATATTTACCTCACCCGATACATTTCCTTGCAACTGGACACTGACAGAGGTGGTAGATATATTCACTGGAAGAAAGAGTCTTATATGTACATACTTGTTTGTATTAATACCTAAACATTACAAACATCGACTGTTTAATTAATGTCAATGGTATGTAAAGTAAATATTAGGAACTTGGTATGTGGATATCGTCCTCTACATAATATAACAGGGAAAAGGACGGAATCGTCGCATGTCAATCGTCAAACAACCGATCGAGATAAGGAGATAAGGAGACACTTATGTTTCTTAACGGTAAGCGTTACTCTTCAATAAAAATCAGTAGACATCCTCAACAGTAATTACATATCAGTTGACGGTGATAATGCTGTTATAGGGACCGTGGTTTTGCTGGTAGGTAGAACACTGACCGGTAAAGCCGTGATGGAATCAAGAAAACGATGTAAAAGGTAAAATGAAATAGGCGCTGCCTAAAAGCGAGCGCAAGTTGGTCAACAAGATGCACATTTTGAACAGCCTGATCCATGTCTTCTTCTTCTTCTAGAAAACAAAGTATCATCATGATCAGGCGGTGGTTTGGTGGCAAAGTTGTAACACACTTGTCTTTCACCTAGCCGTCCGGGGTTCAATTACCCGACGGGATACATGTTTCCCCCCAAAGTTAGACCCTTCGCGTGATTTTTATAAGTTGAAATAACAAAGTTTCCATATGCAAGTAAGTCATGCACATATACTCATACACCTAGAAGGCAGACAAAGAAGAACAAAAGACGACAAAATAACGCAAAAACCTGGCATTTTCCCTGCGCCCAGCTGTTGAAAAGAAAGACAGACAATTCATATATATATATGTATATATATATGCTAATATTGCAACAAGTTTAATTTCTAATTATTCCATACAAAGTATTGAAATTGAGAACTTCTGCTAAAGTACTTGTTTGATGCCTGAACAAAGTTTTGAGTAACTGGTAATAACCTTGAATGGTTTAAGAGAAGTGATCTGAAAAAAACTTAACTTTCTAATTTGGCCTATCTGTTTCCATGGTAACAGAAAAAAACATTTAAATGTTGAACTTCCCCAATAGCAAATGATACTACTATCCTAATAAGTGTAAAACGTTTTGAGCAATTATCTCGAATGGTTTTAGAGCATAGGGCCAACTGAAATTTGTGATGAGGGTCATCGGTTTCAATGGTAACAGTAAATGTATTAATAAAGTCTTTGACAACATAGCTAGACTTTAAAAATTGATTTGAAAAAGTCTTCAAAATGAATGTACAAGAGTTTCCCTTTCAGAGTTACAGATATTGCAGAGAGGACTATCTATCGTCTTTGCTTTAATGAAGAAAGGAGTTTTTAGTCAAAATATGGTGACAGACAAAGTAGTTTCAATCGGATTTGTAAAGGCGGTGGTTATATGTTTAACAAGTTTTCATGAATGTTCTCCACCACCGTTTTCTTTTCTCTTTGCTATTGAAGTTTTCGTTCTGTTAATTAACAAATCATAAAATGCTTTAGAACCTTCAGTTTTTTAAACAATGTTGACTTGTCTTGATAGCAACAACAACAACAACAAAAAACACTCACCACTAATAGTTATCTTATCATCGTGCCTTAAAAGTTTCTGCTGGAAAATTTCTAAACATTCAAATACTTGATCATAATCAATTTCAGTTATCAAAATAATATCAACATCTTGCTGAATTGATATAGTTAGGCGGCGGGAGAGGTTTTTCGCCAAATCGGGACCTTTCGACTGCTTCCGTGTAAGAGACGATGTTTTACGGAAAATGACGAAAGTTCACGAAGGTTATATCGGAAAACTTTTAGTATGATTTCATTTCCACAGGAGAGCTTTAAACGATATTTTGTCGGTAAAAATAATTTTAATCCAGTTAATAGGTTGGCAGTTTTCATTGCGTGCTGCGGTAAGTGTATTGTGGGTAATGTAGTTCTAGCCACACTTTCGTTTAAAATTGATAAAGTTGAATAACCAGACACACAATACCATAAAGCGCTCGCAGGAGAGATCATCACCATTGAATTCGTTCATATATTAAAGTAAGTTTACTTCTGATTACCTAATCAGAGACACCGTTAGTTGCGAAACGTCAGTAACGATTCAAGTGAAGACAACAATTTTCAATTATCAAATACTTCTTGACAAATATTGTGGTCGTTGCTTACGAATACGTACCAGATGTTGTCGGTAAGGTAGGTGCAATGCTCGTGAACCCGATAGCTGACGTACTGGTCAACAGAACTTCGACCGTGGATGCTGCTGAAGATAAATGCAACGATCAAAAATCATTTTAATCCAGTTGCTTTGAAAATGCTTATACTTGTCTTCAATGGAAATCATCCAATATAATAAGAATGGAAGCTATTGAATCAGAGGGTATTGCACCGCCCAACCTATATAGACTTCTTCAGTCGTCTCCTAGAATTCAACTTTTTAGGTCTCTAGCATCAAAGGCGAATCAAAGAAGAATGAAACATTGGCATGGTGCAATTTAATTCATTATTTGTCTATACCGTATCAAATTTTCACAGAAAAGTGCTATTCTTTTGTGTGTCGTTTGTTCTCAATTGTAAGTACAACTGAAGTTGTCTTGATTTGTATGCATTAAAAGCAGGTAGCTGTCAGTACTTGTAATCACATACTTGTAATCATATATTCAATAATTACATGATTCTAGATATCATTCCCTGATATTGTGAACGACACATTGAGATTTAATCTATCTTAAGTACAATCTTATTAAGTGCAATACACTAGACATATCTTCATATAACGTTTACAGACTAGAATACGTCGTTATTAGCAAACTCAATACTGGAATACGATAGTGTTGTATCACCTCGGTTCCCAGAATTCTTGGGTGGTGCTTCTGTTCGATTAGGTAAAATACTCGCCACTATATCAGTCTTTGAAAATAATGTAAAAAATATCAATTGGTTATAATGTCACTACAGTATCAGTCGTTATTTCTTCAGTTTTCATTCCTCTGACATATAATCAACGTAATCAGATCGAAAATGTTATCATAAAGATATAAAAATCAGGCATAAACGATTTTATCATATACGGCTTGAAAAAAAAAATTTGAAAAGAGTTTCATTAAATCTGGTATGAAATGAAATCAAGTTATAGTTATATTTTATCACATAAAGTAGAAAAAAATACATTTTGAAACGTTTTAAGGTAAAAATGAGTGGAAGGAATCACAATCGATTTCTAATTGGTGCAGCCATTGAAATAAGTTCTTAATGAGTATTGACACTTTAGTACATTATGTCATTGCGTGTTGACAAGGCAGTATATTACGTCATTGTGTATTGACACTTTAGTACATTATGTCATTGCGTGTTGACAAGGCAGTATATTACGTCATTGTGTATTGACACTTTAGTACATTATGTCATTGCGTGTTGACAAGGTAGTATATTACGTCATTGTGTATTGACACTTTGGTACATTATGTCATTGCGTGTTGACAAGGCAGTATATTACGTCATTGTGTATTGACACTTTAGTACATTATGTCATTGCGTGTTGACAAGGTAGTATATTACGTCATTCTGTATTGACACTTTAGTACATTATGTCATTGCGTGTTGACAAGGCAGTATATTACGTCATTGTGTATTGACACTTTAGTACATTATGTCATTGCGTGTTGACAAGGCAGTATATTACGTCATTGTGTATTGACGTTGTGGTATGATATGTCGTCGTGTCTTGATGAGGGACAAATTTTGTTGACGTGAGTTGACAATGTGTTACTTTTTTTCGTCCTGGGTCCTGGGAATCTCGCCAAGTGAACAGGCATTGTATATTTGAGTCGCGGTCTCCTTCCTTGTAGTAATTAGTGATTACCTATCTGAACAACATTCGAAAAAACGTGCAACAAGTCATCTAGGTAACCAAGGTAAGGTGTCTTTCCCAATGACACGTCTGCACAGACCAGTCCGTTTCTCAGCTTTCCGTGAACCACAAACTGCCAAAGGTAAGGAGTATCAAACTACATGTCCACACTTGGAATCTTCACATGAAGTTATGTAGGTGAACTAGTCTGAATTATTCTTACATTCTATCGACCATTTTATATCGGTCCTGATGAACGCCAGAGCTCTGGCCCTATATAAAGCGAGGGATATAAGCGACCCGTGCCTGGGTCTGCATTCAAACAATAAATGTGAAAGGAAAGCATCATTTTCACACGGTGTCGCACATGGATCAAAAGGTCTGTTCTTAATCTAATAGATGATACCAATGACATGTTTCAAAGTTTACTGAAAACACATATTTTTAAATATTTTTCCTTGTATATACCCATATTTTGCTGGAAATTAGGACAGGAACTAAACCATGTGTCTTAACGAAATCCTGCGATACCCAAGGTATTTCTCAAAATGTTCTGACGTAAATTATCACAAAAATAAACCGCACAAATATAAATACGCTCTCGGTGTTCTTAGATAACATTCGCTGTAATTTTTAATGTATTATTTCGTAATCAAAATTTTGAAATATGTCTTCATCTTTTGTACAAATGGCCGAGAAGTAAGATGAAAAACGGAGAGCAAAACATATTTGTTTACATTATTTTCTTGAACGTTTGCACATACGCAAGAAGAGGCGAGACTATAGACATGGCTATCAAAAACACATTATGACTAAAAAAAGAGCCAATGAGTAAATGTGCATTTAGTTTTATAAAGGGCCGGAATTCTGACGTTCCTCGACCCCAGACCGATATAAACTCGGTAGAACGTCAGAATAATTCACTTGTTATACCAACTAACCCATGCGCCCAGTTTTGTCGCTGTCAATTTATACTGTTGTATATTTTGTTATTGTGTTTTGACAGTGTGTTAACGCTGTGATATGTTCTTATGTGTATGTGTAATCATGTGTTGACGGTGCTTGATGTAATTATGCGTTGACGCGTGTGGTATTTAATTATATGTTGATGTGATATGTGTTGACGGTGTCATGTAATTATGCGTTGACGCTGTGATAAGTAATCATGTGTTGATTGTGTACTATGTAATTATGTGTTGATGCCTGTGGTATCTAATTATATGTTGGTGTTGTGATATTCAAATATGCGTTGACGCTGTGATGTGTAATTATGTGTTGACGGTGTCATATCTAATTATGCGTTGACGCTGTGATGTGTAATCATGTGTTGACGGTGTGGTATATTTTGTCATTGTTTCTATCGTTGTATTTCATTGGTTACTAGTTACTATTAAGTTTCTTTATACTAATAATAAGTAACAAAACTTGAAAGTAGATAAATAATACATTCGATTTATCATAAGTGTTCATAGTCTTCATTGCTGACATAGGACATTGAAGAGACATTGCTTTCATACTGCCTACTATAAAGGTACCAATTATAAAAACGTGTCTCTATCTATCCAATTAGTACATTTTATTGTGCTGTACCATTGCCTCTAGATGACTTCATTTAAAAGTGTTACTGTAATTATTCTTACCTGATTGTGTGTGTTCAATGACAGACTCTGTGACAAACGGATGTATGACGATAGTGCTCTGGGATCTGGAGTATTTCCAAGATTTTGTGTCTCTTGGTGCGTATTCGGTGGACAAACACGGTGAAACAGTGATAGGAACTTTTGTTTGGAAACTAGTATGTAGCTGTTGTGACATGTGAAGAGTTGGATTCCCGGTTGAGTATAGGAACGACGTTTGTCCTCCATTGATGGTGTAAGATGGAATGATCAGCGCACTTGCACAGTGTACTCCGGTATATCCTTTGTCGCAAAGACAGCTATAACCATTCCCATGATTAACACAAGTTCCTTGGTGACAGGGATTGGTAGTGCACTCCATGATCTCATTTTCACATACTTCCCCTGTGAATCCTAAGTGACATGTACATGTGAATCCGTTGATAACATCTGTACAGGTACCGTGGTGACAGGGGTTAAACATGCATTCATTAACATCGGTGTCGCATCTTTCCCCAGTATAGCCTGGGTCGCAATTGCAGCGATAGTCATTGACGAGATCTACACAAAATCCATTCATACAAGCACCAAAATAACAGTCGTCTATGTTAATTTCACAAAACTGACCTGTGAATCCTTCGATGCAGTTGCATACAAATCCATTTACAATATCAGTACAATTTCCATTATCACAGAGTCCTGATTCACATTCGTTAATGTCTTGGGAACAATCTTTCCCCGTGTACCCCTTATTACAGTTACATTCGTAACTATTCACGAGATCTATACACTCACCAGCATTACACGAAACGAAGATGCAATCATCTATATTTTGATCACAGACCTGACCTGTATATCCAAGGTCACAACTACAGGAGAAGCCACCGACATGATCCGTGCAGTTTCCATTCTTGCAGGGATCTCTGCTGCAACCATCCGTTCTCTTGTCACACTGCATTCCCGTGAACCCTACATCACAACTACATTGAAAACCGTTTTCATCTGGTGTACATTTGCCGTTGTAACAAGGGTTCGCATTACATCCCTTTATCACGGTTTCACATTGACTTCCGGTGAAGCCTATTTTGCAAGAACAAGTAAATTTATTTATGTTATCCGTACAGTTTCCATGGTAACATGGGCTAGATGCGCATTCGTTGATATCAGTATCACATCTTTCCCCAGTATAGCCAGGGTCGCAATTGCAACGATAGTCATTAACGAGATCTACACAAATTCCATTCATACAAGCACCAAAATAACAGTCTTCTATGTTAGTTTCACAATATTCCCCAGTATACCCAAGAATGCATTCACAATGTGAATTGATTCCATTTCCAGTACAATTACCATTTTTACACGGATTTTGACTGCATTTATCTTGCGGAGTTTCGCACCGCTTTCCTGTAAATTCGTCATTGCAAACACAGCTAAATCCATTTACAAGGTCCGTACAGTTGCCATGGATACAAGGGTTAGGGGTACAGTAATTTATATTGGTTTCGCAGTATTTACCTGTAAATCCAGTATAACAGCTACAACTAAATGCATTTACTAGGTCGGTACAGTTGCCATGCTTACACATGTTATATTCATCACATTCGTCGATATCAGTATCACAGCTTCCGCCGGTGAAGCCAGGGTAGCATTCACAACGATAATCATTGACAAGATCTATGCAATCCCCGTGTACACATGCATCAAGATAACAATTATCCTCATTAGTTTCACAAAACTTTCCAATAAAACCTAAAGTGCATTCACAATTCGCTTTTTTATCCTTTTCATAACAAGTTCCATTTTTACAAGGATTTGGATCACAATAATTAATGAGAGAGTCACAGAGCTTTCCTGTATAGCCAACATCACAGATACAACTAAATCCAACGGTGTCTAAAGCACAGCTTCCATAGTGACAGGGATTAGGAACACAGATGTCTACAAAGGTATCACAAGTTTTACCTGTATAGTCTGCTTCACAGTTACAACTAAATCCAGTTTTATCCTCAGTACAGCTGCCATACTTACATGGGTTAGGTTTGCAGACGTTGATATTGGTTTCACATTCTGTACCTGTAAACCCTGTATCACAAGTACAGCTAAATCCATTAACTTGGTCCGTACAGTTGCCATGGATACAAGGGTTAGGGGTACAGTAATTTATATTGGTTTCGCAGTATTTACCTGTAAATCCAGTATAACAGCTGCAACTAAATGCATTTACTAGGTCGGTACAGTTGCCATGCTCACACATGTTATATTCATCACATTCGTCGATATCAGTATCACAGCTTCCGCCGGTGAAGCCAGGGTAGCATTCACAACGATAATCATTGACAAGATCTATGCAATCCCCATGTACACATGCATCAAGATAACAATTATCCTCATTAGTTTCACAAAACTTTCCAATAAAACCTGAAGTGCATTCACAATTCGCTTTTTTATCCTTTTCATAACAAGTTCCATTTTTACAAGGATTTGGATTACAATAATTAATGAGAGAGTCACAGAGCTTTCCTGTATAGCCAACATCACAGATACAACTAAATCCAACGGTGTCTAAAGCACAGCTTCCATAGTGACAGGGATTAGGAACACAGATGTCTACAAAGGTATCACAAGTTTTACCTGTATAGTCTGCTTCACAGTTACAACTAAATCCAGTTTTATCCTCAGTACAGCTGCCATACTTACATGGGTTAGGTTTGCAGACGTTGATATTGGTTTCACATTCTGTACCTGTAAACCCTGTATCACAAGTACAGCTAAATCCATTAACTTGGTCGGTACATTTCCCATGTAGACAGGGGTTAGGTTTACAGTCGTCTATATTTGATGAACAGTTGTGTCCTGTGTAACCGACTGTGCACTTACATTGGTAGCCATTCACGAGGTCGGTACAGGTTCCATGTTGACAGGGGTTAGGATCACAGTCGTCTATGTTTGATGAACAGTTGTGTCCAGTGTAACCAGCTGTACATGTACATTGGTAGCCATTTATGAGGTCGGTACAGGTTCCATGTTGACATGGGTTAGGATCACAGTCGTCTATGTTTGATGAACAGTTGTGTCCAGTGTAACCAGCTGTACATGTACATTGGTAGCCATTTATGAGGTCGGTACAGGTTCCATGTTGACAGGGGTTAGGATCACAGTCGTCTATGTTTGATGAACAGTTGTGTCCTGTGTAACCGGCTGTACACTTACATTGGTAGCCATTAACGAGGTCGGTACAGGTTCCATGTTGACAGGGGTTAGGATCACAGTCGTCTATGTTTGATGAACAGTTGTGTCCTGTGTACCCGACTGTACACTTACATTGGTAGCCATTTATGAGGTCGGTACAGGTTCCATGTTGACAGGGGTTAGGATCACAGTCGTTTATGTTTGATGAACAGTTGTGTCCAGTGTAACCAGCTGTACATGTACATTGGTAGCCATTTATGAGGTCGGTACAGGTTCCATGTTGACATGGGTTAGGATCACAGTCGTCTATGTTTGATGAACAGTTGTGTCCTTTGTAGCCTTTTGTACACGTACATCGGTAGCCATTGATAAAGTCAGTACAGTTGCCATGGTTACAGGGGTTTGGGTTACAGTTGTCAATTTTTATATCACAGTCCTCTCCTTTGAACCCTAAATGTATTTAAACAAAAATAATACGTATTAGAATTAGGTTTTCATTGATTGCCTTGGGTGATCAAAGTTTTGTTTTACGAGTAATATTTATTCGATATATCATACATATAATGTATGTGAGGAAGCAGTTAATATTATATTCGGTTTTTTTTTTTTTTTTTTTTCCCCTTCTTTTTATTTTATTTTATTTTATTTTTTGTTTTTGTTTTTTTGGTAAATGAATATAATTGGTCAGGAGAACAGAGGTGTTGAGTTGCTATACCTGGTAAGATGCAGACTTTCGTTCCATTAACAGTACAGTGGGTGCGAGCGTCCTCCTCACAAAACTTAGTGCATGCAGGGCCATAATATTGAGGTAAGCACTTAACGCTTATTTCAAAAGTTAACCTGGAACAAACGTATTGATAATGCAATGCAAATATCAACATTATCATTGAAATTCAGAAATATTATCGTCTATAGCACGCCACTTCAGTAACACTTACTATAATGCAATCGGTTGATAAAAGTCTACATTCAAACAAGTGAAAACTTATGTAATTTGAACATGACCTAACCCTACCGTATACGGTAGAATACAAGTGCAACAAAAACTACAAAAAATTGCCAAACTTAAATTTAATGAAACGAGGGCAAATATGAACATAAGAAAAGATCACACAGACAGAAAATGTACAGGGAGAATAAGACCATGAGTTTCAATTTGTAGCGTAGATATGTTTTACATCACAGTTTATCGATATCAATCTCTGTTTTCTGTTTCATAAACACTGTTCCTTTATTATTTGTCCTTTTATTTTACCTATTACCTGAGTTTGCTGTTTCCTTTAACTTCCTCGGTTGTAGTTTTACTTGTTCCTACAGTACCCTGGAAGTTGTAGTGTACGTTTCCAAATTTGTCGTCATTACCCACAGAATCATAATCCAAAAAGTCAACTGACAACAAAAACGTCTGTAACAACGAGAACGAAAAATCGGTTCCAATGGATGTCATATTTATATTTATTGACAAATGAATATCATAAAAGATCATCTTAGCTGTATACGTTTGTGGACTTATGCCTACATGTTTCCGCGCTTTCTGTCCTCAGCATCACTGACTGTGTAGCGAGTTTGTCAGTTGCCGACATCTTGCGCGAAAATCGTGATATTTGAAACGGAACTTTAAATATGATATCAACTGTGATATGTAAACACCATAGTTTGGTAACATATTGCTTCTGCCATCCAGAAATGCAAAACACACATTAGGGGAGTTGAAATCGTAAATAATAACTCCACGATATGCTTATTAATCACAAGATCTAGATTTACGTCGTATATATGTGTAGTAATGTTTACGATTGAAATAATGTAACATGACGTCAAGAGATGACCAACGATTAAGTAACATTAGGTCGTCAAAGTTATAGAAACGTGTTTTTCCTTGTAACACTCGTACAACTATAAATTGATAACAGAACATGTTATAAAAAACGAACGCATCCCAAGACAGTATTTTTGTTCTTACCCCGTTCCATCTATCCATGTACCAGTACGAAGGATTATATTGTTGTGTCTTAGGTTGATCCTTAAAGAGAAAACCGTTAGTATTGTCCACTCTGCTGCTGCTGTCCTTCGTCGTACATATACTAAAACACCAAAAAAGAGATCAATGTCTTTCACTCTCATTTCCATTCTTGGATTCTGTTCCAAGACCCGCAGACTTGACCAAGATATGTTTACTTTATAAATATTTGTTTGATGAAACCCTTTCAAAGAATGAAGTCTCTAGAGCGCTGACAAACTTCGGTGTTACGTACGTACGGAACTAAATATAAAGAATCTCTGCTTACAACAAAATGAAAACTCTAAACGTGGTTTCTATCAACATATCTACAAAAGGAAGTGACTGATTTAGAATTTTCTGAATTCACCTTAATCCAGATGAACACTTACTTAGCAGTTGTGCAGAGTTGCATATAGACATCACACTTTGGGTTCATGAACACTACGCCCACATCACATTTCGTATTGCCTTTGTCTTCGTACTGCTTCAGGTCAACGATAACCAGCGCCCTGGAGGACTTAGTCTAAACAAAGTGCGACCAACTCTGAATATTCTGTTTTTCCCAGTGGTATATCATGGATTATAAAAAAGATACTACATTAATGAATAACGTTATCATCGGTCAGATAAGAATTTCTGGAAACATTTGTTAATAAATTCTCTAGTATTAATAATGCATTCTACAAGCTGTATACCAAAAACTAGTAATTCTAATTTGGGTCGACAAATATGGAACTTTAGACCTATGTAAACAAGGCAGTGCAAACTCCTTATGTTATGTAAAAAAGAGCTTATCTTGTTGCAATCGGTGGTAAAATAACAATCAAAATTACTCTGTCAGTACATAATAGGGCCAGTGTAGTTAATAACTATACAAATACGAACAAAGGGCGATAAAAATGAAAGAAATACTTTTCCTATATCCGTCCTGCATCGAACCTGTAAAAAATATATAAAAAATCATTGCAGTTTTGCATCTGTGAAAGTAGATGAATTGTTGTACATGAATATAATTCCTACAGGATTGTCCATATTCAGCAAGTAACTTATATTTTGTGTAGATCTGAAGTTTGATATCTTACATTAAACATTCATTTCTATTTACTAAAATACTCTGTAAACCCCTATACATAGGAAATTAAGTAGAAAGACGTATTTTTTCACGGGCATGAAAAGCAGTGCAATAATTCCTTAAAGAAGAAGTCGGTTATAGAATTATAAAATATGTAGTCAGTTCATAATACAAATCTCATCACTGTTTATTCAATAACAATTTGGGAAATGACAAAAAATTTCTTTGTACATTTCTATATATACTCGGCGAGATGAGGGCGGCCGAACAACTCGTTCTTGTAACGATTCCATTCTTTGTTATCTTACAATAGCCATACTTCATTCCAATTTAAACACAGTACCCCAGTCGAGGCATAATGCTATATATATAACCATACCTTGACTGTGCCATATCAAAATGTATACGTATATAGGATGTAGATATGAGATTAAACATACACATGTAAACGTGTAATATGACGGTATATGCTGTGTAAAGGACACTGCAATACTTTTTGTCCATCAAGAATTGTACAACACTTCTTATGCTTCGAGTCTGATGTAACATAAAGCCTACAACAAAACAAATTATATTGTGAAGAAGAAATGGTATATCATTAACACAGGATGTACTACGTTAAAATGTAAATCAGCTTGCTACCTTACCTCAACAGATAGTAATAATAGTTGTATTATGAGTAATTGTGTCCAGAGGGAGGGATGTTGGAGAGATCTACCCATCTCTTCTGTATTTACATGTCTCCGTCTTTCTGTTGTTATTGTAGTATCCTATCTTTCGTACCCGATTACATGGACTGTGTACGAACTTCGAGATAAAGAGCACGCTGATAGGACGATTAGTGACGTGATCAATCAAGCAAGAGGACAGTATATAGAAATAAAAAGCCTCTGTTACCTCACATGTCATCACTACAATCTTCGCCATTATATTTCAGTAAATCTATGTATATTAAAGTGTTTGTTCGCTCATAACCATCAAATGAAAAAGGAAAATTAAGTGAGAAGAAATTGCCTAATAAGACCCTTATTTCGAGACGACATGATATCTTGTACTTTGAAAGACGTATCAAGTTGACATGTAATAGAGACTTGTTTTCATCATTATTTTAACGTCTTAGCAGTATAATCGGAAACTGTTGTTTACAATAGGATAAATAATGATGAAGGAAAATCCGGGTACACCATTTTTTCACCATTAATAATCTTCCATTATTCATGTCGGCGATTTCATTTGAATCAAATGTTAAATTTCAAGGAAAGATTTTTGAATGATAAGTATAATTCCTGGGTGGCGCAGTGGTAAAGCACTCATTTTTCACTTAGCCGTCCGGGGTTCGATTTCCGGAACTGACGTGAAAAGGTAAGGGTCACCTGCCCGGCCACGTGGGTTTTCACCGGGTACTCTGGTTTCCTCCCACAATAAGACCCATCGCGGGCTTACATCCTGACTAACAAGAGTGATTAATATAAGTTGAAATAATTTGTTCCACAATTGTTGTAAAAAAGACAAAGTTTATTTTCTACTAACTAAAGGAAGATGACATATTCTTTAAGACCACATAGATAGTACACTGAATGTCAACAAGACAGACCATGTATTTGAAATTAAAAAAAAAACCTTTTAAACCAAAATTGTATCCGTTTACTCGATACCCGATTAAAATGTGTTTGTGTCGGTTAACAAAATATTGAGTGATATTATCTTTGACAACAATATTACTTATTCTTTTTGTGACGTTTTCGTAGGCTAGCTTGATAATCAAATCTACTCACTCATTTATCAATGTATTAAAACACGAAAGATCATCAGATCATTCGTCCAAGTACGAGTCCTTCATTATATTGATTGGTGCCTCACATCCATTGGATTACGTAAATAAACGCAGAAGATCTCTATAAATCACATTTAATTGCCAGCTCCGCTAGTTATCTGTATTTTTAATCGTTTCCGCGTTTTAATGTGACTTCTCCCTATATATACATTACACTCGACACAATCAATCTGAAGAAACAATCAACCCAACTGTACCCTTGTCTTCTCTGTTTTACTTTAGTTTCCATACGAACCTAAATTTATCAAAAAGTTTCCGACAAAAAAAAAAAGACTTTCCATTTTACATTTTACATCGTCATGAATAGAGAGCCTAAAGCAACTATAATGTTAAAAAAAACACTACTAGAAAACGATATAGAACGTTCTAGTTTCAAATAATATGTTACTAAACTAAGACTTTATGTTAATTACTAAAAGTAAAAGTCACTGCAACCATTTTTTTGTTGATATCTAAAAAATAAAGAATGTCAACAATGCGGTCTTGATCTAATTCATACATTTCCGCTCCTAACCCTGATGCTGCGCATGCGTATAAGCCTAGACGCGTGAATATGTTAGGAACAACACTACTAAAAGTGTTATCTGATAAATGTTGAATGAAAATAGTTGTGTTATTCGCTTGAATTTACAAGCGACAACGTGTATTTGTTGTTGACTGCAAGGTGGGGCCCAATTGCGGGTATTCGTTCTAAGTGTAAAAATATGACGGTACTGGTGTTACTGTGAGAATAACGACCGTGGTGATTAACATAGCCTTCATAATAATCAGTGCAATATCTATTAATCTGTACAGAAAAATTCATGTGTATTTTTGCACAATGAGTTTTTTTCTTTTCCGATTGTGACACCCCCCCCCCCCTTCTCTCCTTTTCCGATTGTGACACCCCCCCCCCCCCTTCTCTCTCTCTCTCTCTCTCTCTCTCTTTGGGGCCCCACTAGTTTAGCGCCATAATTGACATAGATAATTCTCGCACGACAAAGCCAAAAACAAAACGAATTACTAAGATTGATTGTTAAAAATTATATATTATAACACTATAAATTCCTTTACCTCGTAATCCATTTTTCTTTGCGGCGGAAGTAAATGACTTCGTCACATGACAAGCCATGTAACCCACTCGGCTTTCTTCGTAATAAATCGAGCGTGAACATCTTTATAAACAATAGTCAAGATAAACAACGTTCCGAAGCCGACAATATGTACAAAAACAACAAATTTGACGTTATAGGCGCGTGTATCGCTTTATTATGGATATATTTTACTATCCATAAACCGAATTCTCCATTTCCCAATGTTGAAATCTAAGGTAAAATAGCCATTTTAATAGATGTTTACACAACCTCAATGATATTTGTTCCATTATTTACGATGTATTTCGTTGTTAATTTCCGGATCTCCTTTTGAGAACTTGACGGTATTTGAACCACCATGTACTTATTTTCCCCTTGATTTAACCATTGTTAGTAGGCATTTTTGTACTCCGCAGTGTTACATTTAAATGCTTTCTAGAAAATAAAGTAGCATTTTATTCAGAAAGAAATCGAGGGTCCTTCGTTGGTTACCGTAAAGTTACTTATGATGCTTACTTTTTTAAGTAGAAATGTTCATTTGAAAAGTTAAAGATTATTCTTACACCTAGAAGCTGAGAGGGTAACTTTATTATTAAAAGTACAATGAAGTTTTCAAAGTAAAACATCGATGATGGTGTTGACGTGAGTTTAATAAATCAGGGAAGGTTAAAAACAAACGTTAAATGTGAAAACTTTCGCTATCCGTTTATGACGATGTAGTTCATGGTGTAAATTAGAATTCAGTCAATTAAATCAGTTTCTCAAATATATATATCTATTCAATCCTGATATTGAATATAGTATCGGGGTTAGTGAATATTAAATGATTGAAATCTGTTAATGTTGTTCAATCTCGGTTTGGAGTCGGGGGGTCGTAAAATTTTGTTTCTATACTGTATATCATATATTTTGTATAAAAACGACTCTTATTCTTCCGATTTACAACATATTAATCTCCATCAAGTAGATATACAACTCCATCAAGTAGATATAAATTTCCATCAAGTAGATATAAATCTCCATCAAGTAGATATACAACTCCATCAAGTAGATATAAATCATTAGATATACACTCCATCAAGTAGATATAAATCTCCATCAAGTAGATATACAACTCCATCAAGATATAAAGATATAGATATACAACTCCATCAAGTAGATATAAATCTTCATCACTCAGATATAAATCTCCATCAAGTAGATATACAACTCCATCAAGTAGATATAATCTCCATCAAGTAGATATTCATCAAGTAGATATAAATCTCCATCAAGTAGATAGTAGATATAAATTTCCATCAAGTAGATATAACTCCATCAATAGATATAAATCTCCATCAAGTAGATATACAACTCCATCAAGTAGATATAAATCTTCATCACTCAGATATAAATCTACATCAAGTAGATATACAACTCCATCAAGTAGATATAAATCTTCATCACTCAGATATAAATCTCCATCAAGTAGATATAAATCTCCATCAAGTAGATATACAACTCCATCAAGTAGATATACAACTCCATCAAGTAGATATAAATCTCCATCAAGTAGATATACAACTCCATCAAGTAGATATAAATCTCCATCAAGTAGATATACAACTCCATCAAGTAGATATAAATCTCCATCAAGTAGATATACAACTCCATCAAGTAGATATACAACTCCATCAAGTAGATATAAATCTTCATCACTCAGATATAAATCTCCATCAAGTAGATATAAATCTCCATCAAGTAGATATAAATCTCCATCAAGTAGATATACAACTCCATCAAGTAGATATACAACTCCATCAAGTAGATATACAACTCCATCAAGTAGATATAAATCTCCATCACTCAGATATAAATCTCCATCAAGTAGATATAAATCTCCATCAAGTAGATATAAATATACTCAGATATAAATCTCCATCAAGTAGATATAAATCTCCATCAAGTAGATATACAACTCCATCAAGTAGATATATCTTCATCACTCAGATATAAATCTACATAGTAGATATACAACTCCATCAAGTAGATATAAATCTCCATCACTCAGATATAAATCTCCATCAAGTAGATATAAATCTCCATCAAGTAGATATAAATCTTCATCACTCAGATATAAATCTCCATCAAGTAGATATAAATCTCCATCAAGTAGATATACAACTCCATCAAGTAGATATAAATCTTCATCACTCAGATATAAATCTCCATCAAGTAGATATACAACTCCATCAAGTAGATATAAATCTCCATCAAGTAGATATACAACTCCATCAAGTAGATATAAATCTCCATCAAGTAGATATAAATCTCCATCAAGTAGATATAAATCTCCATCAAGTAGATATACAACTCCATCAAGTAGATATAAATCTTCATCAAGTAGATATACAACTCCATCAAATAGATATAAATCTCCATGAAGTAGATATAAATCTTCATCAAGCAGATATGAATCTTCATCAAGTAGATATGAATCTCCATGATAGGATGTTCAAGAACGATAATTGTTCCAAATCAAACACATTACACATTTCAACCATGTAAAAAGGATATCTGGTTTTGCACCTATATTTGTCAACAGAGTTATTTCCCTTTACGTATGATTATATGACAACTCCTGCGTTAAGTCCTAACAAACATCTACGTATTACTTGATAATTCTAATTTCTCACTTCAGACATTTGCAAGATTGTACAAATGTCACAGAAGTAAATACGCCCTTTATTACACATTATACTGCATAATACAACAGTTTCGTCTTTCTATGGCTAGGCAGTGAAGCTAATGGCCTTTATCTAGAAACCTAGGACGCTATTTAGTAAAAACCAAAAGGGGAGTACTGCTCCCATAATTTGATTAATATTGTAATTTTCATAAGAAAGTAATACTGAATGATCAACGTGGTATTCTTTTTATATAAGAAAATATAAGAAAAATATCTTGATTTCATTTTCATATCACGTAAAAGATTTTAAAAGTACCCCCTCCCCCACCCCCCACTCCCCTCTTGACTTCACATTAGGTCTTAGTATCACTAACGAACATTAGACAGACGACACACATGCATTTTGCAGTTTGATTAATTATTTAATAATATGATTATAATGTAATTAACTGAACTATTCACTTGTGTGTCTTTTGCACAGGCTTTCACAATGAGGTTGTAGTTTTAGGATAAAAATCATATTTGATATACAGTTAGCTGTTTATAATTTAGGAGTTCTCTGATGCTTTTAAAAACTTTTAATATATAAAAGATAAAGTTTACACAAAATATAAATACTATTTTATTGATGGAAACCTTGCAACGGTTACATCCTCTAAAATAGATTCGCACGTTCATAGTCTTCTTACTATCATGTACACGTATTCAAGCATGCATTCTCACAAACACATCCCTCTGGTAGGTTATTATGCACGTTTAATACATATATAAAGTCGATATGATATTTATCATACATTTTTGGCAGCTGTTTTGTCCAATTTGTATAAAAGAGCATATTTACATACGTTTCTTGATATAGAACCAGTTTGGACATACACATGCCGTTAAGAAACATCTATGCAATGATATTTCAAGAATATTAAAAGAGATCAAATATAATTGGAATCATTGTAACATTTCACTAACAAACCTATCATATTTAAGACCTTTCCTGGCAGAGCAGCACTGGTAATATATTTAAGCAGTATCTACTGTTGTTCTGTTCAGATCTAGTTTTCGGAATGTCGTTGGCTGTGGTGTTGTTTATAACTGCTCAGTAGGAGCTGAGATCATCATACGCTCGGTTATCATACGTTATTTTTTCGGCGTCATATACCGGTGCCAGAGTAATTCCATTGGATGTACACTCATCTATGTAGGCAGCTTTACCTTGTTTCGTTGTGTGCCTAGAAGACATAAAAAAATCACAACATAATTTCAGTAATTAACAACAAAATGGCGTAACTGTACTATGGTGTCAGTGCTCGTCCTCATTTTACCTCAACATATGTGTCGATCGATTGTAATTTATTTAACTCGTCTTCTAGCTTTCTAAACTTTAGACCCCTAAATTCACTAACGAGACCGAGAAAGACGAGACAGCTGTTTGGCGTGTAAAAACTACAAGAAACTACCAGTTGATATACAATGGATGTGGAAATTTCTTGTTATTTAGAGGCATGACGTCATCAAAATATTCAAACATGAAGTTAAACACTTTAGCAAGGTCCTTGTGAATTGTTTTGATAACCTCTTCGATAAATTCAGCCTCGCACGACAAAAACAAAAAAGTCACCAAATAGAGGGTCACATATGTCTGTTGGAAGATCTTACCACCAAAATCGACGAAGATGTTGTCAACCAGATAATTTTTTTATGATTTTGTCCTCCATATATTTCATCTTTGATTTGGACGTATTTTTCACCAAATACGTTACAGTATAGTTCACAGCCATATATTTGTACCTCCGTTCACCTTTCTTGGAAAAGAACGTTCTCCCAACAAGAGAATTATTACGTTCTTTCAGTTTAGCATGGGGTATATTTTGATGTAGAATATTCATTGTTTTGTAAGTATACTGTATCTTATTCTGCAATGCGCTATAAGGTGGTATTTTCTTGTGTTACGATTTTTGATCAAAATCACTACCATGAATTCGATTACGTATAATACCTGGAAATCATGAGCTGTAATAGTTCTCGAAAATTGGGTATTGGCAAATGAAAAATTGTATACAGAACAGATGTTTATGTGGCATGTAACCACAAACTAAGTTCTTCACTGACACAGTAGTATATTAACGGTAAGTCGGCAGATTTACAGTTTACTTCGCTCAAATCTTTTCACTGGGACTGGGACGGACGCAGCAACATAATTTATTGTCTTAATATCTACTTATCCATTGTATGAACCTTTCAACGAATCCATGTTACAAGTGGATTTTGCCAGTTAAATGACTTATTCACTTGTGTGTCTTCTGTACAATCTTACCTGTCAACACATCGAAAACGCATCGACATTTTTTTTCTTTTCAAACAAATGATGTCGATATTCAACTGGAAAAGTTGTGTATTTTCTTTGTGTCTCTCTCTATATATAAACAACGTATTGAAAGTTTGTAACGTTTTTCCTGTTTACAAATGATCTCTAGAGACGAGTTTCTTAAATTCTCGTACAGGTAAAATCGAACAGAGACAGCAATTTTACTGCGCTATTTAAATCCATGACGTATCGTTGTTTTCATTGTTATGCCTTCTGAATGGGGCAGCCAATAAAAGCGCTCTATGATATATTCACTATAGACATATACGCACAACATTACATCGACGAAATAACTGGACAGCAGGCTGATTATATATTAAAATAACACACCTTTTCCTTATCAACACGACTGCAGTCGTGATGGCGAGGACCACCACAACTCCCGCAACTATTCCAATTACAAGAGCATGGTCAGCAGCCCAGTTCTGTAAGTATATATTCACTTGAAAAATAATATTTACAGTTACATTTTCGTAGTTAAATTGACTGAATATCAGTCCAACTTCGATGTAAAATCTCACCGTGTGTGGTTAAACGTACTGTTGCATTATACATGAAATTCGTATGAAAACGTTGTTAAGGAATACAAGGGAGATAACTCCAACATTATAAACATTACACAGTTACACGACAAACAATCTCTCTATAACATAATTACATTATCACATCTGCACAATATAGAGAGACTTCAGTTCTTTTGAAAGCAATTTCCTCCCATAACAAGTTAACCCCAAGAAGATGTTAGACGTTGACAAACATGCTCAAGTTACCGGAGAACACAGATTTAGGTAAAGCTGTTAATTTCTTTATACGCAGTACTTTAAATACTAAAACTATATTTCAACTTTAAAACAATTAACTATGAATTCGAAATACTAAATATACAAAAACCATCGTCTAGATATATAAGTTAAGATAGAGATCTTTTCAGCGCGTTCGGTTGAGCATAAGCGTACTGACCTCTCGTACACTCCATTATTGGATTATATTTTTGCCGTACTTACTATGTTACTGGTAGTTTGTGAATGTGGGTTCCCGTTTTTGACGTACTGTCGAAGTTGTAGAATAGACACTGTCTTTTGAAGGGCTGCTGCTAAAGCTGTTTTAGAGACATGTAGTCTTGAATTCGTGGAGCTGATGCCAATCGTCAAGTTTGTTACCGTCTCACTGGAAATATGGAAACACTGAAATGACTCAAATGCTTTTACAATATTTATTCGTTTTAAGTTGCTCGGGGTCTTGAATTATTTTTGTCATTTACACACAATTATCATACGATACACTGTTCGGTTTCGTGATTTTTCTCGATGAAACGACGATTTTTCTTGATCTTTTGCACTTGTATTCAATTCGTAACATTGCATGTATTCAAAATTGCATATTCATTATCGTTGAATGTGACCTCGGTAAGGGACAAAGCTTTATGTCGCCTCTGCTACATAATCTTATTGTGCTGATGCATAGTAACAAATATGCACCATAATTAATTTGTACTTAATCTATAAAAACAAGAAAGGCTAAGAAAAAGTAGTGGTGTTTTTTCCTAAAATGGAAACAGATATGTATTATGTTAAAGCAGTTCAACAATACATAACATGACTGGGATAGCATCAATAACTCATTCGTGTGTTGTGAATTAATATATTCTTTCAAAATAATGATAATGATACAAACAATCAATAGGATTAAACAGCAGGCTAAAGCCTAAATAAACTAAAACATATTTGCTTTAACAAATAAACATCTTGAATTGTCAGCGATGTAGCTGGTAAGGATTTAAATTATTCTGCATGCAAGTCAATAGCCTAATGTTGTTAGCAAATGTTTGATGTTGCGTGCCAATAAATGTAATTTATTGAATTTGAAAATTTGAGTGTCGGGGACAACAAAGACATACACCCCTAAAAATTGTTAACATGGTTATCAGCAACAACCACATCGTATTAAACTCATGTTTAAAAACGGAAAGATTTAGATTGAAACCATTTAAATAAAAAAGCAGTACAAGACCAAGAGTTCAAAAATGGTAAACATTTTTTCTGCTTTATCAACAACAATGTAACGTTCTCAAAATAAGAGCAAGGTTGCTAACACCGACATCGTAACATATCACACTTCTACCTTCATACTGTACAAGGAAATCACAATGAAGTCATTATGGCGACCATAAAACTTTTCCATTGCCCATATCAATACAATTTGTCAAAAGTTTGTTGAGTTTCCCGTCAACTCTCGACATCTATCACGGAAATACATACAAGGATCACAAGCCTAAATATATATTAGTACTGTGACAAGATAAGAGTATTGAAAGAGAGGTAAGTATACACTGTAGCGTCATGCAGGTTGTAAATGTTAAGTGTTACATGTAAGTCAATTTTGTGTGTTGAATGTAAGCAACTTCCAACTCTAAATAGAAAATTTATTAATCTTTCAATGAAAAGATTTTTTCTGAAATAACTTGTATAATAGGTTGCATCGCGTTTAAATTCGAGGCGTCAACACCTTTCTCGTGTTATTTTTTCAAAACAGACAAAAGTAGAAATCAGTATACAACACTTATGTTAACTTCATGTATAATAGCACGTCCAGTAGGTAAAGATTGAGCATACCCGCCAACAACTTGGATTATTTGTGTTGAAACGTCCAACGAGGAAGCATTTGACGATTCCAGGAGTTGTAGAACGTGATCCTTCATTGTGATCAGTTGGCCCGATATGTCACCTAGCAGTTGGACACTGACTATGGTATTGGATACCGTCACTTCTGGAACATTACACCATTTAGACAAACTTATTTTAAAGAATAGATTCAGAAACATTTACGTCAAACGAACACTTCTAACTATTTGTGAATGTATCCCATGATTTGTTCAACATTATACTGAAGGCAGGACCTTCGTTAAGGTAACATGTATAAATCAGGATTTTGTAATAACTTTCCATAACATCGTTAAAATAATAGCAGCAATATATCGTACGTGTATGCCTAGAACGGCAGAGGTCCTGGGTTCGATTCCTGGCGGGAAGCAAATATCCTCTGTTAAACATTAAGGACTCGGCAACAATGCCTAACGTTACTTTCACAAGCATCTCTAGAACCTCTAAAAACTCGATGCATTGTTCTTTCCTGAAAGGCGAGAATGTAACTAAATACTGGCTGCTACAGTAAACTCCTCTTCAGCACGATCGGTTACGCTTAACACCAGCCATACAGAGGTTCAGTTTTGTGACCATGTGGATGCATTAGAATAAAGAACGACCTGTGCTTCAGAGGCAGTTGACGATAAAACAGAATGCAAGAAGGCAAAGATGAAGTCGACTGGTCCATGACAATTTTTCTTGTTTCTACCGTATACACAGAAATTTCCAAAACAGTGATGCTAAGGGCCCAGATTTTGGAAGCCAAGGAGACAATTGAGGAAAATTCAAAATGATCGAAAGAAAAGCGAAAATCTAGTTGGGGAGATGCACTACCCTAATATTTCGATAGATTTCGTAATTTTCACACATGACAGATTCTATTTATGAATTAACCGGAAAAAAGAATAACTAACCTGTTTTGCTTGGAGGAGTTGGAGTAGATGTACTCATTGCTTCTGTAGAAACTGGTTCAACCGATATGGGTATAGGTTCAGATGATGTCAGCATTGACTCGGAAGGCGAAAATGGTGTTGTAGAAGGCACAAATATTGGTGTGAATGGAGAAATTTCTGCATACGGCGTAGAAACTATTTCTGACGATACTGACTTTATTTCAGATGTCGTTGACATCAATACCGCCGATGGAGATAGTGCTTCTGAAGATGAAGGTATTTTGTCAGCTAACGTAGAGATTACATCAGTGGTTTCAGGTGACATAGGCAGTAGAGTGGCTGTTCCACACTTTCCATCATGACAGGGATCATGATTAATATCGTTGATACCGGTATCGCACAGTTTTCCTTTGTAACCTGCATTACAATCACAACTAAATCCACTTACTTGATCCGTACAGTTTCCATGTTGACAGGGGTTAGGTTTACAGTCGTCTATGTTTGATGAACAGTTGTGTCCTGTGTAACCGAGTGTACACTTACATTGGTAGCCATTCACGAGGTCGGTACAGGTTCCATGTTGACAGGGGTTAGGATCACAGTCGTCTATGTTTGATGAACAGTTGTGTCCTGTGTAACCGAGTGTACACTTACATTGGTAGCCATTCACGAGGTCGGTACAGGTTCCATGTTGACAGTGGGTTAGGTTCCATGTCACAGGATTCGTCTATGTTTGATGAACAGTTGTGTCCAGTGTAACCTGCTGTACATGTACATTGGTAGCCATTCACGAGGTCGGTACAGGTTCCATGTTGACAGGGGTTAGGATCACAGTCGTCTATGTTTGATGAACAGTTGTGTCCTGTGTAACCGACTGTACACTTACATTGGTAGTCATTCACGAGGTCGGTACAGGTTCCATGTTGACAGGGGTTAGGATCACAGTCGTCTATGTTTGATGAACAGTTGTGTCCTGTGTAACCGACTGTACACTTACATTGGTAGCCATTCACGAGGTCGGTACAGGTTCCATGTTGACAGGGGTTACAGAGGGGTTCACAGTCGTCTATGTTTGATGAACAGTTGTGTCCTGTGTAACCGAGTGTACACTTACATTGGTAGCCATTCACGAGGTCGGTACAGGTTCCATGTTGACAGGGGTTAGGATCACAGTCGTCTATGTTTGATGAACAGTTGTGTCCTGTGTAACCGACTGTACACTTACATTGGTAGCCATTCACGAGGTCGGTACAGGTTCCATGTTGACAGGGGTTAGGTTTACAGTCGTCTATGTTTGATGAACAGTTGTGTCCTGTGTAACCGGCTGTACATGTACATTGGTAGCCATTCACGAGGTCGGTACAGGTTCCATGTTGACAGGGGTTAGGATCACAGTCGTCTATGTTTGATGAACAGTTGTGTCCTGTGTAACCGACTGTACACTTACATTGGTAGCCATTCACGAGGTCGGTACAGGTTCCATGTTGACAGGGGTTAGGATCACAGTCGTCTATGTTTGATGAACAGTTGTGTCCTGTGTAACCGACTGTACACTTACATTGGTAGCCATTCACGAGGTCGGTACAGGTTCCATGTTGACAGGGGTTAGGATCACAGTCGTCTATGTTTGATGAACAGTTGTGTCCTGTGTAACCGGCTGTACATGTACATTGGTAGCCATTCACGAGGTCGGTACAGGTTCCATGTTGACAGGGGTTAGGATTACAGTCGTCTATGTTTGATGAACAGTTGTGTCCAGTGAAACCGGCTGTACATGTACATTGGTAGCCATTCACGAGGTCGGTACAGGTTCCATGTTGACAGGGGTTAGGATCACAGTCGTCTATGTTTGATGAACAGTTGTGTCCAGTGTAACCGACTGTACACTTACATTGGTAGCCATTCACGAGGTCGGTACAGGTTCCATGTTGACAGGGGTTAGGATCACAGTCGTCTATGTTTGATGAACAGTTGTGTCCTGTGTAACCGACTGTACACTTACATTGGTAGCCATTCACGAGGTCGGTACAGGTTCCATTGGTAGCCATTCTATGTTTGATGAACAGTTGTGTCCAGTGTAACCGGCTGTACATGTACATTGGTAGCCATTCACGAGGTCGGTACAGGTTCCATGTTGACAGGGGTTAGGATCACAGTCGTCTATGTTTGATGAACAGTTGTGTCCAGTGTAACCGGCTGTACATGTACATTGGTAGCCATTCACGAGGTCGGTACAGGTTCCATGTTGACAGGGGTTAGGATCACAGTCGTCTATGTTTGATGAACAGTTGTGTCCAGTGTAACCGAGTGTACACTTACATTGGTAGCCATTAACCGAGCTGTACACTTACACGAGGTCGGTACAGGTTCCATGTTGACAGGGGTTAGGATCACAGTCGTCTATGTTTGATGAACAGTTGTGTCCAGTGTAACCGAGTGTACACTTACATTGGTAGCCATTCACGAGGTCGGTACAGGTTCCATGTTGACAGGGGTTAGGATCACAGTCGTCTATGTTTGATGAACAGTTGTGTCCAGTGTAACCAGCTGTACATGTACATTGGTAGCCATTCACGAGGTCGGTACAGGTTCCATGTTGACAGGGGTTAGGATCACAGTCGTCTATGTTTGATGAACAGTTGTGTCCAGTGTAACCGAGTGTACACTTACATTGGTAGCCATTCACGAGGTCGGTACAGCTTCCATGTTGACAGGGGTTAGGATCACAGTCGTCTATGTTTGATGAACAGTTGTGTCCTGTGTAACCGAGTGTACACTTACATTGGTAGCCATTCACGAGGTCGGTACAGGTTCCATGTTGACAGGGGTTAGGATCACAGTCGTCTATGTTTGATGAACAGTTGTGTCCAGTGTAACCGAGTGTACACTTACATTGGTAGCCATTCACGAGGTCGGTACAGGTTCCATGTTGACAGGGGTTAGGATCACAGTCGTCTATGTTTGATGAACAGTTGTGTCCAGTGTAACCGACTGTACTGTACATTGGTACATTGGTAGCCATTTGACGAGGTCTATGTTTGATGAACAGGTTCCAACAGTTGTGTCCAGGGGTTAGGATACAGTCGTCTATGTTTGATGAACAGTTGTGTCCTGTGTAACCGACTGTACACTTACATTGGTAGCCATTCACGAGGTCGGTACAGGTTCCATGTTGACAGGGGTTAGGATCACAGTCGTCTATGTTTGATGAACAGTTGTGTCCAGTGTAACCGGCTGTACATGTACATTGGTAGCCATTTACGAGGTCGGTACAGGTTCCATGTTGACAGGGGTTAGGATCACAGTCGTCTATGTTTGATGAACAGTTGTGTCCTGTGTAACCGAGTGTACACTTACATTGGTAGCCATTCACGAGGTCGGTACAGGTTCCATGTTGACAGGGGTTAGGTTTACAGTCGTCTATGTTTGATGAACAGTTGTGTCCAGTGTAACCGAGTGTACACTTACATTGGTAGCCATTCACGAGGTCGGTACAGGTTCCATGTTGACAGGGGTTAGGATCACAGTCGTCTATGTTTGATGAACAGTTGTGTCCAGTGTAACCAGCTGTACAAGTACATTGGTAGCCATTCACGAGGTCGGTACAGGTTCCATGTTGACAGGGGTTAGGATCACAGTCGTCTATGTTTGATGAACAGTTGTGTCCTGTGTAACCGTACACTTACATTGGTAGCCATTCACGAGGTGTACACTTACATTGGTAGCCATTCACGAGGTCGGTACAGGTTCCATGTTGACAGGGGTTAGGATCACAGTCGTCTATGTTTGATGAACAGTTGTGTCCTGTGTAACCGACTGTACACTTACATTGGTAGCCATTCACGAGGTCGGTACAGGTTCCATGTTGACAGGGGTTAGGATCACAGTCGTCTATGTTTGATGAACAGTTGTGTCCTGTGTAACCGAGTGTACTTACATTGGTAGCCATTCACGAGGTCGGTACAGGTTCCATGTTGACAGGGGTTAGGATCACAGTCGTCTATGTTTGATGAACAGTTGTGTCCAGTGTAACCGAGTGTACACTTACATTGGTAGCCATTCACGAGGTCGGTACAGGTTCCATGTTGACAGGGGTTAGGATCACAGTCGTCTATGTTTGATGAACAGTTGTGTCCAGTGTAACCAGCTGTACATGTACATTGGTAGCCATTCACGAGGTCGGTACAGGTTCCATGTTGACAGGGGTTAGGATCACAGTCGTCTATGTTTGATGAACAGTTGTGTCCAGTGTGTAACCGAGCTGTACACTTACATTGGTAGCCATTTACGAGGTCGGTACAGGTTCCATGTTGACAGGGGTTAGGATCACAGTCGTCTATGTTTGATGAACAGTTGTGTCCTGTGTAACCGACTGTACACTTACATTGGTAGCCATTCACGAGGTCGGTACAGGTTCCATGTTGACAGGGGTTAGGATCACAGTCGTCTATGTTTGATGAACAGTTGTGTCCTGTGTAACCGAGTGTACACTTACATTGGTAGCCATTCACGAGGTCGGTACAGGTTCCATGTTGACAGGGGTTAGGATCACAGTCGTCTATGTTTGATGAACAGTTGTGTCCTGTGTAACCGAGTGTACACTTACATTGGTAGCCATTCACGAGGTCGGTACAGGTTCCATGTTGACAGGGGTTAGGATCACAGTCGTCTATGTTTGATGAACAGTTGTGTCCTGTGTAACCGAGTGTACACTTACATTGGTAGCCATTCACGAGGTCGGTACAGGTTCCATGTTGACAGGGGTTAGGATCACAGTCGTCTATGTTTGATGAACAGTTGTGTCCAGTGTAACCGAGTGTACACTTACATTGGTAGCCATTCACGAGGTCGGTACAGGTTCCATGTTGACAGGGGTTAGGATCACAGTCGTCTATGTTTGATGAACAGTTGTGTCCAGTGTAACCGAGTGTACACTTACATTGGTAGCCATTCACGAGGTCGGTACAGGTTCCATGTTGACAGGGGTTAAGATCACAGTCGTCTATGTTTGATGAACAGTTGTGTCCAGTGTAACCAGCTGTACATGTACATTGGTAGCCATTCACGAGGTCGGTACAGGTTCCATGTTGACAGGGGTTAGGTTTACAGTCGTCTATGTTTGATGAACAGTTGTGTCCTGTGTAACCGATTGTACACTTACATTGGTAGTCATTCACGAGGTCGGTACAGGTTCCATGTTGACAGGGGTTACGTGTACAGTCGTCTATGTTTGATGAACAGTTGTGTCCTGTGTAACCGACTGTACACTTACATTGGTAGCCATTCACGAGGTCGGTACAGGTTCCATGTTGACAGGGGTTAGGATCACAGTCGTCTATGTTTGATGAACAGTTGTGTCCAGTGTAACCGAGTGTACACTTACATTGGTAGCCATTCACGAGGTCGGTACAGGTTCCATGTTGACAGGGGTTAGGATCACAGTCGTCTATGTTTGATGAACAGTTGTGTCCTGTGTAACCGGCTGTACATGTACATTGGTAGCCATTTACGAGGTCGGTACAGGTTCCATGTTGACAGGGGTTAGGATCACAGTCGTCTATGTTTGATGAACAGTTGTGTCCAGTGTAACCGAGTGTACACTTACATTGGTAGCCATTCACGAGGTCGGTACAGGTTCCATGTTGACAGGGGTTAGGTTTACAGTCGTCTATGTTTGATGAACAGTTGTGTCCTGTGTAACCGACTGTACACTTACATTGGTAGCCATTTACGAGGTCGGTACAGGTTCCATGTTGACAGGGGTTAGGATCACAGTCGTCTATGTTTGATGAACAGTTGTGTCCTGTGTAACCGAGTGTACACTTACATTGGTAGCCATTCACGAGGTCGGTACAGGTTCCATGTTGACAGGGGTTAGGATCACAGTCGTCTATGTTTGATGAACAGTTGTGTCCTGTGTAACCGGCTGTACATGTACATTGGTAGCCATTTATGAGGTCGGTACAGGTTCCATGTTGACAGGGGTTAGGATCACAGTCGTCTATGTTTGATGAACAGTTGTGTCCTGTGTAACCGAGTGTACACTTACATTGGTAGCCATTTACGAGGTCGGTACAGGTTCCATGTTGACAGGGGTTAAGATCACAGTCGTCTATGTTTGATGAACAGTTGTGTCCAGTGTAACCGAGTGTACACTTACATTGGTAGCCATTCACGAGGTCGGTACAGGTTCCATGTTGACATGGGTTAGGATCACAGTCGTCTATATTTGATGTACAGTCATCTCCTGTGAACCCTGAAAGAAAAGTGTATTATGATAAATGTATATCTTTAATTATAAACCCAGCATGGTTATATTTGATAACGATAACAAATATAAAAGATTATTGATCATTTATTGAATCATCTATGCGCTCGACCCCAATGGACATATCAATCAATTTTAAAGTTATTTCAATGTTAGATTATTACTCATGCGTTATAGACATATACTATCTTCAATTAGACTTAGTTAGGGTAATTGCTTAAGGATTTCAGTTTCCATTTCTGGATAGTAACAACCCATGCATCCCTATTTTCTTTTATATTTCGCAATTGCTTCGATTTTTGTATTAGTTTTTAAATATTAATGATTGAAATATTTATTATAGTTTACTACATTACTGTAAGATAAAATTGCCTGATCGTCCAGAGTACAAATGTATACTAATTACATACACTCGAACTTTTACTCCTTTCTTAAACGACTTTACTTCCACTGCATAGCATGTCGATAATTAATAATCCTACTGTTTCACATCACCGTTTTCATTGAATCATTCTGTATGATTATATGACCAATACGGACGTACGTCAAACTTTGATAATGGGTAACACTGAATTGTGTCTTGCTTTATTTATTTGTAATATATTTTACGGTCACCTTAAATGGATTAATCTTAATAAGCTTAGCGAATGTTCGCATCATATTTTAAACTCGCTATTGACATAAAACGGTTTTAACGGTCATTAAACACCGTCGTTGCTCTTATAACATGTCATAGAAATAATATTGTAAGGAAAGTAAGATATCTTTAACATCAAAATATGAACTGTATAACATTAACTGCCATCCCATGTTAGGTATTTTTACCGGGTTTAAATTAAAAGAAAACAAGTCTTCCTATTTAATTATGATTAACTTCGACCGGTTAATGTGTGGCCATCAAGCTCATAATTTTGGTAAAGCACCTTAATATCCTGAGTTACCTCCTTGAAGAAAATTTTATTCTTCCATCTCTGGACCTTGAGAAAATATCTGAGCCTGCTCTGATCTATTTTTAAAAACAATTTACGACCCCTCCATCAATGAAGAGCACTTTATTGTACAATATCTGAGTGTTGAGAATATTTGAGAAATCCGGGTTAATTTGACACCTTTGGTCCCACCCATCTGGCCCGAGAAGAATTCGAAAATGTTTATTATTTACGACGGACAGACAAAAAGGTGGAAAATTCAGAAGCTTCGATCACAATTGTTCTAAACATGGGAAGTATTACATCAAAAACAACCTGAACAGTAGATAGTTCGTACAGGACATTTATTGATTTGATCAGGAAGGACTGAATTTTAACCTTTCCAATAGTTACAAAACGTTGACAACGCCTTTCACATCAATTAAAACAATAAATATTATGCTTTTCTATATGTATATAATTCTTGGGAAAGTAACTGAATACATATAAGGTATCACGTCATCTAAAACATCTGAAGGTGTTGATTTAGAATGGTCTGGCCAAACGACAAACAAAAATGAATAGCACATTTGCGTGTTAATTGATATCTTTAATGATACTTTTACATATGAATAAAGCATTTTTTGTTATTGTTCATAGATATGTATTCTAACCTGTTGCCACAACAATTTTGACTCACGATTCCGGAAAAGGGGCACGAAAAATTCGAAAGAATGAGTTTTCAAACGCATGTTTTGTGACAAAGGTACTTAACAGTGCCTATTTGAGAAACTCAAGGAGGCAACTTAATTCGACAACGTTTATTTTGATCATGCCGACGGTGAACACACGCTATGAGCATACAAACCATGTTGGCAGATTTTGCTTCCATTTACATCACAGTGCGCATGTGCGTTTTCTGCACAGAAGGTAGTACAGTTGGGGCCGAAATATCGGGGAAGACACTTCACAGTTATTTGAAATGTTAATCTGAAACAAATGGTAAAAAAAGAATGCCTTTTGTATATAGATTTACTCTTGCTTTTGGTAAAAAAAAAAGATATGAATGAAAAAAAATAATCACGTTTTTACAATTGACCAGTGATCAGGTCGCGGAATAAAGTTATCTAAAATTATTTTGTTTCGAAATACAGATAGTTTAAAATCCATTCAAACCAATAGAATGATGTATACTTTTGTGAAACGCACCTGACGACCCCGAAATGCCGTATTAAAACCAAACCGAAATGTACGATAAATGCAGGTGAGAAAGAAAAGAAGATAGATAATTGAAAAAGAGGCATATTATACAATATGATGTTTCAAATTTATGTATAAACCGCAGAATAATCATATGATTTCTACCCGAGGGTTCCTGTTGTTATACTATATATGTTTTATCTACCTGTAGTACTATGTATACATACCGTATTCTGTCATGTTCTGGTATACTTAGAGTTACATTGGTGCTCTCTCCAGTATGTCCATGAAACGAGTACTTAATTGTGCCCAGGTTGTCATCACTTCCCAGGTAGTCATAATCGTATATATGCACGGACAAGGGAAAACTCTGGAAGAACAAGTGCAGACTGAGTTGTCAGAAGTTAGCGACTGATCCAAAAGTCTCTCATGTCTATAAAGCGATGTAATTTCTCATTTATCGTTTTAAGTTAAAGTATCAGAACATAGGAAATATATCTCGATGCGTGAGAACGTTTCTTCATAACTGTCAGCTGATTTATTGAAAGTTAGAAGTAAAAACCAACTGCTCACTTCCGATCAGTAGTATATGATCAACGATATATATCCTATTCAAGATTATTTCTCAAAACAACCACTTGATTTTTATGACAATAAACCTTGTTGTATATTTCTTTTTTCCAAAAACCACGCACACACACATGCACACACTCATACATTCGTTGACATTCATTTTTTTACACAAGATTAATACTTTTTTCGTATTTCAAACCTTACGTTTACAAGAGTTCTAGATGACGTGTTCCATTTACTCATTTGTATACCGGTATTTATATGATCTTTACAAATATAGACAGAAAACAAATACGTCTATAGATGTGTAGTGAAATATCTGGCCTAACATTGATAGCATGGCAGATTCTGTATCATATCTAATAAGCTACGGCTAGACAATGGGGTAGTCCCACCTATTTCAAGATTTCAATCTATGGACGTTTCCAAGCCCATCAACGGCATTAATAGTCATATGTTAGGAATCTCAAAGCCGTCATGTTTGGTCAAAATATAAACCGAATGATATATTCTTGTCATGATTTTTTTCTTCTTCTCAAAAAGCATGATAGTAGCTGAGTTTCGTCATATTATTTTGATAATGTAAATATAGTATTGCGCAAATTGTATGCATATTCCACTTTTCCGTTTCGTGTTTGCACCACAATATTAACAATGATGTTAGATTTGAACTGATAACATACAAACTAAGATAGAATCTTACTCCACTCCATCGCTCCAGGTACCAATTGGATGGGTTGTACTGCTGTGTCTTTGGTTGGTCTTTAAACAAGAATCCGATGGTGTCGTCTACCCTATTTCCATTGTCCTTTTTAGTACATTTACTAGAATTATAAGAAACATTACCAATATACGTTTTATTTTTCTCAAGTTGGTGGATCAGTTTTGATTACATTAAACACAACAATAACTTTTTTGATATTTCCACTTTGTATGCCAAATAGAAAGTCATGCATTAATTTTCTCATAAAAAGAACAAAATTGAAGCGAAGACTTGTCGTAATTAACACAAGGGAACAAAAGCAGATGTTCCCTGATTTATATCATGCCTGCGTCTGTGAGTATAAATGATCTACTATAGTAGCGCAAGCGCAAGCTCAAGCTCTCTCTCTCTCTCTCTCTCTCTCTCTCTCTCTCTCTCTCTCTCTCTCTCTCTCTCTCTCTCTCTCTCTCTCTCTCTCTCTCTCTCTCTTGCTCCCCTCTCTCTCTCTCTCTCTCTCTCTCTCTCTCTCTCTCTCTCTCTCTCTCTTACTTACGTACTTTAGCTATACTTACCGAGTTGTGCAAACTTGCATGTAGATATCACATCTACCTTTTAACGAATCACAATACATGTGTTCCGTGTCTTCATATTGCAACAAGTTGATTATCACCCACGCCTTCGACGTCAATTTCTAAAAATTCATGTAATATTAAGTGTATAGATATACCCTACATCTAGCTATAACCTACATGTGTTTACATTTGATCGACGATGTAACAAATATGGATCTGAAGCCGATTTTCATTTAAGGACAATCTCTCTTTTATATCTCGTGAAAACTTTGATGATACCTTAAATTCATATACACTCTGCGTTACAACAAATATATTTCAATGTGTGCTGAAGAAATCATGATTAAACCGTAAATGTATTTGATTGTTTACCTATAGCCTTATTAAAGGACTCTTCAGTATGATTTTCAACTCCATACTTTAATAAAAATCGATCTAAATCACAACGTAGCGTAGCATTTTCGTGAGAAAACCATGTCTGGATTTCGACAAGCTAACACACCACCAAGAGCTCAAACCGTGTTTCGTTACAAGTCAAATCAAATAAGTTTAAATTGCAACATCAAATCGAAAAGCGAAACGGGGAGTTCAAATTAGAATGAATCTTTGAGTATACATACACAAAAAAATGGCAAATAAAATCAATAAGATGTCGAACTCACACACACACACACCCTCACATAACTAAATAATTAAATACACAAAAACGAAACAAAAAAATAATTGTAACGGGGACAATTACATAAATTCCCCAAACTACCCCTTCTGTCGCAAATAAAATGCTTATTAAAATAAGAAATAACTTTAATTCACAACTAAGCCTATCTACATTAGAGCAGAGTTCCTCGTCTCTGGTGCACATGCTTTACACCTGAGAGGCAGTTGTGCACGACACCGATAATCTATGGCCAGTTAGCAATACCCTGGAAGACGACACTAGAAATACATAACATGAGTGATAGTATACCTATTAAGTGCTCGAGAGCCTCGACATTAACAATTGACAATATCAAAGTTAAAACATCTGTGACGGCCATGTCTGTTATTCATTCTTTAAAAAAACTGATTGCACCACTGCTTTCCTTACATTAGACAAGACATGCATCAATTTTCATAAAAATTCGGTACCAACAAATCTTCAGTGGCTGCGTCAGTCATCTTGGAATGTGGAAATATGACATGGTTATCACTGCAATCTAGTTTTCACTGTACAGTAAATCTTCTGAGTGTGATTTACATACTTCAATAATTTACTCATTTGGCTTATAAAAACGAAATACTTACCGATCCTATATCCGTGCTGCATTTTACCTGCAATTGTAATGAACAACAATTATTTCATTTTAATGACACAATCGATATAAATCTCGATGAAATGTTTGTTTTGATTTGAACTAGAACTGTTGAATATTAAGAAACGATAAATAATCTACTTATTGCAATTTTCTCACTTTCCATGGATGCCAGTTTGAAGTCGATGTTCTGTATATAGCTGAAATGCGTGTTCTGCCGGAAATATTGTTTCATATTTAAGACAATGATTATCAACATATGAAATACTTAAATGATTAGATACAGAATGACTGGGATGAAAGCACTTTAATACAGTTCGCTTCCTACCATTTTATAGGGCTGTCTCAGTATGTCTACATTATTTAACGTTCCTAAAATTCCAAATGTATTCAGCAATAATTGATATTTTCACTGCAAATACAGCTATTTAATTTGACAGAAATGAGTGGAAATACGAAAACTTGTTATTTCACTGGAGTAAAATTATCACACCGCAGTGAAATATCACTTTAATGTAAAACCTCATGTTTCACAGTGACAACTGTAATAGATTATTTTACGTCAACATTAAAAACAGGTTGAAATACCCTTCCACATTAATATAAAGTAACGTTACCTGTACATTACGTAGAATCCCTTGCAATAATAGTAACGTCATAAGATTAAACACTAAGTCCCTTGGACTTTTTTCGTATATACTCAACATAATGTTTAAGTTTTCCTATCTTGACTGTCAGCCGTCCCGCTATTACATCTGTGATTGTGGTGTGATGTTCGGTAGTATGATAGTATATCTATACCCACGCTATGTCTAAAAGATTAGGACAAACCAACACATGGATGGAGACCTGCTGTTCAGGTAGATACCTGTTAATTGGCAACAATGTAAGTCGGGTCAAGACAACAAACAAATTAAAATACATTAAAAAATAGAAGTAAGAGCATAACTTTTCAAACAGGAATGGACAGAGTCATGTCTATCACATAAAACCACGAACGCTTGTTTGTAATACTTAATGTAGTCATAACAATTGCATAAAGATAACGACATAGGAGATACGTGAGTCAGTTTTTCACTAATATACAGTTTAAAAGTACCAATTAGTCCCGAGATTTCCTTGTTAAGTATGGCTAGTAATTACAGAAGTATACGGCCTTTTGTTAAGCTTCTTCATGCTGTTCTGTTATAATCACACTACTTTAATGACTGAAAATATAGAGAAAAGTGACCACAAGAGAAGTCTGTCATATGGTCATACTCGCTATTCGGGCAACCCCGCAATTAAGACCATTTTTGTCCAGTCCCAAGGGTGGTCCTTATATTAAGATTTCAGCGAATGGAACAGTTTCACCGTTGCATCTAACTGGATTTTATATATTTAAAACATATCTAGTTGTACAATACACCCTACTACTTTGCCTCCAGAATACCATTAGCGTGAATGATCGATTATTCGTCACGAACAAATTAAGTTGAAACTTCTGACAAACATAACCTTGGTTACAGTATCTAACAGGGCGCGTGCAGTCGCGGTGTCGCACGTGCTTGACCACCAATTTCGCGTAATTCAGTCGCGTGCCGTTGCATGTTTGCTAGACGGAAGCACGGGTCTTATTGTTGTCGATTTCAAGAGATGCCGGAACTTCTGCTCCACGACGGTTTGACTGGTCGACCGGTCACGTGTCGCCATGGCAACACCGGCATTACGTGAGTATATAGGTGGCTGTAGTCTCGAGCTTTTCACAGATTGATTCTGACATCAAAATGCTTGAATGATTTCTCCTTGGGAAAATTAATAGAGCAGCATATATAGATATATCTGAAGATGGCCCCAAAGGAACCAAAAGTCGCAGTAAGTATCAAATTTGATGTAAATAAGCTCTATGTAAATCATATGCGGATGAGACGGAATAAATCTATTAACGGAATGAACAAACATAAAAAAACAATCTACAGTACCAACGGTACAATTAAACACCACAACACATTTTAGGGATACAACATAAATACTAAACATAAAGAAAGGTATCCCTAATGTAAGAGAAGGATCTCTGAAACATACACGCGTCATTCTCAATCTTAGTTTTGCATTGCTTACATCATTGTTTTGAATAAGGAAAGTAATGTTAATGCTAAATTAAAAGCGAAACTATTAACGGATGTTTATACAGTAAGTATAAAAACTAAGGATAAAATCTTATAAGATATATATGGCTGTTCGTTCCTCTGTATATCAATATCAGGTACATATATATCTTACTCTGTTCATCTAAGGAACAATCCTCTCACAAGGTGATAGAAAAACGGAGGAGAGATAGGATCAACGCCTGTCTGTCGGAACTCAGCCAGACCGTACCAGCGGCCTTCTCCAAACAGGTAAGACTGTTATACTATTAAACTGGTAGTCAAAACTAAAGAGATAGTTATCGTTACACTGTCCAAAAAAAAGACAATGCCACACCACCATACTGATATACGTAATCAATATCACATCATCATACAGGTAGTCAATATCACATCATCATACAGGTAGTCAATATCACACCATACAGGTAGTCAATATCACACCATCATACAGAGTCAATATCACATCATACAGGTAGTCAATATCACATCATCATACAGATAGTCAATATCACACCATCATACAGGTAGTCAATATCACACCATCATACAGGTAGTCAATATCACACCATCATACAGGTAGTCAATATCACACCATCATACAGGTAGTCAATATCACATCATCATACAGGTAGTCAATATCACATCATCATACAGGTAGTCAATATCACATCATCATACAGGTAGTCAATATCACACCATCATACAGATAGTCAATATCACACCATACAGGAAGTCAATATCACATCATCATACAGATAGTCAATATCACACCATACAGGAAGTCAATATCACATCATCATACAGGTAGTCAATATCACACCATACATGTAGTCAATATCACACCATCATACAGGTAGTCAATATCACATCATCATACAGGTAGTCAATATCACACCATACAGGAAGTCAATATCACATCATCATACAGGTAGTCAATATCACATCATCATACAGGTAGTCAATATCACACCATCATACAGGTAGTCAATATCACACCATCATACAGGTAGTCAATATCACACCATCATACAGGTAGTCAATATCACATCATACAGGTAGTCAATATCACACCATACAGGAAGTCAATATCACATCATCATACAGGTAGTCAATATCACACCATCATACAGGTAGTCAATATCACACCATCATACAGGTAGTCAATATCACACCATCATACAGGTAGTCAATATCACATCATACAGGTAGTCAATATCACACCATACAGGAAGTCAATATCACATCATCATACAGGTAGTCAATATCACACCATCATACAGGTAGTCAATATCACACCATCATACAGGTAGTCAATATCACATCATACAGGTAGTCAATATCACACCTTCATACAGGTAGTCATTCACACCATCATACAAATAAAGGTAAGGTGTTATATTTTTGCAGCACAAATGCATCAAAATGAAGCAACATCACACTGATAACAATGTTTGCATCAAAGATTATTTATCATAATACCTGTCAAACAAAATCATTCAACCAAACACGTTCCTGTGTACTCACGGTCCACGTAAGTATAGTTACCGTACCAACTACATACACAGGCCACACACAAACAGTAATTTATTTTCAATGAAAGCAAGTGTCTAAAGCTGTTTCATTAATATATATGCTGAGTCTCAGTCGATATTTGTTAATATAACATTTAGCAATCGCTACGAAAGGGTGATATTTAGACACAAACTTGTGCAAACACACTTTACTTAATATAAGCACTTGATCAGAAATTGTTTGTTTCTAGAGCGCTGGCAAACTAGAAAAGGCCGAGATTCTAGAGATGACTGTGGAGTACTTGCGAGCGGTCCAGACAACAGAGATAGGTACTCGATTCGATCATGGTAGGTAGTTTACAAAACGATGTCATGTGGCTTCCCATTTTTCTCTTACTTAAGGGACACTTAATAATGTGTTATCAGGTTACATAAAATGATACAGTGTGTCACTATGAATGATATTATCTAACGTATATCTAAAGGGTATAGTCCACAAAATATATAGATAGTATAAAGTAAAAGTAGACGATTAAGCAAGACAAAGTACGTCTAAACTAGAAAACGAGACATGTAATGACGTCAACACACAGTATCCGTACATCTGTTGTCAGGGATGTGTTTATACCGACATTTCATTTAATCACCGGCTTATACAAATGCTCTATACTCGACATAGCTCCTGAGTGAATTTCATCATGGCTTGTCATACAAATGAAATTAAATTGATCCAATGACATATATAATAAAACGGTACCCATAATACCCTCTGACTGCCATTGCCGTGTCATATTATAAAGGGATTTTTTTTATAATAATCATTATTTCAATTCATTATTTGTCTCTGCTGTACCTGGTTCTAAGGTGCTATTCACTTGTGTGTCTTTGGAATAATATTCCGTGTTGTTTTGGTAGAACTTTGTTGAATAGTTTGCAGAATAACCTTATCGTTCTTATTTCTATGGACTTCAAAATTTACGTAAAAGTACACTGCGACAGTTCATGCATGAATGACCCGAGGTACCCACTCAGCAGACAAAACAATTACTATTTCTCGACATCTAAATCGTGAATTGACCATGCCTAGTGCGACAGTTGCTTGTTATTTCATTCCGCACGTGACCTAAGAAAGAAGCATTAGATTTTCGCGTGCTGTGTGCGTGGACAGCACGCTTGGCACGTGACATACACGTGCGACTTATCAGATAATAACTACCAGTAAGGTAACATATCGCAAGAATTGCGCATTGTAACGTCGCAATGTTACGAACACGTGAGTAAATTAGTTTTAAACACCCGCATCTACGTCTGTTGTCTTGAAATGCAAAGTGACACAAAGAAATGGCGGATTGATCCCTTGTTTTGGGACATGAGACCGTGTCTCACCTAAGGGTCTATTAAAACGGGATTCATCATAGATCCCGTGATAGGCGTGTACAAAGAACTACGGACATCCCCTCAAATCGAGCCATGCATACAACAAAGGCGTCGTATGACAGCTACGCGCCACTAATTATACGTCACACACAGGCTCGCAGAATACTCGTCACGGCTGGCGTGGTGCGCATGGAGGCTGGTGCGGTATACGTGCCTTTGTTGCACTGACGCTGTGGAGTGTCGTAATGTTTGCTCCACACACTGTCATCTCCACGTAAACACTAATTAAAAAGATGTAAAAATGTCACACACCTGTCCGTTTATGTCACAGGAGGATTATCTGTAGAATTTGTTAGTTTTCATACAATGCTTACAACTCTTATGTTGCTAGTATCTTTGTCAGTAACCTTCCATAAACTTAAAGGAAAAGTTTTGTGTTACAGGTGAATGGTACAGCTCTGACGTTTGGGCTGATTTTGTTCACCATTACCAAGCTGGGTACGACGATTGTGTTCGGGAAATCGTTCGCTATATGACAGACGTGGAAGGTCTTCAGGCAAGCGATGAACGATGCATGCGTATAATTTCCTACCTTCAAACACGTTTTCGCGCAGACTCGTCTGTAAGCGGAGGGTCTGCTTACCGTGACGTTTTACAACGACTGACGTCATTAGCCAAATCTCGAGCGTCACCTCCTGAGAACAGATCTTACAGATATACTCCATACGTGTTACCGACTAGAGATCTCGCAAAAACAACACATGGATTATTTACCAACATGTTCAGCAGTAGCTTTTCAGATGATAGCAGTGGCAGAATTATAGGATCGACAGACAGTACATCGTCCCGACTCTCCCCTCCCGACTTGACCAGGACTCCAAGACCTGAAGACAGGCACCAGGCAAGTTTGCCTTATTTCAGGGGAAAATGAACATACAATTTGATGTCATCGTTGTATATAAATATGTTTATATTTATTTTTTATTTTACTTTTGTCTTTTAAGAATCACTGACCAAAGAATACAAATTACCATGTGCATGGCCGTTTTAGTGTTTTTCTTTAAATTGTTTTAGCATTGTTTCTCACGAAGATCCAACAACGGAAAGTCTACAGGTGTATTAACGTGAATATTATTGTGAATCAATACCAGTGTTACTTATATTCCGGTAAATATTCTAAATAAAGAGCTGTGTGAATGACGGCAAAAACTATCTCATATCAAAATTGACATGTTGCACAATTATATGACAACTCTGGCCATTTTGTTTAATATGACACCACAAATGATATCCTTCACTGAAACCTTTGAAAACACTAGACACATCCAGCGATTACCCACGAAAGATAAATGGTAAGTTTGGATTACTGTATACCGATTTATCCACTTTTTGTAATAGCAAGGACAGAGGAATGGTGTTAGAAGGAGTATAGTCTGTTTCAGATGTTTACCTGTGTTTTTATTCTATATCGGAATATCAATATCATCTAATATCAAATAAAATGATAGGAAATTTATGAACCTTAAACAAATAATTAAAGTTTTACATACCTGTATTCTTACTTCATGTTAATATAACACCACTACACAATATGTATCAAGAGAATTATGTAAAGTTAAGTGTATTGTAGTGTCGAAGAAATGTTACATACTTCTTTGTATTTCATTTCAATAAATGTAGAATTACATGTGATGTGTATCATGAAATGTAATATGATTATATGTAGGCTTATCATATTAATTTATGACTCTAAAAGATTTTGATTTTAAAAAAGTATAGTATAGTATCTCAGGTAACAGATAACACAGGATTAAACACAGCTATATTAACTCAGGTGGAATGTATAAGTATGAAACTGACTATAATTTGTTTGCCATTGTCTTCATAAAACAACACCTGTCTTTGTCTTATAAAATGTTATCAAATCGGGAAGCTCCCGTGCGGAGAGCACACTACCATATCATACCTCCCATTTCAAATATTGATTCGTGTAATAAAATGTCTTTGTCCGAAGCCTTGTCATGTTCTTGTTATTATCGTTCATTACTTAAATTTACAATAGTGATGTTCATTTAAAGGAAGGAAAGACAAATAAAACGCAATATTAATATGAAAATCAATAAAACCACGAAGTGCTTGTAATCATTCACTCCGACTGCGGCGTATTGTCGTATCAGCTTATTAATGTATATTTCAGAATGAATTCAAAATTGTCGGAGCTAATCTTAAGTTTAAAGATATGTCCGATATTTATCATAATCTTCCATGAAAAGATAGGATACATATCAATAAATCACCTGTTGTTTACTTTCTAAATACAATCAATCAATTTTGATAAAGTAAAAAGGACACGAGTCTGTTCATTTGACATTAGACAATGTTGAAAAATCAAACTGATGCTCAAGATTGAGAGAGAGACACACACAGAGAGAGAGGATTTGTTTGAACTGGTTCTTTAAAGAATCACATTCCGATTCATTCCACTTCGATAGAAAAGCCTACCACAAGACGGACTAGAAACCAGCTGACCCAACAGTTTTTTTTAATATATTGCAAAATGCCCAGTGTGTTACCCTGACAGCATGTTCCTACAGTTTTAGTCACTAGCTAAATAGTGCAACACCGATTGTATAACGACAAATCGTAGATTGACTTTGAAATGCTTGTATGCTCATCATTGTTTGTATCTGTACATACTCAAGATTTCAATTTGCCCAGGGCCTTGAACTGTCATCCTATATCAGTGAATATGTTAAGGATGGGGATTACTCGCCGAATTGTGTGCGTTATCTAACATTCATATCGAAATATTTACGATTATTACTATATATTTATCGTTTATGCTGAAAACAAAGCAAAGGAGAGGCGTGTTTACATAGTTCGCAGAAGTGGAGACGTTTATACTTTCTGTTAAGGTGAACAAGGTGTGGTATCTTATCTCCCGATGATAAACCCATCACCTCGTCTACCGATGTTCATAGGTCAACAAGTGACTAAGGTTACTCTGTCAATATCCGTAGCTGGTACAGGTGGGGTGCACAGGTGACAAGTTTTTCACTCCCATATCAACGTATCATACCCTTAACATTACTTACAATATCACAACTTCAAATAAGTTATGTATTTAGTAACGTGTCTTGATCGTTTTCAATATCGATCTACCTGTTACCTCTGTTACCACTTGTTAGTTTATCTCAGCGAATGGAGGCGCATTTTGTTGAGTCAACTCGTTGTCCGGTTGTGCCACATAAAAACTAGGATAAAACTTGAACGGTACTTGCTGTTCAAAAGACTCTTAAAAGTGTTTAGGGTAGTTCTAGCTTTATATCGCAAGAAATTTATCTTTAGTGCTAAAGTAGAATATTGTAATGATCCGCCTACAAATGTGATATACTTTCAGGCTGACAGAGACATAACCTAAACCGCTGTATTATTTGATGTTAAAACATGTAAAATGAGAAGCGTCTCCATTGACGACACCTGACATATGAATCTTGGTAAATCCCAGAAAGTAAAGTCTCGTTTTCAATTGAGAACCAGGTATTCAACGATTACTCTGACGACAGTAAAACTCCCCCATATTTCTCATCAACCTGCATCTTTTGAAACTGTGCTATGATTTTGTCTGTCAGTTGACTTCTTGAACGAAAATCGTGACAATGGGAACAGGCTACTGAATATCGAATCAACTGCGACATGTACACGGGTTGGGAATGCTTGGGTTGTTGTTTACATGAAATGAAAAAAATCACAATGGGGCAACCGAAATCATCACGCTTATCATAAAGCTTGGCGGAAAACTGTTCATGTTGGTTTCGCTGTAGGAAAAGATGAGATAAGCGGGTGAAGTATAAAGAGTCTGTCGAGACCTTTATTTCCAATTCTGGTGGGTATATACGATTAAACGACTTTGTCAAGGTTTTTGTGACCTGTGTTGGTAAGCTCTTCGATAAATTCAGATTCGAGTTCCAATAGGTATGCCAAAAGTCTGTTGAAAGTTCATACCACCAAACTCGACGAAGATGTCGTCAACCGGAAACACGATAATTTTTCTATTTTCGTAAATTTCCTCTTCGATAAGGGCGTATTTTCACGAAATAAGCCTCAACATAGCTCATAACCATATACAGGGCATCCCAAATATATGATACTATTACAAAATGCAGCAACTTTGCTCATCTTTAACGGATAATTTTCATTTATACCTCAAACTAAAGGTGACATTTAAAATGTTTTGTTTAAAAACATTACGGGAAAATACGTCAATGCCATTATAACATCGTCAATGACATCATAACTAACTAGTCATATTTCTGGCAGATTCTCAAGGTGGCTCTTTCCAAAAACACGGACAAAGAAAGTGCTAAAGGATGTTAGGTAGTAATTGTTAGTAACATAGATATAAGTAACCTGATAGTGTACGAACAGGATGTTAGGTAGTAATTGTTAGCGACATGATTGTGTACTAACAGGATGTTAGGTAGTAATTGTTAGTAACCTAGATATAAGTAACATGATTATGTACTAACAGGATGTTAGGTGTTTATTGTTAGGGTAACATGATTGTGTACTAACAGGATGTTAAGTGTTTATTGTTAGTAACATGATTGTGTACTAACAGGATGTTAGGTGTTTATTGTTAGTAACATGATTGTGTACTAACAGGATGTTAGGTGTTTATTGTTAGTAACATGATTATGTACTAACAGGATGTTAGGTAGTAATTGTTAGCAACATGACTGTGTACTATCAGGAAGTTAGGTAGTTATTGTTAGTAACCTAGATATAAGTAACATGATTATGTACTAACAGGATGTTAGGTAGTTATTGTTAGTAACCTAAATATAAGTAACATGATTATGTACTAACAGGATGTTAGGTAGTTATTGTTAGTAACCTAATATATAAGTAACATGATTGTGTACTAACAGGATATTAGGTAGTTATTGTTAGTAACCTAGATATAAGTAACATGATTGTTTACTAACAGGATGTTAGGTAGTAATTGTTAGTAACATGATTGTGTACTCACAGGATGTTAGGTAGTAATTGTTAGTAACCTAGATGTAAGTAACATGATTGTGTACTAACAGGATGTTAGGTAGTAATTGTTAGTTACATGATTGTGTACTAACAGGAAGTTAGGTAGTAATTGTTAGTAACCTAGATATAAGTAACATGATTGTGTACTAACAGGATGTTAGGTAGTAATTGTTAGCAACATGATTGTGTACTAACAGGAAGTTAGGTAGTAATTGTTAGTTACATGATTGTGTACTAACAGGATGCTAGGTGTTTATTGTTAGTAACATGATTGTGTACTAACAGGATGTTAGGTAGTAATTGTTAGTAACCTAGATATAAGTAACATGATTATGAACTAACAGGATATTAGGTAGTAATTGTTAGTAACCTAGATATAAGTAACATGATTATGTACTAACAGGATGTTAGGTAGTTATTGTTAGTAACCTAGATATAAGTAACATGATTATGTACTAACAGGATGTTAGGTAGTAATTGTTAGTAACATGATTGTGTACTAACAGGATGTTAGGTAGTAATTGTTAGTAACCTAGATATAAGTAACATGATTATGTACTAACAGGATGTTAGGTAGTTATTGTTAGTAACATGACTGTGTACTAACAGGAAGTTAGGTTGTAATTGTTAGTAATCTAGATATAAGTAACATGATTGTGTACTGACAGGATGTTAGGTAGTAATTGTTAGTTACATGATTGTGTACTAACAGGAAGTTAGGTAGTAATTGTTAGTTACATGATTGTGTACTAACAGGAAGTTAGGTAGTAATTGTTAGTTACATGATTGTGTACTAACAGGATGTTAGGTAGTAATTGTTAGTAACCTAGATATAAGTAACATGATTATGTACTAACAGGATGTTAGGTAGTAATTGTTAGTAACCTAGATATAAGTAACATGATTATGTACTAACAGGATGTTAGGTAGTAATTGTTAGTAACCTAGATATAAGTAACATGATTATGTACTAACAGGATGTTAGGTAGTTATGTTAGTTACATGATTGTGTACTAACAGGAAGTTAGGTAGTAATTGTTAGCAACATGATTGTGTACTAACAGGATGTTAGGTAGTAATTGTTAGTTACATGATTGTGTACTAACAGGAAGTTAGGTAGTAATTGTTAGTTACATGATTGTGTACTAACAGGAAGTTAGGTAGAAATTGTTAGTTACATGATTGTGTACTAACAGGAAGTTAGGTCGTAATTGTTAGTTACATGATTGTGTACTAACAGGATGTTAGGTAGTAATTGTTAGTTACATGACTGTGTACTAACAGGATGTTAGGTGTTTATTGTTAGTAACATGACTGTGTACTAACAGGATGTTAGGTGTTTATTGTTAGTAACATGACTGTGTACTAATAGGATGTTAGGTGTTTATTGTTAGTAACATGATTGTGTACTAACAGGATGTTAGGTAGTAATTGTTAGCAACATGATTGTGTACTAACAGGATGTTAGGTAGTAATTGTTTGCAACATGATTGTGTACTAATAGGATGTTAGGTAGTAATTGTTAGCTACATGATTGTGTACTAACAGGATGATAGGTAGTAATTGTTAGTTACATGATTGTGTACTAACAGGATGTTAGATAGTAGTTGTTGGTAATGTTGATATAAGTAACATTAGAGTGTACCAACAAAATGTTAGTCAGTTATTGTAAGCAACGCAGATATAAGTAACATGATAGCATATAGACAATATGCATCATCTTTGTTGAGTTCATTAATAGTAAGAACTGGTTATTTCATTATCAGTGTAAGAATAAGCAGGCTAACATGACAATACCTAAAATGGAAAGCTACCCAAAATGGAACACATCCCAAAACGTTTGACAGTGTTTTCATTTTGTAATACAAGTGAATAATAACTAGATCTGTTCTAAACAAGAAATAAGGTGTTTTTATATTACTATGGCATGTTTTATCAACATATCTTCTTTATGGCATGTTTTATCAATATATCTTCTTTATGGCATGTTTTATCAATATATCTTCTTTATGGCATGTTTTATCAATATATCTTCTTTATGGCATGTTTTATCGATATATCTTCTTTATGGCATGTTTTATCAATATATCTTCTTTATGGCATGTTTTATCAATATATCTTCTTTATGGCATGTTTTATCAATATATCTTCTTTATGGCATGTTTTATCAATATATCTTCTTTATGGCATGTTTTATCAACGTGTCTTCTTTATGGCATGTTTTATCAACGTGTCTTCTTTATGGCATGTTTTATCAACGTGTCTTCTTTATGGCATGTTTTATCAACGTGTCTTCTTTATGGCATGTTTTATCAACATGTCTTCTTTATGGCATGTTTTATTAACATGTCTTCTATGTTGCCTATCATCTCTATTTAAAATCTGAAAGATGAGATTATAAAACATTTTTGATAGATAAGTGACTGGGTTTAATGAAAAAGTAAGTAAACTTTATAAAAGGAAGAAAAATATTCAAGATAATATTGGTTACTTCTATAGGATATAAGAGGTGTTCCATTTTGGGTACCTCTATCTGTTGAAATGCATTGCTGAATCTAATTGTAATAAGAAATAATCTTCCATATGTAAAACGCTAACAAATAAAGTTTGTATTGGAGTAATATGCACACTTTAGATTAACAATGGAATTGCATGCATATCAAGATTCATATGTGAGAAACTATAGTTTGCAAGGCTGTGTGCTTTCCTTTAATAATAATGTGACAACTTTTCACCTAAAGTTTATGGCAATTCTTTCTCTTTTATTTCCTAATATGTCTTTCTCACTGAAAACCACAACATACAAAAATAAAGCTCAATAGACTCTTTATTCTCTCAGACAAACCATTCACATTGCAGGGAAAGATCTCTCGCTATCAAAATCCTATTTCACTCATACATACAATCTTGCATTGTTCCCCTCCAAACTTCCATCGTTTTATTTCATGTTTTATCATTGTATGATTGTATTACTAAAAAATCTCTAATATTTACAAAAGACTACAGATTCAGATGTAGAGGTGCTAAATGTAAACATGTAACACTGAAAGACCAAATACATACATATCTTTAAATATGCACTGAAAAAACCCAGACAACAAAAAAACTATACAACAGATGATTTTTAAAAGAAATAAAACAGTTTTATTAAAAGACTCCAAGAATACAAGTTCCTATTGGTATTATTTCCTGAAGACTGAGTCACAAGCAACTTTTTTGTACCACAAACAAAATCTTCTGTCCAAAATGAGGTGCTTTTCCCCTTGAGGAATTATAATTCTCCAAAGATTGATTTTGTCACCTGTGACTTTTTTGCATGAAACATGAAATCTCTTGTTCCTTTTGAGATATTTTTTCATAAGTGGCAACACTAACACTGTCACCGGTAACATTTTACTACCACTAGTCACATCTCTTCCGATAACTTATTCTGTCCCTAAACCCACTTCCTCCTTCTGTGATCTAGTGGTTCCTGTACCATTGTGTACTGCCTGTAACATACTGTGTAGCTGTAGAAGTGTCAAGTAAGACTGTTCCCAGGGTAATGTCATATTTGTGTTCAGTGAATTGTTGTGGTCAGGATGATAAAGCACATAATGACACATAATGCAAATGCTGACTTTCCTCCCAATAACCAACTGCATACACAGTCACATCAATCGAAACCCACAGGACTCTGCTCTTAAGACAAATGACAAGATTACAGTCACTTGAGTTTCCAACAATAACATACCAGTGTCCATGTACTGTAGCCCTTGTCTTCTTATTCAACAGTATAATCTGGTATTAAACATTATGGAGATGACAATCTAACATGATTATGATTTGCTGCTTGTGGTGACAGCACCCATTCTTGTTGGGTCCTGTGAGGGGTAGTGTACTGGCATGGCGGAACCCATCATCACTCTTGGAGGGGGACGCATCGGCATCATTCCTGGGGGAGGGGGAGGTAACCTCACACCTGAACAGACGAAAAGACATAATTCAAAGTAAATTCATAACTTTTCTAGTAGAAATTACATTAACTAATATGATAATAGCTGAACGTAATTTTATTTAAGTCATGACAATATTATATCAAACTTGAGCAGTTTTGTGTTACAAACCTGGTGGGGGAGGTCCTCTGAACATTCCAAATGGCATCATGTGTGCACCAGGAGGAACAAGACGAGGAGGCATTCCTCTTGGAGGACCAGGTGGCATTGGAAGGTGGTTGGGGGCATTGGGTAAATTAAAGAAATTATTTGCAATTTCTTCTGGTGGTGGAGGCAAGGCTGAAAGTTGACACCAATGCAATCAGAAGTTATCAATTACACTTAAATGAATCTATTATGGCGACTTCAGCAACACGACAGGTGTCTATATAAACACACATATTACTCTTACTATATCAAAATTACTGAAGCAAATTGAAACATGTTTGGTACATTGCATATGAAGTTATTTCTAATCATATTTATGTAAGAAGGCTATTACTTTTCTGAAGGAAATTCCAAACCTACAAGCTACCTATTACAAAAAAGTAACGTTATAAGTAAAATAAAATATTCTCATTTTTTTTAGAAAATCAGTTATATTTATTAGTTCTTTGTGTTAGCATCATTTTATTCTCATCCAACATAATATCAACATAACTGAAAACATGTCAGACAAATGAAGCTAAATCTGTGACCAAGTACTTACCCCCTGGAAGACCAGGTACTGGCTCAAGAGCTTTTTCTGAGTCCTCTCCATCTTTCTTTGTGATTCCTAGCTGGGCTTGAGATTTACCCCACTTAATGTTGAGACGTCTTCCACCCATAATCAGTTTATTAAAAGACTTCTCTGTGGCATTCTCAGCTGCCTGTCTTGTTGTGAACTGCACAAATGCACACTGCTGCTTACTGGCGATGTTGATTGATCTGATTTCTCCGAACTGGTAAAAGTGGTCCCTACGGACACAAGGTTTGATACAGAATTTACCACTTAAGCTTTGGTTTATTGTTATAGATGTGTAAAGGAAATACTATACATCAGTTACTGGTGTAAGAAGTAAATATGTTATGTGGTCTACTTGTAAAGCTGACATTACAGAAGATAAACATCAAGAAAAGAGTACACTGTTGACTGTTTTAAACATTTTGAAGCTCTTCTGAGATGAACAAAAATTTTGTATAAGTAATGATAGGCAATAACTCCATTTTCACTATGTTAAACTCAAGTTGTTCACAAAATCATGTGAATTTATGCCCAAAAAATTATGTTTGAAATGTTGATGAACAGGTTATTTGCATAACCAGAAGCGTTCGAATATCATGATACAAGGGAGACAACCATTATACACTTGTGCAAAACACAAACCTGAGTTCGGTCTCTCCTATTTTGTCCCCAAGATTTCCAACATAGAGAGTTGTGATGGATTTATCTTCTGGAGCATCTAACTTTGGCATATTACTGTAGCGGTTCATGAGTTTGTCTGCCACAGGGTCATTCATTCCGTAGAATCTGTCCTTTATGTTTTGATCTGCTAGAGGATCATCAGGATCTGTTGGTTTGTCATGTCTGCGGCATAAGATAATTTATTCTAAAATAATAGTAATAAGATATGTTTTTAATTGGATAATTATCTCCAATATACTCAAGAATTCTGATGCTAGCCCAATAATGGCAGCCATCTTTCTGGTTGAGATAGATAGTTGGAGAACTTTATTATAACAATTCTACATCATGTACATGTATTCTACATCATCAATGCTTGAAAGGAGGGTTTTAATTGGCTAAGAACATGTAAAAGACTGTTTCACACGAAATTGTGCAGTTTTCAGTTTTTTGTTGACTTTTGTTGATATTGAGATAATTACATCACTTTTTAGCTCAAGTAAGTTTAGAATGGGGATAGTATGTTTGTTTTTATGCATATACAGGAGATTAGATCGTGAATTTTGTGGTCAAGTGTTTAAACAACAAAATTCCAGTATATGCATAAAGACAAACATACAATTCCCTAATTGATATCATCCATTTGTCTTAATTGTTCAGGCTCTAGTTTCACAAATCTTCCTTAACTTAAGGAAGTTTCCTTAACTAACTTTTGTAATACTTTCTTACATGAAATTTTAACCTAAGGAAAATTCTTTAAGTTAAGGAAGATTTGTGAAACAGGGGCCAGATCAACCTAGAGAATAATATAACTTCATTTCTACAATAAATAATAACAACTGGTAAGTTCATTGTGCCTGTCATATGTTAAGCATATGCTCTTGGATGAATCGGTCCCTGGCTAAGAATTTCAGAAACTCATGTATCATATGTAGTCCTGATGTTATATTTTGAGATACAGTGAGTAGACCTTTGCAGCAGCACCAATTGTTCTATCTACAGAGGTATTTATAGCATGTTGTATTGGGTTTTTATTACTCCCATCATTCACAGTAGATGTTCACAGGAACACACATTGTTCTGCCTAATAAGTATTAGGTTAAGTATCAGGAATGATAAAACACTTAAAAGTTATACGATCATACCTGTAGGGACACTCCTCTCCTCTCTTACACTCCCCCTTCACCCAGAAGGAGCAGATATGAGGTCTATTTCGTTTGTAGTAGGGTGTTGTACGGGCCAGTTTCAGAAGCATGTCACTTGGAGTCTGAGCTTTACCCAACTGTCCAGGTGCAACAGTACCATCACCATTTGCGATCTGAAAATGACAATTATCAACTGCAGTTTAGTATTTTTCCGTGCATTTTTCAAAGTGAATTTTTTTACTATTTACATCAATTATATCGCAACTCATTTAACAAGTTCTAATAATATAATAAATTGTTCTAAAAATTACTGGAATAAAATGTTAACACACACAGTTGCAAACATCTACATTACCACTGCAATACTATTCAGACATGAATTTTATAGTTTTATGATGTTTGAAACAAAATATGCATTCACAGAGCCATTTCGTTGAATCTTTTAAAAAAAAAACAGACAGCACAGATCAGTAGGGAAGCAGATCTCCAAAAACGTTTTGCATATGTAGGATTAGAGGTCCAGTCATGCCTGGCAGAATCTAATGGCAGAAAACCAATAGTCTGCAAAATTATATAAAACAATGTCATGTATATACACATCTGAGAAAAGTTTATGAAATTTTGTGAAAGAGAAAGCAAAAAAAAAAAAAACCCTTATCCTTGGTTTTTCTGAATTTCAGCTCAAACACTCTTAAATTGTAAATTTCAAGCTGCAAGTTGACCAAAATATAGTTAAGTTTATTGTAAACTATGTCTCTGCAGATTCTGTTTTGTCTTGGCGATTTTCAATGGATAAGGAAAAAGTGTCCTATATGTCCTTTAATGTACATGTATATTGTAATAAATTGGTATAGTGTCTTCCTTATCATGTATATAATATATTTGGGTGAAGGCATATAGAGGGTAATGGGGAATGATTTGTTGTATACTTCAGCTTTAACTGACACCGGGAGGGGGACCATGCTGATAGTCGACAGACTGACACGGCTAATGGCTTAGCCGAGAGCTTGACCTTAGGTCAATTGGACTATCAAGGCTTCAGAGGAGTTCCTCTCCAGAGAACAGATGTGTGTGTGACTGTCTCGCTGGATATTTCGTTGAGGTCTATTACCTCAGGGTTTCTTGTGTGTTGATCTGGGCTAATATAGTATGTGTTGTATAAAGTGTAAATAAACTTGTAAATAGAATTTTTGCTGTTGTGATGTATTTCCACTGACTCTGTAGATATATATCCACCCAGTCATGTTACAATATCTATACTAATCCTGGTCACAAATGTTAACTGTACAAACCTCATTCTCCATGTTTTGTGTGTAATACTCTTTGTTTACATCAGACTTCGGCATGTTGTCTTGGATCTTCAATGCTGCATCTCTCACCTGCACAGGTAAGCCTATGGACAAAATCAAGTGTTTATAAGATCTCTCATTAGTACAAGTAGGACTATTGTTAGTCAAGTGTTTACAAGATCTCTCATTAGTACAAGTAGGACTATTGTTAGTCAAGTGTTTACAAGATCTCTCATTAGTACAAGTAGGACTATTGTTAGTCAAGTGTTTACAAGATCTCTCATTAGTACAAGTAGGACTATTGTTAGTCAAGTGTTTACAAGATCTCTCATTAGTACAAGTAGGACTATTGTTAGTCAAGTGTTTACAAGATCTCTCATTAGTACAAGTAGGACTATCGTTAGTCAAGTGTTTACAAGATCTCTCATTAGTACAAGTAGGACTATTGTTAGTCAAGTGTTTACAAGATCTCTCATTAGTACAAGTAGGACTATTGTTAGTCAAGTGTTTACAAGATCTCTCATTAGTACAAGTAGGACTATTGTTAGTCAAGTGTTTACAAGATCTCTCATCAGTATATGTTAGACTCTGACTAGTCAAGTGTTTACAAGATCTCTCATCAGTATATGTTAGACTCTGACTAGTCAAGTGTTTACAAAATCTCTCATCAGTATATGTTAGACTCTGACTAGTCAAGTGTTTACAAGATCTCTCATCCGTACATGTAAGACTATAATGGAGTCACTGAATTACAAGACCTCCCAATGGTTAAATTTTAGACTGATAAAGTATTTACAAAATTTCTCATTGGTACACATAAAAGTATTGCCAGTTAAAAGATTACTGGCTATAGTCAATCAAACAATTACAAGACCTTTCATCAGTACAAGTAATAAGAATTAAGTCATTCATATGAAATGGTGAATATTTTCATTATCTCAGTTGAACAGAGAAAAATCAAAATGCAGTTGAATGATTCATTTAAAATTTTAGCGATTCTTGTTGAAAATATATCAATTTCATGAAAATGTACACAAATGCCCCCTCCCCCAAAAGATGTCATGAACAGTTTTATTACCATACTCAAGATCTAAGAGGCAAGTCTGACACACATTCTTTATCTTTGAACATGTTTGGCACACTTCAGTCTTTTTGAACCTCATACGTGCACCAGGACACCATCTGAACACTGTAAAAGGACGTGCACAAATCTTGCATTCCTTCCCATATTTCTCCTTCATCTGAAAATACAAAAGCAAACAGGTGTAAGGAAACCTAATTGATGCAAATTCTGCCATTCTACACATATAAGACTCATGAAATTTAATACCATATATGTATACATGTATTTGTAAAAAATATCTACAATGTTTCCTCTAATTTTAACATCTGAATTCAAATCTGGCACATGATGTACAATGTAATTATGTATAAATATTTTTTGAACTCTCAAGTTATAAGTAAAGATTGTCATTGATGTTACATGAATGTATGGCTCAACTCTATAACTCTATCAGGACACAGTGGCACTTCTCAGTTTTTATCCATGTACAATAACACTACAATGTCAGCACTTATTGAAACTAAATGACCAGTACCTTTGATTTACATAATAAGTTTGATTCATGATTTACATACTAAAATAGTCTTGAAATGAAAATGTCTATCTTTTCTAGACACAGCTCAGTTACCTGGTCAGCTCTTGAACACTAAACTTATCTTTTGTTGTTTTAATCTTTCTAAGAAATACTTGTCAATGACTAAAAATATTGTTGGGTAAAATTAAGGAGACATGTAATGACTTTTTCCAATCCTATTAAATTTATAGAATTACTTGTCAATGACTTAAAATACTGTTTGGTAACATTAGAAGAAACATTTCAGGACTATTTCCAACACTGTTATAATTACATGCAAATGTTGTTATGTTTTTGCAAGGTCAAATAGTACTGGTGTAATGGTGGATATTGACATCGTCAAACTCAATGCTCCAACATCCCCTAAAAATATTCAGCCTTTATATTTTTGTTGTGGTGACAGTCCTTTTACACCTCAACACACAAATAACAATTTTCTGGATTAATAGTGTTGTAAAAACAAACAAAATAAATTAAGTTATTTTTTGCATTGGCATGTACCCAAAATCACAGATGCATTTCTTTGGAGCAAAACGTGGATTGACATTTCATCCCTACAAACTCGTAATTAAACACACACACACATTAAGAGACCATGCGGAACCTAAACATCACAAATCAAGCTTCAGAAAATATCCTTCCAACAGTCAAGAAATAGTGACAATACACTTCAAATGTCAAATTCCATGATGGCTTCCTGTCAGCCATATTCAGCCTCAAAATTTACTAGACACAACTAGTGATCAAGGATTATTCTCTTTGTACTTCTAAAGAAATGGTTATAGCAAACTTCAACTGTCAAAATCCAAGATGGATGGGCACAACAAGCTATAGCAACTTACATGTACATCTTTAAGTTTCAGAAATATCAATACACTACTTCAAGATATTATGATAACAAGAATTGTTACCTGACAAAATTTCTTAGATGTCAATAGTTAGCTGATATCTGCAAATTTTGGCAACTAATAACTCACTGTTAACTGCTTGTGCATTATAAAAATTGGGGTAAAACTTAAATGGAGCATTGTACCAGTGCCATTTAAGCTACATTCAAAAGTGCTTAGAGTAAGGGGTTTGACTTCTGAACTTGAAAGTAAACATGGATGAGTCCATGAAGATAAAGGTTTCAAAAGTTCAGACCCAGCATATAATTTTCTTTGTTGACTGACTCACAGGATAGCTAAAGTTCATTTTATTATTAAAAACTACAACCAAATCATTTTCAACTTTTTCTATCATTACACGGAAAATGGAAGGTGAACCACATACTTGAATAACGTACTATCTGATGGGCTTAAAAGTGTTTGTCAGGTTGATTTTATTCAATGTATGCAGATTCTGTTCTGGTGTTGCAAACTTACCATGCGTATGTAAGGATTGTCTCCGAGACATGTCTGGCATAAAATCGGAAAATCCTAAAACATGAATAAGAAATTCAATATATATAATGTTCAATGTATACAAATAAATTGAATTCAAAAGATAAAGCATTTCCACAAAAATATATACTTGGGTGGTATGCATGGGTTTATTAATTTTGTCAAGGCAGTTTTCTGATATATAGGCATTCTTATGACCATAAGGTTACGTGAGTCTATCAAAAAAGCATTGAGAGGCAACAAGCGTCATGAAAATTTCTTTTAAGATACATAATGAAGTTAGCGACATCAAACATGTTATTGCCAGGACCATAATACACCTATGTAACAAGTTTCATTTTGTATTTGTGAAATAGGTTTCGTTAAATTTTCTTTGGTCATAAGTACATGTGTGTATCATTCTCTAGCAACACCCTCAAGCTACAGTGAACGAACTTGGCACTCGCCCACTCGCCAAGGGGGAGTGATATCATTATTGGGCGAGTAAAATCATAAATTGACTTGTCCGGTTTGGTGAGTACGACAAAATTCCTCTCTCCAAAATAACGTGTTTAATTTCTTTGACCAATACGCTGAAGTAAGTTTGTAATATATCCGAGTTTACAGTAACTTAATCGTACAGTAGTAATGTGTCCCGTAGTAAGTACACGTAACAGTTTTCTGGCTAAATCGCTGTGAAATATGTCACCACTTGTTGATGGGTTGTGCTACTGACAAATACAACCGTGTTCCGATTGGCGGATACACTGTAATGGGACGCTAATCACTAGCAGTGTTACATCCAGCGTGTTTTCGGTTCATCAATTCAACATGTCCCTATTACGGTATGGCTTCACCGGCGCAAAAGCACCAGTTGTGACGCCGATTGGGAATAACAATAATACCAAACTGAAAGAATATGAGAAAAACAGAAAAAGAATATTCAATTCAAAATGGAAGGTTGGCCATGCTTGGTTAGAAGATTAGGAAGACGGTACAGGTATGTACTGTAAATGGTGCAGAGACAATCGTGAACTGTTGAAGTCTCGTGGATTGATAAAACGCAACACCACTTTTATTGATGGGTGCTCATCTTACAAGTTGGAATCGATTACATACTTCTGTCACCAACTTCAGTAAATAAAATTAACCAGATGTTAACATGTCTCAATTCTTTATTGTTAACCCTAATGAAAATGAATCAATGTAGCCATTAATAATTTGGGCGAGTAGAAATTTGTTTTGGGCGAGTTGATTTCTATAGGCACTCGCTCGGTTCGGCGAATAAAAAAATTGTTAAGTTCCAACACTGAAGCTATATATATTAAAATACTAAATAAAGTTAATGACATGTAAAGATATCTTCTTAATATGATCATAATACATTAGTGTATCAAGTTTCAGGTTCATAAAAAGATATATGAAAATGGGGATATATATATGATAAGGAATTCTGACAAGCCTCCAATATAAATGAGTCCAAAGGAGGAATCCCTAAAAGTGATAAAGTTAAAATTCATGATCATCTGTGACATTTGCACTTAATTCTCACTCTGGCTGCACACTATAGTAAATGGAGAACAAAGTCAGATATATAAAATGTCATTTTAGCACAATGTTATGCTACAGAGGTGAACATTTTTTATGCAGTTATACAAAATCATAGTCACTTAAGCTAGGGGTGAGTCATGTTTGAAACATGACGCCCATTTGGTTACAAAGTTTTAAAATAACTATAAATGTTTCTATTTCAAAATGACTCTGCATTTTGAGTAATTAACTACTCAAAGCAGTACTGTACCTGTCCCTCAAATGCAGGACTTTTTTATTATTATTATTATTTGCGGGGTTGTGCCCAGGCAGATTATGGAAATATTGAAAACATATCTTTTGATGTCGCTACATTTAAAGAGTATATTAAAAATATTTTCTGACGAAGACTCACGTGTTGGCGCTTTTTCGATAGACCAGGTCACACAATATAGCCAATTTCTCTTAACCACGTTTATGAAAATTTGAGCATTTCAAACATACACGATGTTGAGACAATGCTGTCTCTAACATATTAACTGTTATCCAAACTAGTATTCATATGAAAGGACAAAAAACGCTTCTAAAAATAAATGATACGAGGAAAACAAAAATACACAAACTTACAGACTCTTCCCAATTCTGTCGATTGTACGTATTCGCTCCTTTAGAAGCCGCCATCTTTGTAGTCAGTGTTTGGGTGATCTATAATTTCAAAGCGGAACGAAAAATATCATCTTTTTATTTTTTTTGTAAGTGTCAAATACATAATAATAACCATTTGGTAACAAGTTCTTTAAAATCAAATGACAAAATTTAAAGTACGAACTTTTTTTTTATAATGTACATTTCATAATGCGTTTCGAAAGTTTATTTTCACGTTGTTTCGTAAATTAATATTTTCGTCTAAGCCATTGCCGTGTTTGTCCTTTAAGAACATATCCAAGCATCTAGGTGATTCTGGTTTGTTTTGATGAATCTTGGCCATCATCATCATACGTATTCGTGGATTTCGAACAGTTTATACATATATTTAGATGGCGTTTCCCCTACATGTATAAGAAACATATTGTCGAAAATAAGTCAATGATATGATAATGTCCAAACGACTGATTATCTCCGGAAAATTTGTGTAGTGGTAAGTCACGGGTAACAAATGTTTCAGAACCCAGATGTATTGTTATCGTCTCGACCTCGGTTCCGAAACGTTATGTATTTCGGATCGGTCATTTCTTCAAGCTGTATTGTTTCTACCAAATAATAATCATTTTCAACTGGTTGAAGGTTTTGTCATTATGGTTGATTGTGGAAAGACACGGAGAGAAACAGAATTAATTATGGAAGGAGGAGATTTGAAGGAAGATAATGCGCCACGGATACTTTCCACGGAAGTTGGTTCACCAACTTTTTTTGTGAAATATTGATAAAAATATATGAATACACAGAATACCTAAATTATTTCAGAAGTACCAAAATGACTTTATAAAGAGTAGACAAATATCTTCCTTAAAACTAGAAATTGAGAGTAGGCTAGAAGGCACTTTTACTAGCCTCGGTTAGTGATAATTTCTCATTACTCAAGGGATTGAGTGGCCAGCCAGAGATCGAAGGGTTATTCAATCGAACACAAGCAGCGACAGGGTATGTTTTTGATGTGTTTGACCAATCCTAAGGTAGAAGCTAAAGGAGTCGTTCATTTTAAAAATTTACTGAAACAGTTTGATTTTTAAGTACAAAAGGTATATACATCTTCATAAGCATCTGCACTAATGTTTAAAGGCACTGCTAAGTATTTTGATTTGCAACTCACACATTATTAGATAGCAGATACTTTCCACTGGTAGAAACGTCTATGGACAAACAATCAGTTTGGACATTGTAGTGTTTCAGGGATCCAAGGACAAACAATCAATTTGGACACTAGTGTTTCAGGGATCCAAGGTCAAGGCCATAGTCAGTGATGCTGGATGTTTAGAAAATATTGCTTAGTTCAATTTAAACACTAAGCAACTCAATTCTTGCATAGATTTTGGTCCATATTTATACAAGGATAAAGTAATGAGTATACTTTGGACATAGTCGTTTATCAAATTCCACTTTATGCTTTCATGGAATTTGATAAATCTTTATGCAAAGAACAAGTATAAGTGTACTTTTGACATTGTTGTGTTTCAGCAGTAAAGGTCAAGACTTCGAGGGCAAGGCCATTTTTGTCTTCATTTTCAAGTTATATTTATATGAAATAGAAAAGTAATTGTCCTGACAATATTACGTTGTGTTTTTCAGCTATGTTTAACAGACTGGAAATAAGATGATACAAAATGATATTCACAAACATCAGTTCCATTGATTTCTGATAAATCCAGCATGTTACTAAGTTACTTCTAACATGTACTTTACTGAGACTATGATTCCACACGTATGTAAATAGGTATGTAACTAATAGAAATATGTATGTAAATGTATGCTGCTGCAGCCTTTTCATGTGATCACAGAAGATGGAACCCTGCAGAAATACATTGAATTGGGTTGGCTGAATCATAAACAAGTACAATGTCATCCAAGGGAATCTTCTCCATAAGTTTTAACCAGGATCATGGTAAGCATGTCACAGAAGGAAAGCACCATTTACATATCATGATGCACATTTAAATCTTAAAATTTTCCAAAATCTATGTCTTATCAAATCGTTTATGATATTGGTCTAGTGATCATTACAGGAAAGAAAAGGGATCATGGGATGTATTTAGATATCTAAGTTGGTTAGAGCAGTTATCTTGAATCAAAGATATATGATTTGATTCTCAGTCTGATTCTATCTGTTCACTCTCCTCTAACAATATATATGGTATATAAATTCTTTGAAATGTTTCATCAGACAAAAGACCAATACATCAAACATTTAAGATGTTTCAAATCATACATTTGAAAAATATGTGGCAGCTTTATGCAAATCATACTTTTGAATTGGTGTCAGGTCAAGGCAGCTTTCTGTTAAAGTGGTACAATGTATCATAAAAGAAGCCATGTAGATATGCTTGTGGTGGGCTTTACTGAATCAAAATGACCTATTGATCCTCACACATATGGCCTCATAGCAAAAGAGTAACTTTAATGGTCAATGTTATAAATTTCACCACATTTTCTATAATAGTAAAATGAGGTTATAATTCACATATATTGCACATGTATAATTGCATATTATTATATGTATATTAATTTATTAGGAAATAACAATTGTCATCAATGGCTTTGGTGTACATGCCTGAACCAGGTGTAAATTAATCATGATCCTAATCAATTTCAGGTTGTTTCATATGTGCGACAGATTCAGGTCTTCGGATCTATAACGTCGAGCCTTTGACACAGAAGTTATATCTCAGTGAGTATGACATCGAAGTATTAATGTTAAGTATTGGTTATTGCTTAATACACATTAATGATCATTCCAGAAACTTCCTAGTATTTTTACCTTTTCAGAGCATGAGGCTCTTAACTAGCTATATAAGTTTTGATTTAAAACTGAAGCAGTCCTAAACAATGTAAAGATCAGAAAGAATAGAGACAGATTGTATTGTTCTAGAGATTGGATGACATGATGCCTGTACAGTTTCATCAATAATACTCAAACATGTACATTTATTTTTTTTAATGGAATTTATATGTATTCTCTCTGTTATGGATCACACATCATGTAGATGTATATTTACAATGACCTATTCCCTTTACCACATACAATTACATGTAAAAAGCAAAGAACTAATACTTCCAGGTACATATGATACTTTATACTAGATGATAAGGTTAAACAACAAGGAATAACAAGTTTTATTCATGGAAAATGTACATATAGGTACTGCTATCAGTAGGATCCAGACCAACAAGAGTGATGTATATGGTTGGCTGCTATCAAATGCATTGAAATACATTGAAGTTTCCATTCATGACACAGTGATGTGAATTTTATTAATTTCAGATGAAGCTGTTGATATATATTGTATGTAAATATGCTTATGCTGTTTTAAATTCAATGTCTTGCCGTTAAGATTAAAGACTAAATCATTTATAATACCCAATGTCTTTTTATAGACTTCAACCCAAGACTCTCTTGATTTACCAATTATGATAATTAATATTGCAAGTATTGACAAGTCATTAATAATATACATAAAAACCTGACTGTACACCACATGTTATCTGACACAGAAGAGTAGACAATTCAAGAGGAAGTTATTAAAGAAATCTTACTGTACATAAACCATTATCTGACAGAAAGCAGTTGACATGTAAGAGTGACTACATTTAACAAGTCTTACTGTGCACCAAACATTTTCTGACACAGACCATGACACAGTGGGAAGCCTGGCATGTGCTGAGATGTTGTTCCGTACAAACCTACTGGCTCTTGTTGGAGGTGGCAGCTTTCCCCGCTTTGATGAAAAAGCAGGTAATGATCTTATGTCAGTTTTACATGGTTCACAATGTTTGAGATGTTCTTGTTGTCAGCAGTCACTAATATAATGATTTTAATTCAAAGGGTCAAATACAGGTTGATTATATGATCAATGCTGGTAGAGTGTGGGGCAAGTCAAGGTTGTTTTCAGTGACCTGTCATCATCCAGCATTCATCTCTGATTACATTAATCTACTGAATGCCAAGACACCTGGAGAATAGATTAGGGGTGGAAGGTGGCCTCTGGGTTACAGGTTCAAGGTAGTTGCGAGGTATTGGCCGCAGGTCAGTGGTTTTTCATTACCACCTAACCTGGCACATCCTTAAATAATACACCTGTTAATAGTACATACAGCAAATATAAACAAACAAAATAATAAACACCTCAAGTTTTATATCCAGTTTTGAGGTATTAATGTTTGGGATCACCTGTCTGGCCACATGCTTTCTCAGAAAAATACCATTTCTATTTATAAATATATATTTCACTAGATAAATCAGGTGAAGTTCTAGTGTATACAGAAAAAAGTTTATACACAAAAAGAGCTTAAAAGGTTTTCCATGGTAACAATGTGATATGGATATCAATGATATCACTGACCTTATCAACAAGAAAGAGAACTCATTATACAAGGAAGTAAAATATAATATTTCAGAGTGTAACAAAAATACATTAATCAAAATTGTTGTGTTCAGAGTTAAAAGAATCTTAAAGAATCAACCAATCAAGGTAGTTTTGTTTAGTAAAATTTTTCCTGCTTGATCAACAGTACTGATTTGGGATGACTCCCAGAAGGATCCAGCTAAAAAGGTTGTTCTGGAAATAACATTTGCACAGCCAGTAGTGGCAGTCAAAATGAAAAGGGAAAGGTATGATTAAGATTGTATGAATATAAAAAAGTTTATTATTAATATTTTTCATACCTTCTTGCTTCAGTTAATGGAAATTTTAGGTTTTATCACTGAAAACTACTTTGATATCATACTTTAATATTAGTGTACTAAATATTTAAGTGTGTAAATTTAATGTGTTAATGTATGATAGTGTGTAAAGTTGTTGTTATATGTCTAATTTGTGTTAATATCATATTTGTAAATTATTGTTTCAATAAGTAAAGGTATGGCACCATCATAGTATATTAAAAGTTCCAAATGAATATAACACAATGTAGGCATGATCTGGTGCTCTAATACCTATTAACAATGATAATGTCTTTCTTTTCACTAGGTTGGTAGTTGTGCTGAGAAACCAGGTCCATGTGTTCAGTTTCCCTAACAAACCCCAAAAGTTGTTCACATTTGGCACCAGGGATAATCCTAAAGGTAATGAGATATGTTACATGTCACTCTGTTTATCTAATATTTCATAATGTACTGGTGATTTACATGTCACTCTGTTTATCTATAATGTACTGGTGATTTACATGTCACTCTGTTTATCTAATATTTCATAATGTACTGGTGATTTACATGCCACTCTGTCTATCTATCATTTTATAATGTACTGGTGATTTACATGTCACTCTGTTTATCTATAATGTACTGGTGATTTACATGTCACTCTGTTTATCTAATATTTCATAATGTACTGGTGATTTACATGTCACTCTGTTTATCTATCATTTTATAATGTACTGGTGATTTACATGTCACTCTGTTTATCTATAATGTACTGGTGATTTACATGTCACTCTGTTTATCTACTATTTTTATAATGTACTGGTGATTTACATGTCACTCTGTTTATCTACTATTTTATAATGTACTGGTGATTTACATGTCACTGTTTATCTACTATTTTATAATGTACTAGTGATAATATAACTACCAATGAAAGTGTTGATAGAATCACAACATCAATACTGAACAGTTAGACATTAAATTTCATTATTGAAACCAATATAGATAATGTAAGTACATGTATACTTGAATCAGATCCTTCTTGTTATTGTCAAAAAAAAAGTATGGGTATCTCTTAATCTACACTACAGATTTCTTTGAATGGTTTGATATCACTACAAATGAAATTGAGAAGAATTTAATTACCTTATGTATACATATACAGCTCACCAGTCAATTAGTTTCATCATGATCAGTGTAAATGTGTGTGTTAATGTTTTTTGAAATGTAAAGAAAATATTGAGGAAATATTCTTTGAAAGAAGAAGGAAAATGTGACTAATTTAATGATTTAATCAATCATAAATGCCATGACAATATGTGTGAATTAAAGTTACTTTTTCAACTTCCTACATCCTTATCGTAAACATAAAACTGGCATCTCATGTAAAGTGAAATTAAATTCAAGAACAGTAGTTTTTAGATTTTAAGTATGTTTTACTTGATCAGGTCTGTGTGAGGTCAGTGGGTTTGGCCAGACTTTGGTGTTTCCTGGACACAAGTGTGGAAGTATTCAAATTGTGGTATGTAGCACCTACCTAACAAATACATGTAGTTTAAGCAGGTAGATACATAATCAGTTAAAGGCTACATATTTCTGTTGTTTGTTATTTTATACCCATCCACAATGCTGATACCCTCTAAAACATAAGTGCAATAATACTGCAAAACAATACTGTTACAAATATTCACATTGCTGCAGAATTATTATTTGCTGTCACTTTTGATTAAAGTCTATTGTACTTGTATAAATAGATGTGCATAACCTGTAAGATTTGAAGTCTGTAATGTATTTCTGTATATCATCCTTTACTACCTTTACTATAGGCATTATTTTACAAAGAGTTAACAAGACAGGTAGAGAGACTTGTACTATTTATGTGATGAGATTTTAATAATCTTGATTACCTCCCTACTAAAGTGAACCTTGATAATTTCCCTTCCCCAGGACAGGTAATGTAATTTGTAGTAATTAGGTCAATATATTTCAACTGGGATTGATTACCTCCCCATTTCCCGGGTAAAGTGATATGTAGTACTGGGTATTTGATTCAATAGATTTCAAAACACAGACACGATTGGCCCTCTTCCCTCGGACAGGTAAAGTCATGAGTATAACTAAGTTCATAGACTTTTACACACACATAGTTTGGATTACCTCACTTCTTTCAGGAATTGAGTAAAGTCATATTTATAGTACTGAATATATCATAAGGTTTTAACACTCTCTTTTGGTAGGATCTGGAGACTACTCAGCCTGGTCAGTCCTCCTCACCTATTACCATCAATGCCCATCAGAATGACCTTGCTTGTCTTGCACTCAACCAGAATGGCACACTCCTGGCAACTGCTTCTAAAAAGGTAACGCAAGATTATATGTAATGAGGAATACTGTTGAGGAGCAATGTGTTAATTGTATTCATAGTACACAAAATAGTGTTAATACCTGGTAAATTATATTGGTCATCAAATTCTGTAAAACTAGGTAAATACACTGAGGTCTTGTTTCAGGGAACACTAATAAGGGTGTTTGACCTTGTGACCAAAAAACAAGTTGTAGAGCTGAGGAGAGGAGCAGACACTGCAATGTTATACTGGTAAGGCTATCATCCTATAACAAATACTATCACAGACACCACAATGTTATACTGGTAAGGCTATCATCCTTTAACAAATACTATTACAGACACCACAATGTTATACTGGTAAGGCTATCATCCTTTAACAAATACTATCACAGACACCACAATGTTATACTGGTAAGGCTATCATCCTTTAACAAATATTATCACAGACACCACAATGTTATACTGGTAAGGCTATCATCCTATAACAAATACTATCACAGACACCACAATGTTATACTGGTAAGGCTATCATCCTTTAACAAATACTATCACAGACACCACAATGTTATACTGGTAAGGCTATCATCCTATAACAAATACTATCACAGACACCACAATGTTATACTGGTAAGGCTATCATCCTTTAACAAATACTATCACAGACACCACAATGTTATACTGGTAAGGCTATCATCCTATAACAAATACTATCACAGACACCACAATGTTATACTGGTAAGGCTATCATCCTATAACAAATACTATCACAGACACCACAATGTTATACTGGTAAGGCTATCATCCTTTAACAAATACTATCACAGACACCACAATGTTATACTGGTAAGGCTATCATCCTATAACAAATTCTATTACAGACATCACAATGTTATACTGGTAAGGCTATCATCCTTTAACAAATACTATCACAGACACCACAATGTTATACTGGTAAGGCTATCATCCTATAACAAATACTATCACAGACACCACAATGTTATACTGGTAAGGCTATCATCCTATAACCAATACTATTACAGACACCACAATGTTATACTGGTAAGGCTGTCATCCTTTAACAAAAACTATTACAGACACCACAATGTTATACTGGTAAGGCTATCATCCTATAACAAATACTATCACAGACACCACAATGTTATACTGGTAAGGCTATCATCCTTTAACAAATACTATCACAGACACCACAATGTTATACTGGTAAGGCTATCATCCTTTAACAAATACTATCACAGACACCACAATGTTATACTGGTAAGGCTATCATCCTTTAACAAATACTATCACAGACACCACAATGTTATACTGGTAAGGCTATCGTCCTATAACAAATTCTATTACAGACATCACAATGTTATACTGGTAAGGCTATCATCCTATAACAAATTCTAATACAGACATCACAATGTTATACTGGTAAGGCTATCATCCTTTAACAAATACTATCACAGACACCACAATGTTATACTGGTAAGGCTATCATCCTATAACAAATACTATTACAGACACCACAATGTTATACTGGTAAGGCTATCATCCTATAACCAATTCTATCACAGACACCACAAAGTTTTACTGGTAAGGCTATCGTCCTATAACAAATTCTATCATAGACACCACAAAGTTTTACTGGTAAGGCTATTGTCCTATAACAAATTCTATCACAGACACCACAAAGTTTTACTGGTAAGTCTATCATCCTATTACAAATTCTATCACAGACACAGCCATGATAATTCGCTGATGTATATAGATCAGATATATTGACCTAATGAAGGTTTTCATTTTTTAAATTGAAATTTAAACCCTACAATATTTTATTTGTAGTATCTCCTTCAGCCATGACTCAGCTTTTCTCTGTGCATCAAGTGACAAGGGAACAGTCCATATATTTGCTGTCAAAGAAACTCATTTGAATAAAAGATCCTCGTGAGTACACTTCAAGAGATGATTTGATGTTGAGAACTATAAAGTTATCAGAGAGATGAAACATTATTTTTCTAGTTGTCCAGAGCACTAATAATGCAATGTAAATATATCTATGTATCCCTAATCCACTGAAAATATGTGTGTACCTCTGATCCCCTACCAATACATCTGTGTACCTGATCCCATATAAATTTGTTTATGTACCCCTGATCCCTAGTAATATATATATACTCAGTCCCCTGTAATGATATCTATGTACACCTGATCCCCTGTAATGTCTGTATATCTAGTCCCCTATAAAATTATTTGTGTACACAGTCCTTTCATCCATGATAAATATGTCTGTACCATTTATCACATGTTATGATGTCTATATACATCTCTCTGATGTGTAGAAGTATAAAATGTAAACATTATAGAAACATTCTTATATATTCATAAGAAAAAATTGAAATTTCCAGCACATCATATATTTGCATTTTGCACTGATATTTATTTTACTCCACAGCTTCAAACAAATGGGGTTCCTCGGAACTTATGTGGAGTCCCAGTGGGGCCTTGCCAGCTTCACTGTGGCTGCTGAATGTGCCTGTGCTTGTGCATTTGGACCAGGACATTCAGTCATAGGTACAAATTCTTCATCTATTAGTTCATCATAAATCTTTGGAAGGTTCAAACTCCATTGTTAATAGATAATTGTATACAATCATTTTATTACCAAACCACTATATTAATGTATTATTTGGTCAATATATGTGTTAATCTAATTCTATCGTTAAATCCAAGGGTCCTATTCTTGATTTACCATCCATTTCTGTGCCATTGCAAGTATATGGCATTACTTGGTTTGTTTTCATTTACAGTGGTTCTTGAATACTATGACCTTGTTGATAAATGATAAAAGGAACTTTATAAGCATAAAGGTAAAAATTTCTTGGATTGGATTTTTGGCATTGCTCCAAGAAACTTTTCCTGAAGAATGACTTTAATCAGCCTGGTTATTGACCAGTTTCTGAAATATGGAGTTAGTTAATCAGCTGCATAGAAATGAGATCTTTTTGATTTTTGCCATTATGAATACCAAGGATACCTTTATATTATTTCTCTTTTCTGTTTTCAGCCGTGTGTGTGGATGGAACTTTCCATAAATATGTGTTCACCACTGATGGCAACTGTAACAGGGAGGCATATGATGTATATCTAGACCTAGGGGATGACATGGAATAGAGCAAACGGGGAATGGCATTTGCCATACCTTACAAACAAGGGAGATATGAATACAGGATGTATGAACAAGGGTTGACCAATTGAAACTTGAAAAGGATGTTGTTTTATTGTGTCACCAGTGATAAAAGACTTGTTTGTGATTACATTATTGTATAATTATAAAACAACTGATTGATAATTGTTGTTATTAAAGCACTATCTAATGAAATGTATATGTACATATATATATGAAGGATATAGAAATTTTTGACCGTTACAAATGTCTTGGTATTGTATTTAAACAAAGTAGGAATTTTGCAGAAGCAAAAATTAATCTTGTACGACAGGCTACAAAAGCCAAGTGTGCTCTGTATACTAGAATTCATAGTTTAAGATTACCTGTTGACTGTCAATTAATACATTTTGACCAAACAATTGTTCCTATATTGTTATACGGATGTGAAATCTGGGGTTTCTCAAGCACAGCCTGTATAGACAAAGTACATTTAGATTTTTTGAGAAATGTACTTGGTGTTAAAAAAAGTACACCGAGATATATGTTGTATGGTGACACTGGACGTGTACATATCAAAACACGGATGGTTACTTACTGGGCTAGAATTGTCGAGTCACATGACTGTAAACTTGCTCACATAGTGTACAATTTTTTGTTGAAATACAATTACTTTAACAATTGCCAGTCTCAGTGGTTACAAGCAGTAAAGTCTACATTGGACAATTGTGGTATGAGTAATATTTGGCATACACTACTGCAGACAGAGGTCATCAAAATACCATTAAAATCTCATGAAGTTATCATTAAAATCATTAAAAGTGTTAAAAATGGCCATTAAATCTTGTATTGATATATTTTAACAGGTTTCTGCTTAAGCCATTAAAAAGGCACTTAAAATCTTGTTTTAAGATACAATTACAAAGAATTAATTGTCATTTAACACCCAAAATTTGATGTAACATGCTGTTAAAAAAATTAATGTTGATAAAAGATACTTGAAATTTGTATCTTTGTGTTTTAATTGCACTTAACAGAAAAATAATGGCCATTAAAACGTTTCCTTAATTTTGTACACGACCCAAGTTCATTTTAATTATTATTACTTTCTTTGCATGACAACAAAGTGACTTAATTGCCATTAACTTTGCTATAAATTATTTAATTGCCATTAACAGTCAATGAACAAATGCTTTATCTGAAATTTTATTGAAGGTGTTTTCCAAGTGCCATTAAATTTCAACAACCAATTAATTAACAGGCATTAAATTCTTTAAGTAAAAAGTAATTTCATGCAAGTCTATAAATCTCTAAATTTAAGTGTCATTAAAACAATCTTATGTATATATATGCCATTACTTTAAATTTGGATACATATGTATTTGACTGGATTTGCAATTGATCACAAATAAAATTGCATTATATAAATCATGTATTTTCTTGGCTTATCAATTCCTAGGGAAAATTGTAGTTTCTTACATTTTAGTTTGTAATCATAAACATTCAATAAAAAATTGTTGATATTTTTCAATAGACTAAGCTGTGAAGTACACGGCAAACATATATCTATACCTTTTGAGTGAAACACTAATTTACATGCGTTTGTACTGAACCTTGTCACTGTTCAAAATCCATATTTTCTCTGTTTCAATCGCTGTCACCAGGGGTATTGAAAGGCGGTTTGTCAGAATATAACTACATCTAGCTTTTGCAGATTTTGGCAAGTCATTATTCTGAGCAATTGCAAACCATAGTTTGGTTTCTGAATCAAAATGGATATCTTTTATCCATTCCACAAAAGCTAAAAATTGTGAACTACATGCATCATTCATGGCTTTATGCTCTACAAAGTATAAAATACGTCGGAAACCAACAAATTTCCCTGACTTAACTTTTCGTTCAGGTGGACCTCTGTCAAATTCACAGCATATAAATGATGAAATAGTAAGTGCGTTGCTTCTTTCTTTTACTTCAGAACAGTATGACACTTCATGGCGAGTGATTGGATGCGTTTCCTTGTGGTAATAGTACTTGAAGTACCGTTCACAATTACATCCTGATGTATTGCACTCTCTATGAATTGCCTTAACATCTCTCTTTTTCAGTACAACATACTTTGCTGAATCACTTTTATTTTGTGACTCTTCTCCAATCAAATCATTTACATTCATTTGTAAGGAGTTCAAAGAAATGCGTCCAGAGCTCAACATGTAGTGGCACCAGTCATGTAAAAGGAAGGTTTCTATAGTGGTGGCTTCAGGATATCGCTTATTTAGAACTCTCTTACAGATCCAGGAATTGAATCTTTCGTAAGTGTACATCCATGTTCTGTAAACTGGCCCGAACCGCCTTAGACCCTCTGGAATGTCATGTAGAAGACGTATTGTAATGTTCTGCAAATGCAGCGGGAAGTACATTTCTAGCATAACAAGAGCCTTATTTAACTTTCATTCTAAAATGTCAATGTCGGTTGCTGTGATACTCTCTTTACAGATTTCAGCTAAGCAGTCAAATAGAAGAAAAAGGGTTTCTCTACATTGCTGCTCTAATAGGCCATGTAAACAGAATTTAAGAATACCATTTGTGGCGAGTTGTTTCCAGTCATGAGATTTTAAACAAGTAGTTTTACTAATAAAGTTGGATGGTTTTAATCCAAAACCTATTGGAACACGAATACTCTTTGCACGCTCATCCGCAAGGATTATTTCAGTTTTCGATAACTGGAATGGGAGATCAGATGTTTTCTTTTCGTCGCACATTTATTTTGAGAATTAAACTTTTTTCTCTTATTAGAAATTCTTAGTGTCTCTGTTTCAGTGGTTTCACCTTCGGAGTCGGATTGAAGATTACAAGCAATGTTTTCACCATGATCAACATTAGCACTAGTGTTGCCTCTGGAAAGAAGATGGAAGCGATTCATTTTCTTTTCAGAATTGATGATTTTTTCCATGTTGACTTTGTTACCAGTGACCACATTCATAACATTCTGTACTACATCTTTTATTGTGTGACATGCATCGGGGAAGCATTCATTCACTCTGTCATGTCCCTCTAATTTTGCTAACACATTGTTTTTACATCCAGTGGCAGTGGCAACACAGTTTGCTTGGGTTTTGTTTTTTGTCTTTTCATAAGCTTTTCTGTAGTCTAGCACCTTAGAGAAATTCCGTTCGGGGGGTTTCAAAGACTCATCTTTGTTTTTTTTCACAAAATGCAAACAGTCTAAACGAAGAACATCATTCTTATCAATTAACAAAAATTTTCCTTTTCATAGTTGCACCTCAACTGAAACCAAAGTCCAGGGAAGTGTGGCAACGGCTAGGAGCCAATCTGCAAAACCGGAGAAAATACATGTGTGATGAGGACGAAGGAAAACATATTTTAAAACCTGTAAAATCTAGCAGCCACGGTACCGATATTGTGCCAAGTACCAGTTCAGACGGTCCGGATCAATTTACAATTGGGCAAATGGTTCAGCTGACCAAAAAGCATGAATAAAAATAGCATGGCATCAGGGATTATTGTATCCACACATATGGATGACATGTTTGTTGATATTGCCATTCAATCTGTAAATGAAATTTCTTCAGAGGACAGAGACTCAGAGTCTGAACTACCTGAATCTGCAAGTAATGGTGAAACAAACTTATCCAGCAAACTAATAAATCATGTCATCAAGTGGAGGAAAGATCGTCTTGCTGCAGCAAATTTGAACAAAAGGAAACAACCAGATGATGATAAACCAAATGCTGAGAAAATTAAAAAACATGTGACGGTAACTACTGTTGGAAACAGTTCAGGTGGAAAGGGTACAGAAATTCCAGGGAACAGTTCTGGTGGTAAGAGTACAGAAATTCCAAGGAAAGGGAGTTCTGGTGGTAAGAGTACAGAAATTCTAAGGAAAGGGGGTTCTGGTGGTAAGAGTACAGAAATTCCAAGGAAAGGGAGTTCAGGTGGTAAGAGTACAGATAATCCAGGGAACAGTTCTGGTAGTAAGAGTACAGAAATTCCAAGGAAAGGGAGTTCAGGTGGTAAGAGTACAGAAATTCCAAGGAAAGGGAGTTCAGGTGGTAAGAGTACAGAAATTCCAAGGAAAGGGAGTTCTGGTGGTAAGAGTACAGAAATTCCAAGGAAAGGGAGTTCAGGTGGTAAGAGTACAGATAATCCAGGGAACAGTTCTGGTAGTAAGAGTACAGAAATTCCAAGGAAAGGGAGTTCAGGTGGTAAGAGTACAGAAATTCCAGGGAACAGTTCTGGTGGTAAGAGTACAGAAATTCCAAGGAAAGGGAGTTCTGGTGGTAAGAGTACAGAAATTCCAAGGAAAGGGGGTTCTGGTGGTAAGAGTACAGAAATTCCAAGGAAAGGGAGTTCTGGTGGTAAGAGTACAGAAATTCCAAGGAAAGGGAGTTCAGGTGGTAAGAGTACAGAAAATCCAAGGAAAGGGAGTTCTGGTGGTAAGAGTACAGAAATTCCAAGGAAAGGGGGTTCTGGTGGTAAGAGTACAGAAAATCCAAGGAAAGGGAGTTCTGGTGGTAAGAGTACAGAAATTCCAAGGAAAGGGGGTTCTGGTGGTAAGAGTACAGAAAATCCAAGGAAAGGGAGTTCTGGTGGTAAGAGTACAGAGATTCCAAGGAAAGGGGGTTCTGGTGGTAAGAGTACAGAAAATCCAAGGAAAGGGAGGTCTGGTGGTAAGAGTACAGAAATTCCAGGGAACAGTTCTGGTGGTAAGAGTACAGAAATTCCAAGGAAAGGGAGTTCTGGTGGTAAGAGTACAGAAATTCCAAGGAAAGGGAGTTCAGGTGGTAAGAGTACAGATAATCCAGGGAACAGTTCTGGTAGTAAGAGTACAGAAATTCCAAGGAAAGGGAGTTCAGGTGGTAAGAGTACAGAAATTCCAAGGAAAAGGAGGTCTGGTGGTAAGAGTACAGAAATTCCAAGGAAAGGGGGTTCTGGTGGTAAGAGTACAGAAATTCCAAGGAAAGGGAGTTCAGGTGGTAAGAGTACAGATAATCCAGGGAACAGTTCTGGTGGTAAGAGTACAGAAATTCCAAGGAAAAGGAGGTCTGGTGGTAAGAGTACAGAAATTCCAAGGAAAGGGAGTTCAGGTGGTAAGAGTACAGATAATCCAGGGAACAGTTCTGGTGGTAAGAGTACAGAAATTCCAAGGAAAAGGAGGTCTGGTGGTAAGAGTACAGATAATCCAGGGAACAGTTCTGGTGGTAAGAGTACAGAAATTCCAGGGAACAGTTCTGGTGGTAAGAGTACAGAAATTCCAAGGAAAAGGAGGTCTGGTGGTAAGAGTACAGAAATTCCAAGGAAAGGGAGTTCTGTTGGTAAGAGTACAGATAATCAAGGGAACAGTTCTGGTGGTAAGAGTACAGAAATTCCAGGGGACTGTTCTGTTGGTAAGAGTACAGAAATTCCAGGGAACAGTTCTGGTGGTAAGAGTACAGAAATTCCAAGGAAAGGGAGTTATGTTGGTAAGAGTACAGATAATCCAGGGAACAGTTCTGGTGGTAAGAGTACAGAAATTCCAGGGAACAGTTCTGGTGGTAAGAGTACAGAAATTCCAGGGAACAGGTCTGGTGGTAAGAGTACAGAAATTCCAGGGAACAGGTCTGGTGGTAAGAGTACAGAAATTCCAGGGAACAGTTCTGGTGGTAAGAGTACAGAAATTCCCAAGTTCAAAAGTTTTGTGTTGATGGAGTATTCCAACGAACAATTATATTGGGGAATTTTACAAACGGCTGACATGACAAATGATTTCATCATAAGGAACACTTGCAAACCATTTTACAAAGACCAGAAAGTTTCAATTGACGAATTCGAGATGAAAATCAGTACCCGAGATTATGAAGTAAATCCTGACATGAAATATTGTGTATGGAAACTTGCTTGTGAAAACCAGTTCATTAAACTTTTACCTAAAGGGAAATTTGGAACAATAGTAATGAAAGACGACCACATGAAGGACATGTTTTTCAAGGAATTTCAGAAGAATTTGGAAAAATACTGACTAGATTTCACATAATTTCAGCCTAGATATGATGTAGATGAAAATGTATACAAAACAAAGAACATTACAAGTTTTGTCAGACTTTATTTTTCTGTTCTATTAAATATATGTGTATACAAATAACATCAATACAAACATGATTGCAATACAAGTGGCATTGCATATCATAGAGTTCTCTCATACTATAAAAATGATATTAGCATATCGTACAAGCTAGGTATAAATTACCTTTTTTTCATTCAGGGCAGGAAGTCTTGCATCCTAAATATTTATGTAAGACAAATTGTCTTACATTATTCTACATTCTCTGCACTACTGGAAAATTTCATAGTAAAATGGAAGGAACATTCATGTTGAAAAACTTGTCTAATTTCTGCACATTCTTTTCATTTTACCATTCAAAGTGATAGATTGAAGGCATCCTTTCAATATTGTAACAATAGTGCTTTCACAACATAATGATGTAATAAATTTTCTAATGATGCAGAGAATAGATATACATGTCTTATTATATATTCCATAGATAATCAAGAATGCCATATAATTTAATGGTTATTAAAAATCTAGAAAAATATACCTGTAGTAGCAATTATTCCTGAAAAATGTAAGGTGATATATTGCTTCTCTTTAAGGGGCATTAATGTTCATGGCTGTTAAAATACCATTTTTGTATTTGAAATACACCATTAAAACATGGAAGTATTTTTTATTTTAATGGGCTGTTTTCTTGTCCCCATTAATTTTGTACCTTTAATAGTAATTAATTAATGAAAAAGATCAAGTTAATTTCCATTAACAAAAACCATCAAAAAAATTTGATAGGCGTTAAAAATAAAAATGGTTCCCTTTAATTGCCATTAAATTGGCGAGCTTTTATATTCCTTCCAAAAATATATTTAATAGCTATTAATTTTCCTTTTTTAACAGCAATTAAAGGTACAAAATTAACAACTTAATTAATAGCTTTTTAATGGGAAATCTTAATGGGCTATTTAATGGTCATTTTAATGGCTTGTATGTGCAGTAGTGGAGGTTAATTAAATAAAGAAATCTGAAAATCTGAAAAATCTAAATTATTGACTTTAACCAAGATCCCGATATGTCATTAGTCAACTGTATCGGCATGGAACTGAAAATTTGCTACAGATCAAGTTATGGTTCGACTTTATCAGTGCCATATCAGACTTGAGATCCTGGTCCATTTAAAGCTTGACAATATCAACATGCTATTAAACCTTGGGTACTGGCCATAGTTGGTCTAAAATTATTTTAAGTGTAGTTAGCCTTCGGTCTTTGTTGGAGTCAAGAATTGACCTTTAGTTTTCAAGACACTTATTCAACACCCAGTTCATACGGCATTTTGCAATAGATTTAATCATTAATACTTAATATGAAATTAAATACTATATTAACCTTGTGGGATATGTTTTTATTACATAATTTAAATGGCTGAGTAATTTACTTGAAGTTGTACTGCTATAAACTTAAAAGGGACAGCTTACACTCTATCGTAACTATTTAGATCTTCCAGATGTAAAGAAGGCTTTTATATATTACATTTCTACTTCAACTATTGTTTACAGTATCTAACCTATAAGTACAGAACACAAAACACAAAAGCCCTGACTAAGAGTTGGGATTACTTGCGGACAGTTAAATTACTAATATACAAACAACTTTAATGAGTTTTCATTTCATATAAGATTGTATGAAACAAGTCTTTTAGAAGTTTTTAAGAAACTTTTTATCACAGAACTCAGAAAAGTTACAATTTAACAAGTACCAAGTACTATGCACAACTAGGGACCAAGGGGAACCTCCATATGAAATTTGAGAAAGATCCATCCAGTACTTTTCAAGAAATAACGGTAACAAGAATTGTTCACGGACGGACGGACGAACCACGGACGGCAGGGCGATTTGAATACCCCACCATCTGATGATGGTGGGCTAAAAATATGGAGGAAAATATCAAATGAAAGCAGACAATTCTTGACAATGTCATTGTCCCTGTTATGACATCACACTCAATCAGAGGGTGAATCTCCGGATCTGTTCACAATAACAACACAAAAGTATTACGATTCTGGAGTGTAGTTTATTGACAGTGAATCAACACTGTAAACATAGGGTGGATAAGAAACATCAAACATACACAATCACTAAGGTACGTTGATGGCGAGATATATACATGTGCTCTATGTACACGTACCTTTTAAGATTGTACCGACCCCACTAGGGTTAATAACAATATTTTGTACATATTCAATGTTTCTGTAAAATGTTATTTATATTTGATAGTGTAAAAAACTTAGCCATACAAATTCCACAGCAAAAGGAAAACACATGGCAGACTGAATAATTTAAGATCTATATCAAGTACATATATGTGTCCATGTTTACTTTGTGTACATATAAGTTGAACTTAATGTAGAAATTACATGTATTAAACTCACTGTTAAGTATGATTTGAGTGCCAAATTTTTTCCATAAAATCCATTTACAATGAAAAGTGACTGCCTAAATACTTGTATTACTAGGTACAAACAGTTAACCAAGGAAATCCATGTAATACAAAGTAAGCTTTCTTACTGAAACATCAACAACCTAATAGTGAGGATTTCATACGGAGGAAAAAAAATCATTCCTCTATTTAACAAAATTTGGAAGAGCTATTCCAGAATTAACTGATCAGACACCATCCAACATTAAATGACTTAAGGAATATATTACAAAAAACTATAGATGCTTCTCATCTGCACTGCACATTTAATTTAAGAATAGCCCTAAAATGTAGTATGAAACAATTTTTTATGGAAAACTGATATAGTTACCATGAAGAAAAATGTATTTCTGAGAGCTACTATAAAACTTGTGTCTTCAATTAAAATCTGTTTAAAAAACATTTCTATTTTAAAACCCCAAGAAGCAATTCTCATCGAATTTAACTGATGTCCAGTTTTTAGCCTGCTGTGACTTTTCTATAGAATTTGCATTAATCAATGATAGTTTTCACCTTCAATAACGATAGAAGTCATATTAAATAACGATAGAACTTACATTAAATAATGATAGAACTCACATTAAATGATGATTCCTACTTTGAATAAGTTGGTTAATGAAACAAGCGAGGTTGAACTATGACAGCCTCGTTTACATATCTAAGAAGTTGATCAAATATTATTCATATAACGAAATGGAAATTTTGTCTTGTTTTGATCAATCGATACCTTTTGTAGGTCTGAATTTTTTCTATTCATTAAAAGTCTCATTTTTAGTTTTGCCAATGACTGTTCAAGTGTGTCAAATATTTCCTCTACGTAGAGGAGGTAAACATAAACACACATTTGGTTCTTGTGCAATTTTGCATAATACAATATGATAAGGTAAATTGCTGTTACAATTCTAATTTCAGACAGTTTAACACTGCTGAATGGACAATTGCACTAATAATAAACACACCACTACTGACACTGACATTCATAAATAGAAACAGCTTTCATATGTACAAAAATTAATTGAAAACAACACAAAGGATAATGAAAATATCATATATTAACTTTCTCTGAAAAACGTTACCTTTTTTCTGTTATTATACGCACATTTTTATTTATCAACACAATATTCACATCCAATGTTCACATACATTCAAATATTCAGTAAATCATAAAGCCTGCGCTATCCATGGCCAGGATGCCATTTAGATCTGTTTATATACCTATATTCCAAGTATCTGTTTAGTCTTTCATTTTTTTCTGATTTTGAGCCCAATGAATTTGAGTAAAAACTGGAATGCCTCATATGATAGTAAGTTATCGTATCAGATTAATATTTGCAGAACCCCTTGCAAAATACTAGCTCAAGGTATAATACATATATACATTTATAAAAGTATACATCTTTACTGCAAGAAAGTAAATAATGGAAGTTTAGTTGCATATCCAGGCACATTACAACAAAACATCAAACTCTTATGATTTACCAACTCAAAAATTAAAAGAAAGAGTAGTTTATGTCCTATAAAAGAAACTCTCCAAATTAAGAAGTTCCTTGTACATGTGTCAGTCACCAAATCAAATATAAATGCTAACGATTCATGACAACATATAATGTTACTAATGTAACAAGTACTGTCGCAAGTGACTCAAGCACTTCATATTTACATGTGTATATCATTTTCTTCTGTAAGCTACGTACCAACATCACAGTCAGTAAGACAATCCCAATACACACAGACCACACTGGTTCTCACATCGCTCAACATTCACACAAAACATATAGGTCGCACACTCTGGACAAGTAAGGAGAATCCCTGACATTCAATAACACATCCAATATTTTAAAGTTACCAGAAACAATGTGCCCTACCAGATATTTATCTCAACATGAACGCACTATGAGGTTCATCTTACAATTATTATTATAAAAGAAATTACAAAGATATATAGTTTAAAGTCACATTATGTTGCTCATGACAACATGATGAAAGTACAGATAGGCTACCAAAATTGTCATATTTGTTAATTTATGTAATATGACATATCAATCAAAACAACTTTAATTTCCTACTGGAAAAAAAGTCATGTGACCTGATATATCAGATGTGGCTATATAATATAATGATCTCAGGTTATTAGGTACACAAAAGATATATTGAAGGTTTAGTGTGTACAATTACAATTACTTTTACAATTATTTTAAACTACAAACCATCCACATATACACATTTTGTATTTTTGATCTATAACACATTTTGTATTTTATAATCATTCATTGATCCTGCAAGTGGAATTTTTGCTCTAAATTATGACAAATCCTTTATAGGGCTGCATTCACTTAGAATAAGTGAAGGAATTTTTCAAATGCTTAAACTTGTATTTAAAGTCAATCTATATATAACTCTAGTAGGAGAAATCTAGCTAATAATTGATAGCGAAGTTAAAATATCGTGTAGAAAATCTTGTCTTCCATCATGATTTTATAATAGTTGTGTTATACATCATTCCAAAACCTTATCTTTAATGATTTTGTCCCATTAACTACATCTAAATATCTGTATATCAAGTCTCTGATAACCATAAAATTCCAAATTGACATGTTACATGTCATCAAGAATTCACAACTCCATGGGTTGGTCGTTAGGGCCACATGAACCAATAGTTCCATTCTGTCATCACAGGGAAATTGAAGAAAAAAGGAAACCAACATGACATTCCGATCTCACTTGTTTAACAAGAGGTATCATGAAGAATATATCTTGTTCAACTGATCACATGAAGGAGTCTCTAAATTACTAGCTTTTTCATATAATTTTCCATCTGCATAATTCCTGGCTCGCCATAGCATGTTCTCTTCTGAAAAAAAAAGGATTTTGTACATTTAGGAAAATTTTCAGTGAAATACAAGGGTATTAAAGGCCAAACTACTGATTCACCAACTCATTTTGTATATACAAGAACTCTTAAGCTACATGTTAAAACCTTCTGCCCTCTTCAAATTGCTGCAATAAAGTCTTCGGTAATGTTTTCAAATTATACCTAAAACTGAAGTAAAGAAAATATGTCTTAATGTGTATCTAATATGATCAATTAACCTACCATTTTATGCTTTAGGCATGAGAGCATCAAAAAATGTTTATAGGCATTGAGAAGCCACAAATTATTGCCTGGTCTGGTGAGATCTTATTTATTATTGCAGACATATTAGACTGAATTGGTTGTCAATATCTATCAAAAGAACATTTAATTGCATTGTTCATAGCGTCATGTTACACAAAATTTGATGGCAACCTAACAAGGTCTAAAGGTTGATCAATCAGAATTAACTCTGAATTCACCATGACACTCCACTCCACTAACATGAAGATGTATATAGGACATACTGAAGGTTATATACTTGTACTTCCTGGTCATGTTAATTTATGTATTCAATGTTACCAATGAGGTTTCCTTGCCATCTTTATACTTACTATAGCTTCTCTCTCGCCAACAGTTTTGGCGTAATGATGATATATACTCTTCCTCTACTTGTCGTTCTAAACGCCGTAAATCACTCTTGAATTCAACTCGAAAATCTCTTTTTACATAATATGGAACTTGAAGATTTCCTGTTTTTCTCTGAACAGCATATTTTCTACAAAGAAAACCATGTTTTTATATATAAGTAAAGACAATAGTAAATTTTATGTAACACTCTATTACAATGTTTTGAAATATTTGAGTTGGATCCTTTAAAATAAATGAAGGAAAAGCCAGAAAACATTATATGCATATAAAATGATTTCTTTGTAACAGACTTTAAAAAACAATTACAAATTTCGAAAACTTAAAATTTCGAATATAATGTGACAATCCAGATTAATGGGTTTAGTCAGCATTTATAAAAGTTTCATCACTTACTCTGTTTTATGCATGTTGAACAGTGGATCGCTGACAAAGAAACTACTAAGAAGGGATAGAAGGACTAGTAAGATTATTGGCGTTAACTGCAGTAGTAAAGTGTAGCTCCCCTATAACAGAAACAAATGATCCATCAGTTCATATCAAATACAAGTATTTTTTTAGATATTTTAACAAGGGTACCATGCTCTATGTTAATAACCAAACACTGTTAAAATTAACATTAAGCTGATTTTCTGAACCAGTACTTAAACTTTTTTAATTTCCATTACAGATAAATATCAATGGGACTTCTATGTATTATTACTGGCTTAAACCTATAATAAACTGTTACAGACTTATAATAATCTATTATACACTGTTATAGACTTAAAACCTACTATTTACTGTTACAGACATAAAACCTACCATACACTGTTATAGACTTAAAACCTACTATATACTGTTACAGACATAAAATCTATTATATACTGTTACAGACTTAAAACCTACTATATACTGTTACAGACTTAAAACCTACTATATACTGTTACAGACTTAAAACCTACTATAAACTGTTACAGACTTAAAACCTATTATATACTGTTACAGACTTAACACCTACTATAAACTGTTACAGACTTAAAACCTACTATGAACTGTTACAGACTTAAAACCTACTATATACTGTTACAGACTTAAAACCTATTATATACTGTTACAGACTTAAAACCTATTATATACTGTTACAGACTTAAAACCTATTATATACTGTTACAGACTTAAAATCTATTATATACTGTTACAGACTTAAAACCTATTATATACTGTTACAGACTTAAAACCTACTATATACTGTTACAGACTTAAAACCTACTATATACTGTTACAGACTTAAAATCTATTATAAACTGTTACAGACTTAAAACCTACTATATACTGTTACAGACTTAAAATCTATTATATACTGTTACAGACTTAAAACCTACTATAAACTGTTACCGACTGTTACAGACTTAAAACCTATTATATACTGTTACAGACTTAAAATCTATTATATACTAATACAGACTTAAAACCTACTATATACTGTTACAGACTTAAAAACCTATTATATACTGTTACAGACTTAAAACCTACTATAAACTGTTACAGACTTAAAACCTATTATATACTGTTACAGACTTAAAACCTAATATAAACTGTTACAGACTTAAAACCTACTATAAACTGTTACAGACTTAAAACCTATTATATACTGTTACAGACTTAAAACCTATTATATACTGTTACAGACTTAACACCTACTATAAACTGTTACAGACTTAAAACCTACTATATACTGTTACAGACTTAAAACCTACTATAAACTGTTACAGACTTAAAATCTATTATATACTGTTACAGACTTAAAACCTATTATATACTGTTACAGACTTAAAACCTATTATATACTGTGACAGACTTAAAATTATTAAACAATAAGACAGATATTAAACCGACAAAACACTGTTATAGGCTTACATCATTATTTCTACATTTACATCACTAGACCTCTATAATACACCAATAAATGACTTACATCGTTGGATACATTGGTAGCACGGTGGTGGTGCTGATGATGCTGTGCATGCCTTGGTCGGTGTGTTGTGTATACATGGTCTGAAAACATCAAAGAGATACCAACATTTTCAGAAATCTATAAAGGTGAAAAGTATTTATATCAATCATAACAATTGTGATTTTACTAGACTGATACCAAATTTAAATTGAAAATGTTCTCAATCTATATCCTTTTCTTTGTGATGTCACTATGCATATGACACTACAAAGATTCGACATTACAATGAAAACAAAAGGAATCTACATCCATCCACAATTCCACTAGTTTACATTACACATCTTCCCAAGAATTTATTGGTGTTATAACACTGATAGCAGGGTAGGTAAGTGATTAAATTTAGAAGGTATGCCAACCACATCAATCTCAAGATATTCTATCTGACTTAATCTGTTTGAGAGGCAAAGTGAATAATGGCTCACCAGTTCTCTGAAACACAACAAAATCATTCTGATCTGCTATATACATATAATTAGTAAAATAAAGCACAAACATGAACAGGATAATCAACGCCTAGGATGCTGTTACAGACAACTAGTTAATTTACAAAACATTTTCAGATCCTGTTTTCCACAAACATTTGTTGGTATCAACTAACTGATGATATTGTTCATAGGCGGATAGCTAACAAATAAAAGCATCAAGAAATAACTTACTTGTAGGAAATCCTCCCCCGAAAAACATGTTAAACAATTCTTCTGGAGAAATGTCACCTGTAACAGTCATTTAATCATGATTATCACAGAACTACAACCACATAATTAAAGCTGTCAAAATGATAGGCAAAATGTGTAGCATTATATAAATATGTAAACAATACTGTATTTGTAGTGATAATACTATAACTAAAAGGTAGGCTTCAGTCTAAGACCTTCTATACTTATAATAACGTCCTTGATAAATTTTAAGATTTAATGTCGGGTTAACATAAAAATCAATTTCTGGCAATGGCAAGATAAAAAATCAGCTTTTATTTTGTACCTATCTTGGGAGAGCCTACCATTTGCTGGCAGAATTTAACTTTTGAAGAGGCTCTAAAATCAAGTTCTGTATTGTTCTAATATGTTAGCCAATAAACCATTGTTATGGGGAAGTAAAAGGATTATAATAAATATGTAAAACTTGCCTTCAAAACCGTGTGAGTAGTCATGATGGTAACCTCTCCGAGATTCTGTAGTTGTGTCAGTCTCAGGACCATACAAATCATATTTTTTTCTTTTATCAGCGTCACTGAGGACAGCAAAGGCATTACCGATCGCTGTAACAAAATAAAATATCATTTTCAGTGCATCGAACATGTAAATATTTTCCAGTTTGCATTCCTGCTAGTTAGAATATTAAATGTGTTTGCATGAACATGCAAATTTAAACCAAAAATTACATGGCATGTTTAGTAAACAACTGTTTTTGCTCTTAATGAATTTTGAACATTAATCCTTTGAAGAAATAGCAATAATAATCTTTAACTGCCAAATCCAAGATGGTCAGCTGGAAGCCGTTTAGTTTTTTTCTGATCAGTCCCATAATCAAATGGGCACTAGGGACCAAGGGGGACCTACATATGCAATTTGAGAGAGATCCATTCAGCACTTCTTAAATAAAAAATATAACAAACTTTACTAAGTAAAATCCTAGAAGGCTGTCTGTCAGCCATTTTGTTTTTCCCGATAAGTCCCAAAATCAAACGGGCACAACTTGGGGTCAAGGGGAACCTACATATAAAATTTGAGAAAGATCTATGCAATAGTTCTCAAGAAAAAGCAATAACAAATATTGGACAGACAAACCGACCGACAGATATAGGGTGATTTGAAAAGCTCACAATCTGATGATGGTGGGCTAACAAAAAGCTTTAAAGAGTATCTTGTAGGCCAAATTGACGTAAAAAAACACATTTACTGTGAATTCAGGGAATTACCTTTAAATGCTTCCGTTGCTCCTGGGGCTTTGTTCTTGTCGGGATGCATTTGTAAAGCTAGTTTTCTATATGCCTTCTTTAAGTCATTTTCTGTGGCATCTTTTTGAACCCCCAGTATATCATAATAATCTTTACATTTCTTTATTCTGAAAAAGGAAAAAACACAGGTATATTTATTTCAGATCATTTTTTATAACAGACATGGCCAGACAATACACATACTTAAAATTGATTGGCATATTGTGATGAAATAAGTCTCGCTATCAACCTGTATGTGACAGATACATTAAATCCTGGATAGCAGTTAACCATATAAGATAAGATATCAACGATTTTCAAATGAAGATGTTAAGATGTGAGTGACTGAGTATGACAAAACTAATAATCACCTCTTGACTGCCTCTATCTGTTCTTGTGTGTAACTCCTTTCTACTGTATCAGACTCTCCTTGGTTTTCCTCTGAGGCACCCCTTCCTGTACTTCCTCTCCTCTGTCGAACATTTTCTTTTGTGCTTTCTTCAGCATGTGTTTTTTTTCCTGCAGTTGTTCCATTCATTGTGCTAATTTGTTCCATCAATTCTAAGGAAATAAAGGAGAATATCATTACATCATCTTACACAACAATGTGCAAAATATGGTTGAAGAGTGATTGACGAATGATAACATTGAGGCTACTAATACAGGCAATAGTCTATAGATCAATAAATAACACTCTTTACACTTTGTTTTTGTTGGGGGAGGGGGTTCTGTTTTAACTGAACTTTTGTCAATCACAGAGAGCATAGCTCGCAAAGATATACATCACTCCTCATCAGGAAATTATATGTATGATTTCATTACCTATCTTGTACTCTTACTCTTTTCAGACTGGAGTCAATAATCCATCTATCCCTGATCAATACAAGAAAGTTGATAAAATGTCAGAATGATATGAATCATTTGAACTACAAAAGTGACCATTGACCATTAGCTAATAGTATTTGATGACACTATGCTGTCACTGAAATCAATAGGTTGAATATGTTAAAATGTTCTTCAGATGTCTTAAACACAGACAAACATAGTGGGAGGGGGGATAAAGAATGGCATTTTCAATAAACTTAATTGATAACATAATTGGATGACAGTGTGTCCAGTATTCATAGGAAGTGAATGTATTCTCTGTAACAGTAAAATTTTACTTTTCCCCCTATTTTTGGTAATTTATTCCTACAATACATCATCTAGAATTTGCATAAGAATTAATGTTAATGGCAATTGATATCTTTATTACAACACATATTAATTATCTTTTTGTTATATTAAAAAGATTCCATGATCAATTATGACAAATAAGTATTGAACATCACATCTGATGAGGTTAAATAATTAGATAATTGATTACATCCGCTCATCATCCCATCATTAAGGATAAGGTAGTTGTTGAATAAATACCAAGGGCAAGGCAAATAGGATATGATTAGTCATCTTTATGACTGCACGTCTTGAGATTCCCTTTGTATCTAGTACCCATTGCAATTTTTTGTAGACTATAGTTAATGTTAACACTTTGTGAATGATAATAGACTAGTTGCATAGCAAACATGTTGAACTTCATGACACCTTAAAACCAACGACAAAGTCAGTGGCCTAAAGCAACAAAAAGTAACAAGCATCCCTCCCCCAAATGCATAATATGTCCGTAACAACCCTGCATTGCAAATATACAGATACAGTGATTACTGGGGTCAAACCTTTGTCTTCAGTCATGGGATGTATTATACTGTCCATGTTCTTGCTTGTGAACATCAAACTGAGACTGATTGATGGTGCTATCACAGATCTCCACTAGAGCTAATATACTGGGAACATTAAATATATTATACTGACAATGCACAATGAGTTGTCATTCTCCTTTATCATAAACGACACATGTATTGTATCTTTTTAATGTCATGGTTGATTGTGGGGACGATTCGTCCTCCGTTCTTGTTGATGAGATCAAATTTTACGCAATAGTCATTTAATGAGACGATTTACCAAAACAAGACTAATCATCAGATCATTGAATAATTAGAGAACATTTCAACACTAAGAAACGGTTGCGTATAACATCGCGCATACATATAAATACAATTTTGTCATGTTTCTAAACATTAAAACTATGACATTTTACCGAAATCCATTCAACATTTAACTATGTGGTCACCGAAACAACACACACTCTCAATACATGAAAAAACACACCGAAGCCGATACGTGATCGCTGACGATATCATAATTTACGACTTAACTTTAGATTAAATACTAAGAGAACATAATGGTTACCTTTCGCTTTTTGTGAAGGATAAAGCCGTTCTGCTTTATTGAGGAATTTTAAAGCTTTTGATTTCTCTCCATCGGCCAAATACTTCTTCGCAAGCGATATACATCGCTCGCTTTCGTCCTTATTCCCATCCATTTTGTTTTACATGTTACAGGAAGTAGAATTTTGTTGCAAGGACCAATTTGATTGGCTGAAATAGGTAAGGTTCCTTGGACCAAAATACAAGATAGTTCGACATAAAAATATCATGAAAGAATATTGGCAATACCTGAAATCGAAATATTTTTTTACACATAAAATGTGCACTGTTTGTACTTTATTTTGTCAAGAGTGATGGAATGAAATACATTTTCAACAACTAGTCGCAAACATGGAGCAGCCAATAGAAACAGCAGAAACATCTCAGTTCGGCTTGTTAGGAATGATGACGTTTCATTGATTGTCTCCCTTGAAAATGCAAGTTGGACTAAGACCACAATTAAATACTTCCGGGTTCAGTACCCACGAATGAGGTCCCTAAAAAATGTATGTGTATTTGGGAAAAAAATAATATGCCTCTTTGAATTGGATGTTTGCCTATAAATTTGCTGTAGATGTGTTATAGAGATGATAATCTAGCTGTCAGTGTGTAAATCATTCATATTGAACATGTATTTTGTGCTGCAGGATCCGGTGTAAAAAGTCCTGTTTTCACCTTTACCCCTGACCCGGATGTATATAATTGACGTTGGTGACACATATGGAGGTATATCTCCAGAAAATGCCCAACATGATGGGTTGAAACTTTTACATTTTGCTTCTCAGATGTTGATCTTGGCCAGGTGAAATGGAAATTTGCAGATGAAACTTTGGGACTTAGTTATGAATTTTAATGTTACAATGAAACATATAGTGAAATTAATTGTGGTCTTAGTCCTTAATGACATGCCTAAAAATCCATGTTTTTATTTCTCATACCCACATTTTTTGACCGATTCTCATACAAATTGGCATGGTTGTTCTATATTTCATGACTGATTAGGTAGTGAAATAATTTTTAATTCATCACTTCGATTATAATTAAAATTTTAATTGAATTAAATTTTTAGAAAATTTTTAAACTTTATTTTCTGGAGTGATCAGGACATCTATAAATAACATCAAATTAGCATATTTGTGTTCTTGTGTATTCCTACGCCAGATTTTTAAAAGTTAAGATGGAGGATTTTTTTCAAATTATACAAGTACAAGATCTTAGAAAATTCTGTGGTTAGCCCAGATAATGGCTTGTGTAGGATTTGGATTGGACCTGTAACAAGGACAGGGAAATATGGAATTCTGTCATTTAAGGACCCCAGTGATTTAAAATGGAAAAAGAAACATGCACACAGACTTGCTTTTATTTGTTTTTCTGAAAATTTAGAATTGTCAAGTGATCTGGACTGTTCCCATCTCTGTCATAATAGTTTATGTTTAAATGTAGAGCACATAAGTTCAGAACCTCATTTTGTAAATAATAACAGGCAGTACTGTTTAAATTCAAATGTGTGTTATGGTCATTTAGGGTTCAGTGACTGCATGTTGAATTTGAAAATGTAATTGAGTTTTTATTGATTTGAGGGTATTAGCTATTGTACACTGATGTATACAACATTGTCCGACTACCACCACGTGGAGGTTCCCTCATTAGGTAGTCATATATTTTGTTGTTGTTGTTGCTGTTGTTGTTACATTATTTTGTGTTTTTTTTTCTGATTGTTGACATGTCTCTAATAAATTTGTTGTCACCTCTTCTTCTCAATACAGGTGGTCCTGAGGTCGGTTGTCTCCCCTACATGGATGGATGTTGGGATCTAGCTGACCTCTCCTGTAGTCAGACTTCCGAGCGGACCTGGACCTTTTCGCATGCTGCTTGTGCTGTTCTGCTAACAACAACATACTTCTTTTCTTGACAGCAGGTTTGTATTGGTGGTGGCGTTGATATATTTCCTCTGAGCTGAGTTGATTAAGTTTATGTTTGACCTCCCTACTTGATTGAAGAAGCAGTTGTATTCAAACCTAATGACACAGTGATCAGGTGACATCATATCCTTTCCCTCTCAGCCAAGCTCCTGTCCAGCAAAGTTTGTTGTGGAGGGCACGTCCAAGTATCCACTTCTTAGGGGTAGATGTCTCGATACCCAGACTTGACCCCTGTGAGGCATTCATCCCTGGCTTCTTAGCACTTCCAAATGATGTACTGTTGTACCGCCCATCCACAGCTAGTCCGATGGTGCTCGGGGAATCATCTCCTCTCAGGGTGTTGGCCTCCACCACCAGTCTGGTCTTCTCGGACATGTCCTTTTTGTTGAGGGCAGTAATGTCCTTGGACACTTGATTTGCCTGTCGCTGCACTCCACTCTTGGCTCCTGCAGGTATATTCAGGTGTCCGAGAAGTAACGTGGCTCCTTTGGTGCTGACAGCCTGGCCACACAAAGCTGAAGGCAGGTACTTGTTGACAAGGGCTGGCTTTGGTCCGGGCTTATCCGTGTCTGCCTCTCTATGTAGTTTGTACAGTGGAGATCTGTTCTGGCATTTATTACATCGGACAGCACAACTCCATCCCAGAGCCCTTTTCCGCTCGGTGTCCAGTTCAAACTCCGGTACCATGCATGATGTAGTGTTTGGTTGTCCGGCGTGAAGTCTGATGATGGTGTTCCACATTTTCACCATCAACACTATGTCGATGATCCGGTTTCCTTCTATTACAGGCTCAGAGTTGGATTCTTCAGCTGTAACAGTTGCCGGCCGTAGTATCCATGTTGGACAAGGTCTGTCTCCAGTATCTGTTGTTACCAGGGAAAGGCCGTCAGGACTGGGCTTGGTGATCAGCTGAAATTCCTGGGTGGTCAGTCTTCTGGTCAGAGCTGGTCTCTCTTCTCTGGTGACAGGTACCTCAGGATCTTCAACTTTAAATACCTGGCCCTTATTCTTTGGAACATTTCCAGGCTTGAACTAATTGTTCCTTCTCTTTCTGTCTCCCTTCATATTGGTAATGGTCAGTAATGGTCAGTAGTGGTCAGCAGTGTGGTCAGCAGTGGTCAGTCAGAAGTAGTCAGATGTATTAAGAATACAAAAATCAAACTGAAGCTGACCATTTGATTGGTCATTGTGATATACACATCATTGCCTGTTTAATAATATAACATCAAAGGTGTTTCAGAGACAGGGAGAGCCCCAAAAGTAAACATAAAGGCCCAAAGAGAACACCCCACCCCCCTCCCCTGCCTTTGGCATGGGTAGTCTTTGTATGTATACATGTGGCTGTTAGTTAGTCCAGTGGGTGTCATTCACTGTGATTGTTTACTGCAAGTCTTCACTGTTATCTATTGATTATTTCATGTCCAAATCAAAGCTGAAAAATGCTTTAAAGCAGATTAAATGTTCAGTTAATATTAAAATTTGGTAATTGAAAAAAAAAATTTAAATTCTACAAAAAAAAATGAAGTTGTAATTTGAAATTGAAAAACTTTTTTGTATAGGTATATGTAGGAATTATTCAAGTTTATATACCAATTTACAGAACTGAAATATCTTAATAATTGCAAAATCTGTTTCATTTTTCCTGACGCTTGGTGTCTGTGATATGTACAGCAAAGTGTATGTAAAGCTGAGTTAAAATCTCAGTCTGAGAGGGGTTTTTCAATTCTTCATAACTCCTGTTTTATTTGACCTACGCTGATTCTGTTTACGCCGAAATGTTTGAAATAGCTCAAAATCATTCATATTGAACATGTATTTTGTGCTGCAGGATCCGGTGTAAAAAGTCCTGTTTTCACCTTTACCCCTGACCCGGATGTATATAATTGACGTTGGTGACACATATGGAGGTATATCTCCAGAAAATGCCCAACATGATGGGTTGAAACTTTTACATTTTGCTTCTCAGATGTTGATCTTGGCCAGGTGAAATGGAAATTTGCAGATGAAACTTTGGGACTTAGTTATGAATTTTAATGTTACAATGAAACATATAGTGAAATTAATTGTGGTCTTAGTCCAGTTAGACTTGCAAAGTCATTGCGTTTATAAACCGGAAACCTATCTTCCTGTAACGTTGAGGACTGACTTAATCAATACTACCTAAATAGACTTTTAAGAGAAACAGTTTTAGAGATACACGACTTTTTCAAACAAGTTTTAATGACTTCAGTTTGATGTAGATTATCCACAGAGAAAGATAAATGGGTTGAACATCTTTTTAACGATATTTGATTCCATTTATTGCGGTATTTTTTTTTTACATAAAATCTAAATTTGAAAATAATGTTAAAACATGCTTCCTGTCAAAATACATGGAAATCTATCAGAACCTACTCAAAGCTAACAAAAATGAAATACTTTTGTTATGCTATTTGGACCATATGAAACACATAGATATATCAGATTCATGTACATTCAATGTAGTAATGTAAGTCAAAATTACTTTAAAACTTATGACATGACAACCAAGACTGAATGATGTTAGTATCAAATGAATGACCATCTCTATTAGCCCTCCGTCCTTCCTTGATACATGTAAGGACAAAACAATATAATGCCATCGTGTGACACAGTTTATGGCATTGGAATATCATTTTTCATTTCTTAATTTTGAACTATGAATTATGAACTACTGGATACAATGTTTGACTAGATACTTCAAATATTTCCAGTCGTTCATAATAGGATTAAGCAATACAATGGCGTCTTAAATACTAGTCGCGAAATACCGCTCGGATGAGAACTTCTCTCGGATCCTGGACTTGATTTATTTGTCTGCCGAGTTGATCGCCCTGTGAACTGCCACGATCTTGAGACGAAATCACCTCATCGTACCTGGTGGCCACATTACTGAACCATATACGAGAGGCCCGTCGCATGTCACCCAGCGGAACATTTCGGATCCCCACCGGAGTTGTACTTAAGCCAAAATTCTACCGCCCAAGCCATCGTGGTCCCAGAGTTTGATCCCGGCCATTGTAAACATTAAGATTCTTCCAACAGTTCAAACATTTTCCGAGGGAAGAGAAAAGTTTTCGGAACAAGTTTAATTTGCTTTCAGTATGCCTCCCGACTCTCCACATGGGCGCCAATAGAATGTGTTCACTTTTTCATTTGCCTCCGCTACGGATCGAACCCGTGACTTAAAGCTAAATAGTTTTGATCCGGAATATTGCAGGTAGCGTTTATCAGGAGTGCATACAAGCTAGGTATAAATGTAACCCTAAACTGTTTTACAACCAAGACTGCATCACTTACGATAAACCGACGACTGAAGGATACCACATTAATTCTGTTTGATTTTTAAGACCACTTTGGCGTTCCTTCTGATACTATAATGACTGTTAGACAAATACATTAATTCCTAGCACTAAATAACTTAAGATTTCTGGAAACATATACGTTAAGTTTATTTTCGTCTTTCCTTGATATCTTGAAGAATAGTTTGATATTATTTTTACTGAAATGCAACCAATGAGACCTCGGACTTGTTATAAAAAAGAGCCTTGTCTGAAAGCATCGTTTCAAGTTGATTCGTCTCACAGGACTGCGATCAATGATGAGAGCCTTACTTGATATCACGTATTAACACGGAAATTTTACGGCAAATAAATGGAATAAAAACCTGCAGTTAGCTAAGGAACTCAGCCAGCTCTCTAAATCATGATCTACATAAAGACCATCTTTATGATGACCCATCTTGTGCATGTGGTACCCCAACTGAAACAGCTCAACATTTCTTTTTTGACTGTCCTAGATATATTAACCCTAGACAAAGTTTATTACAAACCCTAAACAACCATGATCTTTACCACTATGAACTAAACTATGTTTTGCATGGCTGCCAAATCTGTACCACTCACATCAATAAATCATTGTTTGATGCTGTAATTAAGTATATTGATGATACAGAAAGGCCTTAATGTCCATTGTTTAGTATCTACTGACATGAATTGAAATTGTAAGACAAATCTAAAACTAAGACAAAATATGATTGGAAAAAACTGATATCCTTTCATAGATATAGTTAATTCAACTTTTATCAATAATGAGATGCATGCTGGTTAATAGTTATTTACATTCATAAGATTAATAAAAAATAACAGAGTTGTCTCCCATAATTTAAAATTGAATAGTGATTGTATGTGTGTAATGTATGTATGTATGTTTATGGTGTATTATGTTTATGTCTGACCACCATGTTGTCTAGGGAGAATACATATCGGCTCTAGCCTGCTGTCTAATTCTATTGATTGTTTGTATCAATAAAATATTCTGAAATGAAATGGAGTAATGCTTCTTGGCAGTGGAAAGTTGATTCATGGAAGATGTAATGCTACTATTCGGAAGAGAAACATAAACAGCTTCTGAGTAGAATGTCATCAAATTTGCCAAGGAGTTTAAGGTTTTGTTGTCATTGTCAGGCAGCAGGTACTATAACAGGCAACGTTTGAAAATGGCGAGGAAGAGGATATGGTAGGCCAAATGTCAGTTGTGGAGGAGAAATAAAGACGCAGATGTTGAAATTGGGAAGGACCTGGCATGTGTCGCATGTCATGGCTTTGAAATAGACAACATACCGATAGCTAATAAGTTCACACGAAAGCAATGGAATTAATTATTGCTGAAGTCCACCATTGTTTAATGAGGTTTAACGTGATTTTGGATTCATGAAAACTTGCGTTCATACCGTACCATGAATGGCTTATTAATAAACCGTCAAATCGTCAAGAAATCCTTTATTTCTGTCAATATATTGGCATGGTTTATTTAATTTATTGCACTACCCACCTGTCCATTGCGTTCTCCAATAATAGCGCCTCGCGTTATCTAACTGATAATGTAGGTAGGAATACCTTCAAACATGATAATGTATTATTGACAGAAATTAGATATCTATATAATATATATAATTTTTATTGATCTTTGAACATGAATATGTTCACAATTCGTGTTTTTAATTGACAAATTTCAAAATAAACTTTAAAACTTCGGAGATTGTTACTGCATTAGTTCATTATAACGTCCCCGGTATATCTTGTTTAATTCAGTGGTATAGCTGTTGGACACAATGAGGAAGACTGAGCCGAATCGTTGGTAACAAGGTGTATATTTATTGATAGATGTACAAATAGCGCATTAACTTAAATAAATATAGGTTTTATAACAAAAATAAAGTTCTTTTTCTCTGTTTCAATCATGCATTAAAAAATCCCGATACGTATAACTTTTAAAAATAACATTTTACATAACTTCAATAGTTATCGACTGAAAATGTTTATCTAAAAAAGAACTTAGTTTTCTGCATCACGGTAGGAAAAGGAAATCCCACAAAAATACGAATTCTAAAAATTGTCTTCAAGCCCCGAGATGTCACACGATGCCAAACCGATTTTCATTTCACCGTACAACTGTTTGAAAAGACTAACCTTCCTTATTGATATGATCACAGTATATAGTGCTTGGATTTAATACAAGTACCAACATGTACCTTTTAACGTAATTACAATCCTTCCCTAACGAACTATTTTTAGTATTATGTACATACACGCCCAACCGTTTCCCTTATTCAGGATACATACTCCGCACATCTTCATTATTTTCACGGTAGTATATTAATTAACAAGTCATCCAATTTCACACACGTTCGCAAATACGCACTTATTTTAAACAAAAAAAATCATAAACATATCATAAACTCCGAAGAGGGGTAGAAGTAATGTTTCAAGAATAAAAATATTGCACTGGTTCAAAAACACAATTACATTCTTATCGAAGTGGAATGCACAAATATAAACAGCGTATCTTTTAAAATAACAGAACACCACATGTTTCCTATCGCACTAAGGCAAACAAAAGTTGTTATTCCGAACAAAACTGTAGGGAGACGAAGCACATGTTAGGGTATTCTTACAATAAACGATAATTCCAAATCCGTTATTTCTAGTTTACTAACAAAATTACAGTTTGAAAGAAATATGGACCATCATAATTTTAAAATGTGGTATATTTGACTGAAAGCTCACAAAATATACCCGATGTTTACATAAAATGAAATGCAATATCTCAAAAAACAAGAAAAGTATGGTTGTGTAAGGCTTGCCGGTGAGTGCAATGCGATGTGCAACATAAAAAGGAAGGTAAGAGTATTGAAATAGAAAATTCAATATGGGATATTCAATGGAGATAAAAGTAAGAGTTATCCCGAGTATTTCTTTTCTCGACTTAAGCTCCAGGATGAAGGACTGCATTATCAACCTACTATGTTACTTATGGAACACTGAATTTGTCTCAAATCCGCTATTAAAACATTCTACCTCTTAAACATTTTTTAGTGTATCTTTTAAATAATTTCATTCTTGATATCTCCAAACTGCAACATCACAAAAAACAGTAATTCAAATTCGATAAAAAAATATTTACACGAAAACTGTTAGAGAAGCTGTTCTAGAAGGGTTATTTGCTCCTGATCAATCCAGGTACGTAATATCGCGTTCTCTAACGGGAACAAAGTTAACAACAACATAACAATCCGGGATACGAACGTGCACAGTTCATCATCGTATAAGGAAAATTCAATATTTCTCAATGGAAACTAACATCACCGTATGTCTAAGGATACAAGGATCATGCCAAACGTTTCTTTTTAGGTGCTTTTGATATTGGCGTAAATATTGTTCATCGACATTCTTTGATGTGGAAACTCTAATGTGTTGAACCTCCTATCAAATACTCTCATGGTCTCATGGAAAGATCTTCTGATCGTCTCATAGATAGTTCTTTTGATTGTCTCAAAGAGTTCTTCTGATCGTCTCATAAACATAAAGAGCTCTTCTGATCGTCTCTTAGAGAGTTCATCTGATCGTCTCATAAAGCGTTCTACTGATCGTTTCAAAAAAGAGTTCTTCTGATTTCCTCAGAGAGTGTTCTACTGATCGTCTCATAGAGAGTTCTTCTGATCGTCTCATAGAGAGTTCTTCTGATCGTCTCATAGAGAGTTCTTCCGATCGTGCCTCTGCAGTAAATCTGCAAGACCTGTAACATCCTTGTTAGTATAAGTGATGTTGTTTGTGTCGTAGAAATGTCTAAATGCAACGGCGTTGTAAAGAGACTTTGTGTAAACACTATCATAGCCCTTATTATTCTCTACGTATTGCCCTTGATCATTGAAGTTCTTTGGTCTAGGGCAACCATAATGGTCCTTTCTTGCAACAGACATTACAGGGGGTTTCCTTTCATTCTCACGGTGTATGTTTTCATGTATTTTTCCACACATGAAACATTCAAATCCAGAGAAATGATTATGGAATTTCTTTGAACGATCCATTCCACTCACAGACCATTCTCTGTCTTTTAAAATCTTCAGTAGATTTTCATTGGTGATACCTTCTCTTTTGAAACTTGTATATTCTTCATAGATATAATCATTTTCATCCAGTAGTGTGATTGTTTTCCCCAGATTCCTCACACTAGAGAAGTCTTCTACGACCAAAGCGGACTTTTCACTCGGAAGGAATTCCTGAAACAGGTAGGAGTATGGAAAGCAGTGAACATTCATGTCTGTCCAATTCAATAGATCAAATCAACAACACATTATATTTGTACTTTCAATAGAATACCAAGAAAGTGACACATCTTAATATAAACTTTATTTTATTCCATAACAACATGCGAATAATACATAGCAAAGTATACAGAGGAATTGGAATTTGAAACAAGTTAAACAACTTATATAAATCCTTTTCCATTTCACATCTTCTAAACCATTCATATAATTTTATTGTAGGTTCTTGTACAGCGAGAATGTCTGTATAATGAAGAAGTTTAACAATACCTTGACCTTTGGTGACCCAAACACAATCGGGACAACCCCTAGATGAAGTGGTCGCCATAACTTTTCGGTCATATAGTCATCACATACGGCGTTCTCAAAGGCGAAGGCGAACTTGTACTGGGCCAGAAAACGGAAGAAAGCCTTGTCCTGGTATTTCTCCATGCCCTGTAAACTAGAGTACAAAAAGTCCTATTGATCAACCTATTTTTGTTGGTTTCTTATCAATGATTTTATAGTATTCAACTCATAACATACTGGCCGAGTAAAGTGCACACTGACAAATTATGAATAAAGTATATATCATATTATATCTGGTTGGTATTAAAACGCATTCACATTGATCGCTTTCGTAGCCTTTCACTGGATTATAATATATAAACTAGCGTAACATTTATGAATGGGGTCTAATAGTAGATGATAAAAACAAGCCGACCATTAACCGAATAAATACATGAGATGTTCGGTTTAGGGCAAGAGGGAGATTGGATTTCATTATAAATGTTAACAAAAACAGTGTAACTACTGTACGCAGACTTATATTATAATATGGATGTTAATCGAGAACATTTTAAATGTGTTGTTCTGACAAAGTAATGTGATACTTACTAAAAAGAAAATTGTCAGTAATTGTCAGGATAACATTTTTGGCACATTGCAGTACTTACTGGTCAGGCAATTTCTTGTTTGCGTGACACCTGCCGTACACGTCGACCTTTACATACTTCTGAAGAAGTTTTAGATATGTATCCCGTCCGGAAGGCACGTTACAGTCGCTATGTACAAATACCACGGGTGCCAGACGTTTTTCATTCTGGAGGTTGTTTTTCTGGTTCGCCGTCAGGAAGAACTCCATACTCTTGAGCCATTCCACGCTAGGTAGCGCCATTGTCGCCAAAGGATAAGAAGACTCCCGCTGCAAAAGAAGATATGTCCAAATTAAAAGGCAGTGTGCCGTTCATAGATCATCAGTGCTCCGACCGATGTCTGACCCTAGGGGGATGAAAGATGTTGAAGAGTACCTACTTGCCAAGGATCAATCAAACAGCTATATCCTTAAAATTCATATAATCACATTTCAGACTTACACAAAGCCAGGAGCGGAGGCAAATAAAATAGGAACATTATAAAGGAGAGTTCAATTGTGTGAATAACCGTCACATTTTACGATTATAAGATAAATACCAGTGAGTTGCAACAAATACACGAATGATATTGCGACCACTACCTGTACCTGGTGAAGCCTACGACTATTGTAATAACGACAACACTGCGACATGCAACAATCAGTTAACGGGTAGAATCGTGGCAGACTGATGGAATGCAATTCAATTGCAGGGCAAATGTAATCTTCTATTTCAAATTCCCACATATGTTTTTATAACATGCTCACTGAGATCGGAACCATTTTGGGGTTCTTGCATCTTGGATATTTCCGATAATATTTATGTAAAATGTATATGGTAGGACAGGTAACTTTGTAACAAAGGCGTGTCGACTTCTACCATAAGAAAGTTAGGCTTTGTAACAAAGGCATGCCGACTCCTGCCATATGGAAGGTAGGCTTTGTAACCGTAAGATTACTTACCTTAAATGTTGAGGTAAAATTAAACAGGCTCAAGACTTCCTCATGTGAGAAAATGAAATCATTATTTTTGGGGGATTCATCATGTTCTAGTGCCCACAGGTGATGAGGAAAGCGCGGTAAGGGCAACTGGCTAAATTCGAACTCGGTTCCGTAGAAAAGAAAGGCCTACAATAAATACATATTTAATCTTTAATGTGAAATTCTGTTTACAATATTGCTCTTAAGGTGCTCTTCCAGTGAACTAATAGCTATTATCTCTTTGCACAATTTAATAATCGTTTCGGCAAAGCACATATGGTGGTCTGTGACGCAGTGGTAACGCCCTTGCCTTTTCCCAAGGCGTCCGGGGTACGATTCCCGGAAAGGATATGATAATGTATTGAGTCACCTGCCCGACCGCATGGGTTTACCCCGGGTACTCCGGTTTCCTCCCACTGTAAGACCTCTGGCGCGCTACCATCAGAGCCAATAAAAGTTACTGATATAAGCTCAAAGCTCGTTTCGGAATGGTTGTAAAATAAATAAAGTTTATTTATAAACCATATGAGTTACACAACATAATCACACGTCCACTATCATATTGGCCAAATGACATTAAGGATGAGAAAGCTTACATTTAAAGTGAAAGCAGCACTTACTCGTACACTTGGGTCATGTTTGAGCCCTCTTTTAACCGACACATCACACTGTTTGCCATCACATGTAATCAAGTGATCCTTCATACCAGAGACTGGGGCCCACCATACAAGCACAGGGTGTTGTGGTGTATTCTTAGCGACATTGATTCCCCTGTGTTTGGTCTTTTTCCAGGTCGATATTCGACCCTTCGTCGAAAAATTGGTACGTTGTAGATAGTGATTCAGTATGTTTCGCCGACTTGTTTTTTTCAAAGAATCTTAAATAGAAGTGATTTAAATTTTGAAAAATAATTCAGACATGTCAATAAAAAATGTGTCCATAATACATTGTGCGTTGCAAACGGCATGCTGTTAAACTTTAAGTTTAAAAAACCCGTCAATTAGCATGTTTACTGAATGTACTGTCGTTCTGTCTGCAACAGTACATCAAGGGACTTAACTCTGATAGCGCTAGGCCACTATTACAGAGATACCCAGATACTAACCATCAAGTGAATCTGTCCACCGACCAGCTGTCCATAATGAGAATGACAATAATATTACGAAGACTACACATTTGTAAAAAAGAGAGCGGTTTCTGAAAAAAAAAGAAAAATGTAACGATTACCAACATTCAGTTTGATTATATCATGGTTATTCAAATCTCTGTACAATACTCTACAGATCAACCACCACGTTATTACTTGTATTTTATACCAGTCTATTAAGAAAAACTAGAACATTTGGTTTAAAAGAATACATCTGCTGATAAGTAGCTTTGCTGGACAATACAGTGATAGAGGTAATTCAAGGATATGTACAACAAGTACGACTTTTATAGGATTTATATCAGATTGATAGAGAAAAGGATAAAGATAAGAATTACCTTTTGCAAAACTTCGGTATCATCTTTAATTTCACAACAAACGGAATCCGTCTGAAATACAAGAATGTGACGTATATGATAAATAGTCGGTGTCACATACAACGACAATACACCAAGTTCACCGGTTGTATTGTTATGTCCCTTTTCATGTAATACGAGGGATTAGGTAAGGTTTGGGGGTAGAGCCTCATAACAGCTGTAACCTAAACCACTACATTATAATTCAGACATGGTCGTGTAGTGGAGCAGACCAGCACAAAATGTAATATACATTATGTAAAAATGATAGACTTCAAACTTTTCTTTAATTATTGTCATTTAGTGTCGATGACTGATTTGATGTCCATTTGTACTGTCATGCATGGATGGTGTGGTGTGGATTGAACATCGATATTTTTATAAACCCATCCCGTTCTTAAAGTGTTTTACTTTGATCCAAAACGATACTGTAGCCAAATGGCCATTTCTTCAATATAAACGTCTTAGTTTTGTAAATAAACCTTATAATATGTCGCATCTGCTACTTAAACCACATCAGACATTAAAATACGTGAATGGTAACGCACATGTCTTTTAGGAAGGTGACCGAAGTTCAATTTTCTTATTGCAAATAAAACAAAAATGTATGGGGTGATGTGCCCGACCACATGGGTTTATCCCGGGCACTAAAATTTCCCCACAGTCAGACCACGAAACCCTTGAAATCTGAAAGGCAAGAGTAAAACTGAACATACGTGACTGTCATGACACGGCCGTTTTGTTCATTTTCAAATATCAAAGAATACTTTCCTGACCTGTAAGCGTGACAAGAATAAAATCAAGAGATAAAAACGAATGCCATGAACACATCAATACGTATTTACGAAGTCAACTACCTTGGTGTGAACATTGCGAAGTCCTTAAAGTTCACTTTAGTAACATCTTGTCCTTAAATAAGAAATGTATTGGCCATATCCATCAAACATACGTACTAGAATCGGAAATCAAGGACACAACAGACTCATCTACCACTTTCATCGTTTTAACAAAGAAACTAACACGAGACGCCTGATGATTTCAATTTCTCTTATGTAAGTTCTTATTTCTTGATAGCAACATCAAGCATCCCGACCAATGGCATTAACATGTCACGACTGATGTTATATTCCCTGGCCTGTTACCAATATCACGATTTTCGGGCAAAATAACACAGGGTTCCCATAGATGCTGGTTGATGAGGCTCGTTTATATGTCAGGTGGCGCCGTTGTTCACTTTGTTCTCATTTGGTACGTGATATTACTTGAATTATACAGAAGACGCTTACCCTTCCGGAACACCATGTCTTTTTCAGAACTCTCCATGGTAATCTTTGTTTTGTTCTTATTTTGCCATAGATTCATTGAATTCATGTGCGAATGAAGATTGTCAATATGACTGTTTTACAATACGGATGTGAACGTCACTGTGTCAGAGTAATATGATTCTAGAAATTGTTCTTGAAAAAGACAATGCAACATGTTGTCGAAGTCGAGACTCCAGCTTGTTTGCTAGATTAGCTCCCCGTGATTAGACAGGGTCATTTTGAGGCAGGGTCTCCTTGTAGCAGCTTGTGGCTTTCTCACTGAACATCACTGAAAGCCCAAGTTGTAGCTTCATGGTATTTTGTTCAGAGTACATACACAACCTATCATTATTATGAGAGAAGCTGTGCAGTCACAATATCGAATTAGACGTAGTAATAGACAGATTTACAGCTTTGTAAGCAGTATAATCAGTGCTACACAGAGCTGGTTAAAAGAACTATTCACCCCTTGGATATGAGATGGGGGATCTCCAACTGATGGGAGCAAAATGAGGCTGGCTTTCCAATTTGCGACTTAATAATCTTTTACCGAAGACTGAGATCATTTTTCCTCTTCTCTTACACATTCTTAAGGATGGGTTCCTGTTGTCCTCTTTCAACAGTTGTATGTCTCTAAAAAGTAGTCTGGTCAGTATAAGATTATTCAGAAATATTAAATATCACTTGAAAAAGTACAGAGAAATCGAAAGAGTCGCGGGGCTCATATTGTATTGTATTTTTAAAGTTAAACCGAAAGACTGAAGAAACAACAAATTAGATACCCACATGTCAGCATAATCTTAACTCCAAACTCATTTGGATGCAATTGCTTCATCGACAACACCCGCCATGTAAATCTTAGTTTAAGTAATATGTTGCCAAACGAGAACAGGGATAGCAACGACAGAACCACAAGGCATACTTACGAGTATCAAACATGTCCAACTTCATGTAACACAAGAAAAAAATACAGTATTATTTGATGAAATCATTATGGCGACCATGAAACTTCCCCGTAATATCTATCAGTCTGTAAAACTCGACACGCTCTATATTGTCAGCTGTGGGCATTTCTCACAAAACTCGTCATGTTGGATACAACCCCTTGAACGTCGAATCGACTATAACATGAATAATAGGGAATTTAAAAAATCGCCATGCGTAACATACAGCTTGGCGGAAAACAGTCCCTGTTGATTTCGCTGTAGGGAAAGATCGGGTAGGAGGCTGATGTAGAGAAGTTAGTCGTGTCATTGATTTACAGTGTTGATGGGTATATACGATAGAAATAGTCAACACTTTTCTTGGTTTTTGAAGGATATTATCAATATATCTAAGAGGTTAAATGAAGGATTTGGCGAGCTCTTCGTAATTTGCTTTGATAAATGCAACCTCGTTTGAAAACAAAAAAAAATCAGCTATGACAGATCATTTTGTTCTTTTATAGGTATTCCAATAGTCCGTTGAAGATATAACCATCAATCTCGATTTAACCAGAAATTCGACCAGTATACACGGCATAAAACAGTCCCTGTAAAACTCATTATTTAATCCAATCTATTGAACTAGGACTGCTTCGTACCCTATCTTAGTCAACAGGGATTTCAGAGCAGGCGAGGTTTGTTCAACAGAACAAATACAGAAGTTAAAAGCACCCCATATTCGACACATAGTTCTTCAAGGCCACACATCAACGCACACGTGTCAACACTATTAGCAATAGGTTCACTTAAGTAATCCTTATCAAAGTATGTTTATATCAGTATTCGCGAAGAGCTCTATCGACACCTACCTTATTCAGAAAGGGCTGCATGGGCCCTTCGATGACGGTAATACAGACCAGCAAGTTCTGTAATACAAACTGTAAAACACAGATCAGCAAGTTCTGTAATACAACTGTAAGACACAGACCCGCAAGTTCTGTGATACAACAGTAAGACACAAATCCGCAAGTTCAAAGTGTAGCAGATTGAGTCGTAGCTACCAGCTTGTAATAGCCAGACGACCGAGGAACTATACCTGTGCTCATATGTATGACGCTGATATACAAGTACAGTAGTACACTTATGGTGGTATACGTGCTTACCGCGTTTTAAAGCCATCCAAGTATAAAACATTAACATATTTTCTTTACCACATCTACCCGCATGGCGATCAAAGGTGTATATGTACATAATTGTTTTAAAACAGTGTGATATCGAACATTGTTATCTGTAATTGGTTTCAGAGGTAGCTGGTCGATAGCATTCTGCATCAATTATTAACAGACAATCATTTACAACTATCGTTTCAGACACTTAATGGTGATGGAAAATTTAGATAAATCGTAATTAAGATTTTAAAATGTTCAACCGGTCGTGGATAGTTTTATTTAAATAATATATAGTTTCGAAGTGTTATCTGACAAAATTGTATTGGGTGCAGAGAATGTGTTAAGTAGAAGAATTTTTACAGAGAATATAGACAACTATACATATATATATACACATATAATGAAAATGTACAATGTGAAGATGAACTACTATGATACAATTAATGGATATGTAATATAGTCTGTACTAGGATGAGTCACACTGTGTAATCAAATTATCAAATGTTGTATATGTAATAAAATGATGTTCGTTAAAAAATATATAAACTCTAAGTTTTTTCTCCCATCTCGGATGTACAATATGTGTGTGTAAGACTGTTGAATTATTGAATACCATTAAGTAGTTGCCTCAAATCATGCTTATTTTGCCACGTAACATTTTATTTTAGGAATGTAAACTTTACTAACATTAAATATTTTATACATTGTACATTACTGACACAACACTGATAACAGATGCAACGTTCGTTCATGGCTGGAATAGCGTTGTAGCATAATTGTCATCAAAGAAATAAAGTATATATGAGAGAAGCCCGTGTGTTTATCGTTACTAAAGCAATACCATTTAGACATGTATGTTAACCTTGACACCAATATTTCCATGCAAATACAATTTGACCGATGACCTTTGGTAATCCTATATATACAAATGAAAAGTACACTATATTGATACGTATTGATAAACAATTCGATCTGTGACGTTTGGTGACCTTTAACAGAACTAATTTATGTTTTTAAGATGTAGAATTTAAAAGTACATCCTAATGATCGATTTGGAATGTGACCTTTGTTGACATTAACAATGACCCTTGATTAAACTTAACTTGGTTGTAACATATGTAAATGTAAAAAACAAAGTATATAATATTTATAAAAAGCGATCTGTGTCTTTGGAGATTTGTGAAGATTTTAACATTTCTAAGACAATCGAAAGAACATACATGTATAGCATATTTATCAGTATTTATGGAATATTTGACTTGTGACCTCTCAGAGTCAATCGATACATTAACACACCTTTCAGAAGATGCTGATCACTTTTATACACGTGATTTTTAATATCTTCACAATATCGTGGTCGGTAACCTATGGGCCTGGCGCTCACCGTGGGTTACCGATGATGCCTGATATATACATGAACTATCGTTACATCAAACACCCAACAGAGTGTAGCACCGTACTGCTTCCTTTTACGATCACTACAAAGTACGAAGATCCATATATTGATTGGAAACTTTTATTCTGAAGAAAATAAATTCATAAATAAATTAACACTTTTCTCATACTAAAACCATATATATAATAGCATGGTGTTTAAAATTGTGTGATGTCAGGGAGAGGAACTGCGCGGTTACAGGAAATGTTACTGTGTAGTTACAGGAAATAGAACTATGTGGTGACAGGAAATAGTATTGTGCTTTGACATGAAATGGTATTGTGTGGTGAAAGGAAATGATACTGTGTAGCGACAGGAAATGAAACTGTGTTGGGACAGGAAATAGCACTGCGTGGTGACAAGAAATAGAACTGTGTGTTGACAGGAAATAGTAGTGTGCTTTGGTAGGAAATGGCACTGTGGAGTGACAGGAAATGTAATTGTGTGGTTACAGGAAATGGAATTGCAAGGTAACAGGAAATAGAACTGTGTGGTGACAGGAAATAGTATTGGGCTTTGACAGAAAATGGTATTGTGAGGCGACAGGAAATGATACTTTGTGGTGACAGGCAATAGCACTCTGTGGTGTCGGGAAATTGTGCTGTATGGTACCAGGGAATGACACAGTTTGGTGACAGGAAATGTAATGTGTGGTGACAGGAAACAGTATTCGGTGGTGACAGGAAATAATATTCTGTGGTGACAGAGAATGAAACTGTGTGGTGACAGGAAATAGTGTTGCGTTGTGACCGCAAATGGTATCGTTACTAGTTAGTGAATAGTGTTCTTTTAACTTCCTAGTAAACCATTGGTCCAGATACCTATATATCTCGTATGAAACAGATCACTATTGCGCATCGCCAGACTTTTCTTTGAACATATTAAAGATGGTACGTCTCCCCTATGGCTTTGCTTGAGAGAAAAGACGATAGTTAGTGTGGCGAATGACGACTGCAACGAGGACCGTGTCATAGCTTCATATCGAGTGACCATTGGATGAGGGCAGAGCTACGTCTCACATCAATAATGGTATAAGCGAAACATGAAGTACATGTAGTTTTTAATCTTCAAACTGAAATGTTTATGTGTTTTTATTTGATCGCTGCACAGACTTAAATCTAGGTCTGTGATCGTTGTCATTATGACAAATCATTTCATTACATGTCACTGTATTAAAATCATATACTGAATGTCAACCGTGTAAGGGAAACGTGTTATTTTCAATATTTCATATTTTTATTTATTTATTTCTCGCGAGGTAAAAGGGATGTTTTTCGTCTAAGCAAAGTTGGTGCGTAATTATTTTATTATACATAATTTGACAATTAAATTTCGTCGTAGTTCCAGCCTAAATTTTCAGATTTTTTTCAATAGAAGCCAGCGTGTAATTTATGCATGTCTTTGTTGTAATTAATGCAAACGAATAAAAATATATACAAATCGTACAGTATGTACCGGTAATTATGATGATATTTCCTATGATTTGGAGTCGAATATAATAAATTGATGTAGTTTTTGGTGTCCTGTCTTTATTAATTTCAATTTCCCCGTAGACTTTAAGTTGACTTTTGCTCTGCTTCTATCAAGTACACATGTGTATTTACAATCACTGATATCTGGATTTACTGCAGTATCGTTTGTTTCGTGTCATTCATTCCGCTTGGATTTTCCGCTCCGTTATTTGTACATACCCTGCGGCCGGAAGCGGTATGGTATACACGTGTGTATGTTGACACTTGTGTTGGAGCAGACGGCTCGAACATAATGCCGTCACATCGGCTTCTCTTTCGGGCATTCCTGTATCTCATCTGCCTTTCTGTCCTTGTGCCGTTCATCATCTTCGTTAGTGAGAACTACGTAAGTAAACGATTTTATTAAACCAGATCGAACAAAATGAGATCAACAGTGTTCAGGTTAGACTGTTTTTGTACGTGTGCTACTTCTCGTACATCTAAGTACACAGGACTGTATTTCATTTTTGGTAAGTTTTATTACTGTATAGTGTATACACAAAACATGATGTGGAGGATTTCAATAACAACCATGCGTATTTTGTATGTATGGAGACCGTGATTTGACTTAATATATCTTCAATCATTGATAGATACGCTGATAACTATAATCATGCACAGTTCTCCATATAGTATACGTACATGAAAACTACTTGTTATCAATGTTGTGGTGGTTAGATCATAATGATTCAGCGCTATTACTTGTCAAATAATCAAACAGTGTATATTAAAGTATATAGCTAGACCTGTGAGTCTGACTCTGGTTAACACACAGTCAAGACACAACTCCGTGTAATATTACAGGCGCCCCACAAATCTAGCTGTGGGGGATAGGAAACACGATCATTTGTAGACCTACACTAGACTTGACCGGTGAAATTGTAGATTTGAAATTAACGTCGCCGCCCAATATTTATATTAACAGTTTATCATACGGTTAAGTAAATTGACATCTCTGATCAAGTTCGTCTTTGTAAATATGTTATGCTGAATCCAATCTAACTGGTATGTGGTCATAATTAAAGTTTGCATTAGGATCAGGTGGTAGATACAGTGGCAATTTCCCTTTAGTTGAGCGATAGTGTCAGAAACGCTGCTACCTCGAACCCAGCGATGTCAGGATGTTTCTCATTGTTCATGCCTATTGCGGATACGGTCCCGTTGGCCATCCAGGGTAGAAGCTATAGATGATTGATATACTACCTTGTATATATTGAACCTGGGTTGATGTTGTTGTCTTCGGTGGTCGAAGTGTTAATAAAGGAGGGGGTAGTTTAGAAGTTGAGAGTAAAGGAGCTGTGGAGTGTCCCACTAGAGACCGAAACGTCACTAGTTCGAACCCCAGCGATGCCCTGGATGTTTTTCATTATCCCTTCCTTTTCACCATAATATGAAATCTTTCTTGAAGGAAGGCTTTGTGAAAAAGTTCAGCGAAATGATGCTCCCATGTGGCTGTCGAAATAATATGCTCCCAGTAGAATGTTAAATCAGGATATATTATTATATATATCAACTTATCTAGTGACACATTGGTGATATACATTTAATACATGATAATATGGTGGAGTTTCATATTTGACATGGACAGAGTTGTCTTGTCGTGATGTATGAAATAGAGTTCAAAGTCTGTACTTTTTATGTGAAACTATGTAACTAGGTATCTTTGGTTTGTTGCTTAATGTTCGGGGGACGGTACATGTCAATTATCTACTGTTTGTAATGAAAGTGGGAATTCAAAAATGTTTTTTTGTTACATGAATAATCACTTTTTTTTTTGTCAAATTCTTTCCTGAAATTCTACGGTACAGTGTATTGCTGTTTTTTTTTTTTAATTTTGCTCATATGTATTTTCTCGGCTCATTTATCGACTCATCTGATAAGTTCTAATTAGATTATACCGTTTTATAAAATAACAGTACAACACTGTAACACGTATTTTTATTCATTGATTCTAGTTCTACGGACATTCCGACAGTACGAGTGAATTTGAGCAGGAAGGTATGTACTCTGCGTGGCCAGTGTGTCATACTATACTAAACTATATGTTATACAAATACCTAACTTTTCTATAATGTCATGTTGTCTGTGAAAGAGAAAATTTCGTTACGGTCCCGCTTGCGATTGCCAGAAATGCGCGTTTACATTATTTTATATGTCTGTCTGCCTGCACATATTTTGGATCTATTATTCAATTTCCTTTAAACTATATGCTTCATAGAAATGTTTTAGTTCAATATGTTGTACTGTTTTAAACCGGTGTAGTGTTTATTGTCTATTTTCGGAAATGTCGCAAGACTTTATACAGTTTTTAGAAGGGAATCAATTTGAGAACGGTATTGGAAATGGTTTTGGTAAATTCTGCCTTCGATTTCCAAGGACACCGGTCACCGTAACATTGAATTACGTCATCGCAACGATGAAGACATAGTTCATGCCTTGGCAATGATATGAAAACGAAAAGGACTGCATGAGAGTGTGGCATCTTTGAAATATTTAGATAACATGTAATAACCTAGAACTGAATAGTTAATCTGTTATTTGCTTTGGTCTTAATTAATCCAATGATAAATCTTGGTTGTACGATTGATCAATGTTCAAAGGAAATCGGGATCTGTACATAATGAACAAAACTTTGGGATTCTTAAAGATGAGTTAAGATAGTTTTGATTTGTTTGGGTTTAGCTTGATAAGTACGTGACTAGTGCTTAAATATAATCCAATGTTATCGGATTAACCTATTTAACACTTCAAATCACAGCTCTAGAGGAGACAAAAGACCGCCATGATCCGTCTGGGGAGATGAAGGCCATAAAAGAGGTTATCACCACGCCCATAGTTCTGTGGTGGACCCCGTTTACTGGGGATCCTGGTTCATACAAACGGTGTGGCGAACACAGATGTTTCTTTACAGTAGACCGGCATTACAGGAGACACAACAAGACCAAGGTATGTTATTGTTAAAAGAACTAAGATTGGTCGGTTGCGTGTTTGGTTTTCCATCTTCATGACCCTTCCTGTTACCAAGTATGATTTCAGTAATGATAAATTTTGATTTTCTTTGTTACGCAGGGAGAGTAGCAGCATAACATCGAAAAACACAAACAAACAAAAAAAACATGTAGATACAAACGCGCAGACTACTGCCTCAAAGAAAGCAGGTACCTGCACCAAATTGTCTCCATTAACGTGCTGTTACATTTTTAGCACACCATCAGCTGGTCGGCTATTCAAATCACTCTGCGTCCGTGTTTCGTCCGTCCGTAATCAATTTTTGTTATCGTTATTTCTTGAGAAGTACTGGATGGGTCTTTTTCAAATTACATATGTAGGTTCCCCTTGGTCCCTGCTTGTGCCCGTTTTATGTTGGGACTGATAAAAACAAAAACAAAATGACCGACTCACTGCCATCTTTGATTTTGACTTTGCAAGGTTGTTATCGCTATTTCTTAAGAACCACTGTATAGAATTTTCTCAAATTTCATGTTTAGGTTCCCTTAGGTCCCTAGTTGTGCCAGTTTGATTTTGGGTGTGATAAATAACCAAATGGCTAACAGGCGACCTTGTATTTTATCTTTGCCAGTTTGTTATCGCCATTTCTTGAGAATTACTGCAAAGAACTTTCTTAAATTTCACATGCAGGCTCTCCTTGTTCCCATGTTGTGCCAGTTAGATTTTGGGTCTGATCGGAAAAACAGAATGACTCACAAGCGGCCATCTTGGATTTTGACTTCGAAAGTTTGTTATCACTATTTCTTAAATACTTCTCTATGGATCTTTCTCAATTTTCATGTATATATCCTTTTAGGTCCCTAGTTGTGCCATTCGATTTTTGGTCTTATCAGAAAAAAATGGTCGAAAAGCGGCCATCTTTGATTTTAAATTTGAAAGATTTTATTTACTATTTCTTGAGAAGTCCGGAATGGATATCTCTCAAATTTCATACGTATGCTTCCTTTGGTCTCTCCTTGTGCTTGTTTGATTTTGGGACTGATCAGAAGAAACAAAGTGGCTTCCAGGCGGCCATTTCGGATTTGGCAGGTAAACATTATCGCTATTTCTGCAAAGGAATGTTCACATGTCTAATCATTTAGAGCAAAAACAGAGAAAAGAAGAGAAAAGATCCAACTTTCAATGAGCATATAAAGATTAACCAATGATGGGCACCAAAATCCCTCTGGGATCTCTTGTTAAGACTGCCGACTTTATTTGACTAATCTGTAAGGCAAAATGACACACTTCGCTCTAAAATTGTGACAAAACGAATTGAAATAAAAATACATGGAATATCATTTTGATTTTTAGCATTAATGAGACCATAACAACGTAAGATTTGTGAACATATTTATCATGAATTGCGATTCTTGGAAAATGCCCCGAAACACAATGCTGTTATAACTCCATTAATGCCGAAACAGTTTTCTAAACATTAAGACCTAGAAAGCTTTAAAATCTTAGTGAAATTTACACAGAGAGAAAGCCTGATCGTATGTAAGTATAAGACTATTCTTAAATTTAGTTGATTTTCATTCTGTCCCTTTCCATTGAAGTGATATTTAGTGTCAGTTTACATGTATGCAAACACAAGAAGTTGTAATTAAGTTAACGCTGAATAATATCGTGTTAAATGGCGACAGACTTGCAACAGTTCATCTTCCACATTAATAGCTAAATATGTTGAAGATGTCTCCAAGCAACCGTATCTGCATTAATAGGAAGCCTCATTTTATGGAGTGTTTCAATGTAACCGATTGTAATCGAGTGTGTTTGGCAACCTTGATCTCCACTCGTCAAGGTGCACTGGCTATATATAATACACTGTTAATGGGATATGTATTAGTCAATGGCAGCCCTAGCATGTACCTATCGATTGTATAGGTATACAGAGGATGCCTTCATGGGACTGAAACAATTATCATCCATTTAATAGAGTATTCATTCATTATTGATCAGAAACAGGTTTTGGTCTATGCCTGTCGAATACACCCACTGGGAAATTTAATTGGTTATTGTCGTTTGGAGAAATTCCCTATAAACCAATATATGTGTTGAACTAACGCAGACATTGTATCGATGTATCTATTCTATTAAATTTTCAACAGAAATTTTTATGTGCTTGGCTAGTTTCTTTTATTTGTCTATAGCGTTCACACACCTACCACAATATCAAAACATCGATTGTTTTATAATGATGATCAAATCGACTGATTTTTAACTAGAGGGATTTGTTAGCAAGCAACGTCAAGGAAGTAAAAAAAGTATGGTCAGTTGAACTGGGATGTCTTGTTGCTCCACACATTGTTACCTAAAGACACTACCAGCGACAATCACACATTGTAACCTTAAGAAACTACCAGCGACAATCACACATTGTATCCTTAAGAAACTACCAGCGACAATCACATATTGTATCCTTATGGAACTACCGGCGACAATCACACATTGTAACCTTAATAAACTACCAGAGACCATCACAATCACACATTGTAACCTTAAGAAACTAACAGCGACAATCACAATCACACATTGTAACCTTAAGACACTACCAGCGACAATCACACATTGTATCCTTCAGACACTACCAGCGACAATTACACATTGTAACGTTAAGAAACTATCAGCGACAATCACACATTGTAACCTTAAGAAACTACCAGCGACAATCACACATTGTAACCTTAATAAACTACCAGCGACAATCACATATTGTATCCTTATGGAACTACCGGCGACAATCACACAATGTAACCTTAATAAACTACCAGAGACCATCACAATCACACATTGTAACCTTAAGAAACTAACAGCGACAATCACAATCACACATTGTAACCTTAAGACACTACCAGCGACAATCACACATTGTAACGTTAAGAAACTACCAGCGATAATCACACATTGTATCCTTAAGAAACTACCAGCGACAATCACACATTGTAACCTTAAGAAACTACCAGCGATAATCACACATTGTATCCTTAAGAAACTACCAGAGACGTCAAAGGACAATTTCGCCAGAGTCCGAAATTTCTCAGGGTAGTGTTGTAGACATATAATATTTTAAACCTAGCAGGCACTTTCGTCCTGAAATGTTTTTATCGATGTCCTCAGTTCACCCAAACCTCTGGTCTAACATGGTTGACCAGGATGTGAAGAGTTTTGTGAACTTACTTACATTCTTATTTCTGATTTTGACGTTATGACGTCTCTGTGAATCTAATGCTTCACACACCTCGTCCTTAAATACGTTGCACCTTTTCATGATTAAACCATGTTCAATACTATGATTTGGTCACAAAGGCTGGGAACTGTGATTAATGTAATTATATATCTATAAATTGCTATTGTTTTTTTCAGGCGTTTATGTTCTATGGCACTGACCTTGACGATGTAGATCTTCCCTTACCAAGGAATTCACATCAGCATTGGGCACTTCTGCACGAGGAATCTCCGAAAAACAACTACATTTACTCCCATAAGTCTGTGGTAACTTTATTTAACCACACTTGTACATTTAAGAGAGAATCTGACTACCCTATACCTACGCAGTATCTCCCTAGTTTAGAATGGCTTTCTAACAGAGAATATATGGTGCCAACAGCTGAAAAGAACCGGTTACAGAAGACGGAATTATCTCCCCTTATGTATGCCCACAGCGACTGCGGCACACCCAGTGACCGTGATACATACGTAGAGTTACTGATGAAACACATTGGGGTAGACTCGTATGGCAAGTGTCTCCACAACAAGGATCTACCTCCACAGTAAGTCATGGTAGTGGTTTTCATGTCACTCTGATGTTCTTGATCACTTTGATGTTATATTCATGAGTCACGTCATCAGAATATTCACCTCAATGTCCAATAACATAGACAGCGTTTCTATCTGAATTTTTGTTTTGAAAAAAAATGTAAATGAAGAGTATTATGAAGTTAAATACACTGACACTGTTATTTCACATAAAACAGTTATTTGCAATTAAACTGGACATCATGAAAACGTAATGGCTAACGATAACGGGAGATGGAGGTCAAACATAGAAGCCACCTTAATACAGAAATTCGATGAAAGGGAATGCAGAACTTGAAAGTGTCAACATAACTTGCCTGATACAATAGAGTGTTATGGTTATATTCAACATTCGTCAGCTTTAAACCATTGATTGTGAGCTTTACCCCGTGAACGCGAGGTAATTGTACACAAAGTTTGCTTCGATAACATGTTTAGATAGTGATGTTTTTGTGACCACGATGCATTCGAGACTGTTAAAATTCAAGGTTTTGGAAGCTGAATGTCGACTGTCTATTAAGAGTAATTTTCTTACCGAACTTATAAAAAACGACGAGCCTTCTTTTTTACTGTTCATGTGTTATAATGTGTTATAATGCTTTTTTGTTGTTTTATTTCAGTTTACAACATCCTATTCAGGGCATGGATCATGTAGACTTTTATAAGCTGATATCCAAATATAAATTCTCACTGGCCTTTGAAAATGCTGTGTGTGACGACTATATGACAGAGAAATTATGGCGCCCTCTGATGGTGGGATCGGTTCCCATTGTCATGGGATCACCGAAGGTCAAGGTAGGTTACTTGGAAGTCAGGAATAGAAACGTTATTACATTAGATATAGTAACACGATAGATTCTTGCTACGGACCCTAATGTAAGATGTCTATTAATTTCGCTCTTGCATGTTTAACGATCTACTAATATACCGATATAGTTTCAAATCTTGGTCTGATATTGAGACACTGCTTGAGAAGTGAAATATCAAAAATGCAATATGCTTTGAACAATTAAAGAAGTAATATTATTTTAAATCATGTTTACTCACGATATCAGACATTTAAATTAATTACGACAAGTGGTTAACTTAACTTTCAGATCATTTTTTTCTCTTTTGTAGGATTTTTTGCCTGCCAAACACTCCGCAATAATAGTAGAGGACTTTGTTTCCATAAAACAGCTTGCTGAATACATCAAGTTTCTTAATGAAAACGACGATGAATATGAGAAATATTTAGCCTGGAAAAAGACAGGGATAGAAAATAAGTATTTGATAGAACTAATGAAAAATCGCGAGTGGGGAGTGGATGGATCCCACGGTACGAAATATCATAACTTTATCGATGGATTCGAGTGTTTTGTATGTCAGAGAATTAACGAAAATGAAAAATTAACGAAACTAGGTAAGAAACCAAGAGCCTACCTCTCCTCTCATAATCATTATGGCTGTCCGGGCCCCATAGCTTATAACAGTGAAGGTACTAGGTATGGACCCGAAGGCGTAAACAGTTGGGACTACGAGTTTGCCAACAGTCGTTACACTGCGGCGGCGATAAGATACCATGTAGACAGGGGTGTTCCATATACCAAACAACAATTACTCGCAACGGCGAACAGGATGAAAGATGAAGACCTGTAACGGAAATAGTCTGGGTCCTTGTTGTATATTTCTGTATCTAGTCGTTGGATCTGTTAGGAGTGTAGACATGTCATCTGTTTTACAAAGGAGGTATACAAAGGGAGAGAGAGGGAGAGAGAGAGAGAGGGGGGAGCCAAGAAATACGACAGACAGAGCGATAGAGCAAGCGGGCAAACAAGGAAGATTGTAAGAGAAGCGAGCATGCGAACGTACTACGAAAGAGTGTTTTTAATATTTGTTTTATTGTGATTTACGAGGTTAACTTTACTCGAAACTCCAAAATGAAGTGCCATTACAACAATTGTTCGAAAGAAATCCACGAGGAGAGATGAAGCTCTTTTATATGTGATAATTATATCCTTTCAGTAATATGAAAGTTTTATTAAAATCTTTTAGACTGATAAACGGAGATTTTTTAAAGTGTTGAAAACGTTTTTATGTTTATGGTCCTCCGTAAAACAATAAACAGAGAGGAACAAACATCTAGTCTGTCATGAATAAATTACATATAGATACATACAACACCCAAAATGACACAAGTTAACCCGAAAGCCTACCCGTTGGCTGATCAGTTATTCACCATAAAACTCTTGGATGTATCGCAGCAATATGTCAACCTCACGCATCTCAAAAAAGGAGTCGATGAAGCTACAAAAACTTTGAATCTTTGAATTGCTGAATTCATCGACTTGGCAGCAGATACCGAACAATTGAAGATTTTACGTCATCTCCCGTTCTTGTATGAAGATAAGAATGTACCCTATGATGTCTTGGCAAGCTGTGGGTTGAGCCTGTGGAGTATAACGCCAGTTATTGCAGCCTGTGTAATAATTGTCAATGAAGGTTCCCAACTGAAGACTCGGATCCACACCGTTCAAAGTAGCATTGAAAAACTTCTGCTAAGCATTGCCATCATAATCACCTAGACAATGAATCTCAAAGGCAATTTTTCAGTTTAAAGTGTCTGCTTAATTTTACTTTAGAAGAGACATTGTTGTTATTCGAAGAAATATTCACTGGCAATAGTACAATATTCAAATGTCACGAACTTGCTCTGATCGTCATTGTCTCTGATGGACTTTAGGCTCTATCATTATACAGTAATCTTGATGTTAACTGTTAATGTCATTGAAATTATATATATTTATATATACAGTTATTGACGAGGATGGGAATCCTGTAATGTGAAAAATCTGTTCATGAATTTTATGTATAAATAAGAGTGCTGTATAAAAAAATTTAGATAAATGCAACGAAACACTCGACAATAGGAGCTACATATACGGAATACTGAAGTAGGATAGTCACAGTTCGTCAGGAAAAAGAAGCCTTTGTTTATGATGTCGCATTCTAGTCCACTCTTTAGTGAATAGATGATCGATCGGTACACTGTATATATCTTTATTGAAACATCTGTCATGAGTTCACGCGGTGTTCGAAAAAAAAATGTACACAACGACGGTCTAGACATCAAGTTTGGTATGGATAAATAGAACTCTCGATCAGAGGAATGGCATTCTTGATCAGCAAATCTGTTGGACTAGTTTTCACCAACGCCTAGAATTTTGTAAGCGTCTGTTGATGGCTTTATATAATCCATCAATCATTTAACCGACGGATATCCTGTAAGTAGAATCCGACCATGCCAAAGACGGAAGTCAAGTTGTCAGCTTTCTACTGGTTAAGACGCCATCGCTCGAATGGGACACAGCTCGCAGACATAACTAACAATATCGGGAACATCCAGCGACAGATAGAAATACTGACCTTACTTCGACGTGTCTGAGATTTTGATCACGTGTGATATCAATGACTGTGTTCTCCCAGATATTGGGATGAAATCTTTAAATTAACGACACAACTGAAAATCACTATCACATGCTTTATTACATTTACTTAGTAACAATGATATATTGGATACAAATTAAATATATATATATATACTGTAGCTATCAACGATGTCTACAAAAAGCTACACTTATATAGAATTGTATTGCGTATCAGTTATTTTTAGACACTACCATATTCCTTCAAGGAATTAAACACTATCATTAAGTCTTCTGTATCATCTATTGTCATATAAAACAGTTTCATTTTTTATAACATGTATTTAACGATATATACAACATTATATTTGAAATAGTGAATTATCATTTATAACCAACACAATCGGTATTGTCATATCTTTATCGGTAATAATACATATCAAATTGTTTTAATACGGTTTTTTTGTATGATGTAATATACAAACGTATTTTTACCGGCAGTGCTTGAACTAGGCAGCTTAATAAAACTCGTGCACTAGATGAACGGAAACAGTTCTGGAAGTATAACGCTGATGTAAAGTGATTTACATTTGATACTTGTTATAGGAATTGGCACTATTTATGTTGTACGTAATATTTACATGCACTATGAAACCGATTTGTTAACAATTGTGTATAATCTGAACAGGGTATCATTAACGGAGTATATCGTTATCTCCTCAATATAGGACTGATGATAATAACTTCCACCAAACCGTTTCAGACAGGACTGCCATGGTATGTGCCGGTTATAACTTTCATCACATGTTTCAGACAGGACTGACTAGGTTTGATGATACATGTTTCAGCCAGAACCGCCGGGGTGTCTGCTGATAATTCCTTTACCCAGATGTTTCGGACAAGACTAATGCGTGGTTTTGATACCGGTTAACAGGTAGGAGTTTACCATCTGCCTTTTCCCAGGGGTTTTATCTAGCGATGAGAGAATGAACGATGATATATCAGTTTTATTATAGGTACATTAGAGATATAGTGGTGAATATGTCCACTTATATTTCGGGTTTTAGTGTAGTGATGACTGACTGGGTGATAAAATGCCGGACTTAATCTTGGATCTTGACAGTATTGACCAGGTGGGTGGATGATTAGCTGCAATAAGAATCGATTCAATGTTTCGGGGTAAATATTTAAGAATCAGATCAGATGAAACTAATAACAAATATCAATCACACAATAACGCACATCTTTGACATTTTAGAGTCCGTATTTTCTTCTCGTCTGTGGATTTTTGGAATTCTGAACCTCGTTCTAGTTGCCTTTGGTGTTGACTTTGGTGGTCCCTTAATAGGTGAAAGCTGCAATGAAAATGATCAGGAGAATCAGAAATTGATTACATAAAACAGGTATATATAAAGTGCATACTACGACGAACAAATAAGACAAAAGTTTACCTTGATCATTTGTGGAAGGCTGGATACCGAACTTCTCTTCCTTTTAACTGGTAGTTTTGGCACAGGAAACATCCCCGAATTTCGATGTGGAAAGGTATGTTTCGGAACTAGAGGCAAAATTGATAGGGCATCTGAAAAAATGTATGAATATAACATTAATGTTTAGGTTTAAAACGTATTTTGATAATCAATATTAACTCTGTGTCGAATTTTACCATGTATATCCTGACCTGAGATGGATGGTGTCCATTCATTGTTCGGTTCCGGATCGACAGGGCTGTTGTGTAGACACAGGAGAGGTACATGGTGATCGTTCTCCAGATGTACTATAATCCGTTTAGCATCGGATGTAGTCATGAAATTAATCACCGGAATATGCATCGACAGCAGCGTCACCTGGATTCCATGTCGAATACTCCAAAGCCTGATCGTGTGGTCACGAGATGCTGCGAAAAAGATACAGTGCCATTTAGAATGCACTAGAGAATTATTCTTTAAATAACTTGACATATAATGACTTTTATGGCGCATTGAGGATATTAACGTTTGTATGTTTCTTTAAGTACTGACATGATATGTGGTAAGAGGATTGCGTTTAAGATGATCAAAGATACGTGAGATTATGTGCATTTGATGCGTAAGGCTAAAATTAATGCAATAAATGTATTTGTCCACGTGAGGATGTAAGAGTATGAGTGGTACCTGTGAGAGCGAAGGATCCATCCCTGGTAATGCGAATTGTTGTGATACAGTCGGTGTGCCCAATAAGGCGGTGACGAGGCTCCCCTACTGACAGGTCCCACACCAGCACCGTGCCACGCTCGGAACCTGATACCACTTCCGTATGCATGGCCACCGCCGTTACGGCACAGTCGTCTTCCACCAAAACCTACAAGTACATAATAATGGAAACACAATGGTAACACAGAGGAAACAATGGATAACGAGTAAATAATTCAAATTAAATTGAATAATGAATAAACTAGTGTATAAACCTACATCATTTAGGCAAAAAGTAAAGGTTCCCAGTCATTGTTACATTTCGATGTCAACAGAACAGAGATTTGGGACCAACATAATCAGTTCATAAGAATTCTCAAACTGAACTGAAAGTGAGTTTTAGCACGGTTCTTTAAAATTCTATGTTATAGAACATATAAGAATTATATTTGAAGCATGTGAAATGTCATGAATACAAAAACAATACAAAGGCTGATAAGAGACGACAATACGTTTCGGCATGAAATCCTATTTTGGTTACAGCGAGCTTTAGCAAAACGGTGCAAGTAACCTGTGTAAGTTTTGCAGTCATAAGTTCCCAAACTTTCAAAGAACCGTCAACAGAAGCTGTCACAAAGTAAAGGTCATCAACAGAGCGGGCGACACACGTGATCCTCTCCGTGTGACTCACACATCCAATAAGGGTGGCATCAATTGTGTTCCAAATCTTCCCGCTGTAATACGAAATTGGACGTCAAGAATACGGTAATATCATAAGCGGTACAGAATAAAAAAATTTGTTTAAACTTTATGCACGTTTATATGCAAAATACATGTACGTATGTTAGTATTTCAAGTAGTATTTGAAGTACATACAGTATCATTCAATAACGAAATATACCTCTGGTCGCCTCGGCACGTAATTAGGTATTGGCCATTACTAGACAAAACGAAAGTGGCAGCAGGGATAATGTATGATGTCAGAGTGGCCCCGGTTTCCGCTTGCCATATATGGAAGTAGCCTTGGTTATCGTAGGACAGGATTCGTTCATCGTCAATGTATTCCACATTCTGAATCATGTGTTCATGGTGCTGTCAACAGTAATATTACAATAAAATTAGTACAATATGCAATAAATATATATTTGTTTAAACGATGTTGAGAAATGATGTGGATTCAGAGGAGTAATACAGAGCTTCCGTTTCTAGTTCAGGAAGGAGAGGATATGTTATAATTAGCTAGCTGTCTAGAGAGATACATAAATCACGTAAATATACTCCGTTTTCCATAGCAAACCACATCTTAATGAATACTGTATTATTATAGGCACTAACTAATATTTATATCTCTGTAGTCGCATTACCTTGTATGACAAGACCCATGTGAGGAGCTCGAGGCTCCAGAGGAGGAGAGTTCTGTCTCTAGAGCCTGTCACACAGCATGATCCGTCAGGGGATACGGCAATACACGTGATACCAGCAGAATGTCCTAGCAGATTCTCTTTGAATTGATTTAGCTCCAAGTTCCACATTTTTAAAACGCCGTCCTCTCCCCCTGGAAATATGGATTTTATTTAAGGTAAGTTGTATTCAGTGATCTCTATACATGACTTACCTAATCCTATCCTTTATCTTAGATATAGATTCACATGAAAACATATACTAACTGCTTTATGGTTCGGTAAGGTCTTTTTGACTAGCTTTAATATGTTGTTAGCGTACCTGAGAGTGCGAACCGACTTTGATTGTCAATGTAGACACATGTCACACTACCACTGTGGTCGTTCTCTGTAGCTTTATTCATGGTCTTCTTGTAGAAGTTCCAGACGTTGATTTTTGTCTGTAAACAAATTTGATACGAGTAGTGTAACAGATTTAGAAAGACAACTTGATTATCTACGGTTATATGTTTTTACTGTGGCGTTTGTTGAGAGTAAAATTCTACATCCATACAGAGAGGTAACATAATGACAATAAAATGCCATTGATACAGAGATGATAACTACAAAGAACACGTTGGTGTTGTGTTTGTAGACTGGCACAATCAATTGCGAGAAATGAGACATGTGAAAGAAGATATTGTGATTCGAGCTGAAAAGCTCTGATATCAAGGGAAATACGTGGAAAGGAATTAATGTTATGGCAACCTTTGAAAGGCATAAAGTAGAAAATACAAATCAGTTGCTCCAGAGAGGTGAATGTTTCCAATTCCATGGATAACATTTACTATACAATCTTTATATCGAAGTCTTTATTCAGCAGAAGAAAATACATTCTATATAAAGTAATAATGACGGCCAATGAACCTTATAAGCGTATACAACATTCGTAATATTCTAAGCAAGCCTGTGAAGATAGAACACACAAATCACAATCATAACATATGTTATTAGCGAGGCAGCAATACTAACGTCAGAAAAATAAAGAAAGATACATCTAGATAGACACGGTTGTTATACAGATAAAAACACGTAAGCCATCCTTTTTGTCTAAGGTATAAGCAAGTAAAATGGCTGATGTGTTAGTGATATCTCTATCGATGTTTTAAGTACTACCTGTCCTGATAAGTTCAAGCCAAATATAAAAGGAAACAACTGGAGTTCTGCCTTGGGAGAGGTTGTGAACAATTTCAAGAAAACTTTGAAGTCAACAGAATACATTGTTGTTCAACCAGTCAGTGCCATTGTTGCAGAAATGAAAAATCAAATGTAGTCAAAGAAAATTGACATTTTAAAATTGTTTTCCTTCAAAATCCTTATTCTGCTACGAATGTGTCAGAGTGGATTTGTTAACGTTTCGTAAAACATGAAACACCACAAACAAAAATATCAAGCAATGAATAAACGATAACAGGATTAACGGAAAGTAGTAGTATCAAGTCTGGTTTGCTACTACCTCATGTTTGACTGATATTGAATGAATTCTTTTCATGTTTATTGGTACTATAATTATAACTATAATTACCGCTGTTGCACTGAATATAAAAGAATCGTCTCTAGATATGCAAATATCCCAGACTGGGTCACTGGAACTGCCCTTCAGTGTCTGCAGTAAATCTGTAGTTCGTAAGTTGTACAGGTATACGTTTCCGTCCAGGCAGCCCACCACCACGTGGTAACAGTCGTTAGAGACGTCTATACACGTCACCTGTAACAGAGAATATACTGCAGATTCATTTTACACAAACAAAATGTTCTTAACATTTATCTTATAGAAAACAACAACAAAGAAATTCTTGGTATATAACTCCTTAACAACGATTGTTCAACTGAACAGTTCACAAAACTATTATTAATTCACAGGACGACAAGTTACACGCAAGGGTTTATCGACATAGACAAGGTCTTAACAACAGTTTATCGACATTGACATAGTACACACAAGGGTTTTTCGACATAGACAAGGTCCCAACAACGGTTTATCGACATTGACAGGGTACACACAAGGGTTTATCGACATAGACAAGGTCCTTACAACAGTTTATCGACATTGGCATGGTACACACAAGGGTTTATCGACAGAGACAAGGTCCTAACAACAGTTTATCGACATTGGCATGGTACACACACCAGTTGAACAACATTTATAGAACACATATAAAAGTAACTAATACATACTAGGATCATCCATTTAGCAGATACGATGTGTATCAATCGATGCCACACTGCACGTTCTTATTCCACTTGAACGTTAATCCATTTGAATGGTCGGTATCACATTTGTTTCAATTTTCATTAGCTATTTCATTAATATGATTGTCCACTGCCTCTAACAGGCAACCTAGCAACCCGAAATAGACACGTCTACGTAATTACCACTTTACATACTTCAGTGACAAATGAAAGCCTCGTTACCATAAATAGTTTTACACCATAGAGTTTGATGATTAGCAGCTAGAATATATCCGGTTTAGGTCAAGTACTTTTCTGAAGGCCAAACGCCATTTTGATATTTACTTTACGTATCTGCACATCATCTTGTTGAATTACCATCAAGACTTTTTTATGATTAAAATTATAATACATTATCTTAGTCAAGTCATGTCCTTTTCAATTATGTTATTAAGTAAACATGTTAAAATGATATATCATTTAATGAAAAGCTCTCCCAAAGACAAAATTCGATTTGAACACGTTGTAATATATTGGTCAATATCGATTTTATATGTAGGAATAATCTGATTACATCAAGAAAAAGCGAAAATCGACTATATAGAGTGTTATGTCTTAAACGGATAATTCAAAGAAAGAATCCTCGACACGGCGATACAGTAAAGAGAGAGATGGAGGTAGTATACGGAACTGTAGCAGTGATCGGAGCCAGTAAAGGAATCTCAGGAAGAGATTGGAGGTAGTAAAGCGAAAAGGTGTGATCGGAGCCAGTAAAGGAATCTCAAGAAGAGATTGGAGGTAGTAAAGCGAAAAGGTGTGATCGGAGCCAGTAAAGGAATCTCAGGTAGAGATTGGAGGTAGTAAAGCGAAAAGGTGTGATCGGAGCCAGTAAAGGAATCTCAAGAAGAGATTGGAGGTAGTAAAGCGAAAAGGTGTGATCGGAGCCAGTAAAGGAATCTCAGGAAGAGATTGGAGGTAGTAAAGCGAAAAGGTGTGATCGGAGCCAGTAAAGGAATCTCAGGAAGAGATTGGAGGTAGTAAAGCGAAAAGGTGTGATCGGAGCCAGTAAAGGAATCTCAAGAAGAGATTGGAGGTAGTAAAGCGAAAAGGTGTGATCGGAGCCAGTAAAGGAATCTCAAGAAGAGATTGGAGGTAGTAAAGCGAAAAGGTGTGATCGGAGCCAGTAAAGGAATCTCAGGAAGAGATTGGAGGTAGTAAAGCGAAAAGGTGTGATCGGAGCCAGTAAAGGAATCTCAGGTAGAGATTGAAGGTAGTAAAGCAAATAGGTGTGATCGGAGCCAGTAAAGGAATCTCAAGAAGAGATTGGAGGTAGTAAAGCGAAAAGGTGTGATCGGAGCCAGTAAAGGAATCTCAAGAAGAGATTGGAGGTAGTAAAGGGAAAAGGTGTGATCGGAGCCAGTAAAGGAATCTCAAGAAGAAATTGGAGGTAGTAAAGCGAAAACTTGTGATCGGAGCCAGTAAAGGAATCTCAGGAAGAGATTGGAGGTAGTAAAGCGAAAAGGTGTGATCGGAGCCAGTAAAAGAATCTCAAGAAGAGATTGGAGGTAGTAAAGCGAAAAGGTGTGATCGGAGCCAGTAAAAGAATCTCGGGAAGAGATTGGAGGTAGTAAAGCGAAAAGGTGTGATCGGAGCCAGTAAAAGAATCTCAGGAAGAGATTGGAGGTAGTAAAGCGAAAAGGTGTGATCGGAGCCAGTAAAGGAATCTCAGGAAGAGATTGGAGGTAGTAAAGCGAAAAGGTGTGATCGGAGCCAGTAAAGGAATCTCAGGAAGAGATTGGAGGTAGTAAAGCGAAAAGGTGTGATCGGAGCCAGTAAAAGAATCTCAAGAAGAGATTGGAGGTAGTAAAGCGAAAAGGTGTGATCGGAGCCAGTAAAGGAATCTCAAGAAGAGATTGGAGGTAGAAAAGCGAAAAGGTGTGATCGGAGCCAGTAAAGGAATCTCAAGAAGAGATTGGAGGTAGAAAAGCGAAAAGGAAACACTAGGAGTGATCGGAGCCGATAACAAAAACATTTGAAGATATCGAATGTAGAATACTCTGGTAGTGATCGGAGCCCGTAAAGGAAGCCATGGAAGAGATTGGAGGTAGAATAGGGAACTCTGTCGTGAGTTATCGGAGCATAGTAATGGAAACAAACTTTGAAAGTGAAAGGGGCACGTACAGAGAGTTCAGGTAGATGTTGAAGCTTGTTTAGGAAACTTTCACCCTTGCTACTCCGGGGTTACGCTCAATATCGTTCTCTACACCCATGGAACATTTCGTGTCAAAATTGAAGGTTCCATGTAAGACACCATGTGGATAAAACGGAAAGGCTAGTTTTATTCATTAATGTACATCCAATGGATTTCGAGGTCGCATAACGGTTTGTTTTACTGACTTTGACGTTTGGTGTTACTCCTTTGTAATCTTAAAAGGACCATATCAGTCTGTAATTGGGCAGTTGTTTTTCTTCCTGAAGCCCGTTCTATACCAATCAAATTACTTGCTTGTGACTTCAGTTTTGTCATGAAATGTTTCAGGAGTCCAGACTGCGAAAGTGATCGAAAGTACATGAAAATATGGGAGATTTTGGAGCCAAAACAGGGAACTAGTGGAGAGATCAAATTACATATTGTGACTTCAGTTTTGTCATGAAATGGGACTAGAGCCAGAACGTGAAATCCATGAAAATATGGGAGATTTTGGAGCCAAAACAGGGAACTAGTGGAGAGAACGAAACCATCATATTTGACTCAGGGAGGGACTAGAGCCAGAACGTGAAATCCTTGGAAAAAATGTATCCGTCCTTAAATCGATTTCAGCAGTCTTGGATTTCATGATTCCCCGTGAAATGTAAATTTCCAGCTCTTAATTATCCACTTATGTTTCCCTCTTTAATTGTGATATTGCCTGGTTCTGGGCGCGTTATGTCATCTTTTGTCTCTTTTGAACGGCTTTTTGATAGTTCGGACCTCTTCGTGCCAAAAACATGTTTATGCAAGTGGTCATCATCTTCACTTCATTATCCATACTGCATGCATGATAGCGTATTGTAGTGTATTTAATACACACCCTCCTCTTACAGGTATGATTTTTTTTACCCTTTATGTGCCGTTGTAAATTTTTCAAGGTAAGAAGGTGGCTCAATCAATGTAAAATATGTAGTTTCCTGGCTTCATGTTTCCTCGGAGAATAAGATCTCATAGCACACTTTATCAAGTAAGCTAACCGTGCAAGTTGTTCCTCACGTTTTAAGTAATTGCTGTAGGATAAATGTATTTGGACTAAGTCAGGGTTTTCTTGTCTGGATATCTTAAATCTTATCTATATTAAGTTTGGTAAAAATATATATCTTTTTACCTGATAATATCATAATATTACTGACACCTCCTTTGAATATCATTCAATCTGAATTTCTTGCACTCTTTTCCTACCTTCTATGATATATTTGCATTCATAACGTCCACTGATATATTTAAATTACTCATGTTCTCTTCGTGCCCCAGCACTATATGTATATTACTTACGCCCCTTCATACATCATGTGATATAATTGTATTACTTACACCCCCTTCGTGCCCTCTGAGCTGATGTATCCATGAGCCAGTGATGAACGAGAGAACGTGTAGGGAATTGTCTTCACATCCTGGAAAACATAAAACATATTTTGATCACTTATTCCAATTTCTTTGTAGAAGACAGTTGTGTATCGGTGTCAGTAGCAGCACGTGTTCGAAACACATTACTGTAATAGCAGGTCACACCAGCACTTTTTGATTAAATCACATCTTTATTGCAAGGCGTTTCACAAAGATGGAATGAACCGCAATCCAATCTTAATGAAAGACAATGATGAAATGGGCGAAACTGATCTTCAATCTAATTAATTACAGTATGTGTTGCGAACTCTGTAAAGATAACGGGAATAATAATAGTTTAATATGTTATCGTTACTTCTCCAGTAATAAGTAACCTTTTGCATCGCAACACAAGTAAATGCTGGACACGGCTCAGTGGCTTATTTACCTCTGGGTACTTTGGCATAATCTTCCACATTTTCCAAAATTATAAATTTTCTTCACAAGCCAATCACAATATAGATAGATTGCTGTGACTACAAAAACAAATACACTTTACACGTGTGTTGTCGTGGACAGAATCTTACAGCTAATATATATTGTGATTGCTTCTTCGGATTTGTTTTGTACAGTGTAAAGTTCATGTTGATAGCAAATGGCGGCCATCAAATTGAAAATATTACTAGTGCAGTAAGATGAATTAAAACAGCTCTAATTGAGAAAGAATCTTCCTCAGCTTCTAGGGGAACAAACCAATTTGCAGGTACAGTGTTCATGATTGCGCAAGAGATGTGGTAAAAACGCTCAAGAGTACACACACCGATGTACGATTATCACCAAGGACCGTGGAGGTGATACTATCACTTCGTGTCAATTGCAGGCGGCATATCAGTTTGGTTTGCTTACCCTTTAGTAGATATGTTTAAATACCTGGTTTAAATTCTTGACTTTCTTTGGAATATGAATAGTATGAAAAAATCTTCGGTTTGTTGCGTAGCTGATACCTTTTTTTTGCCTGGTTTGAAGCTTCTTTTAAACAGGAGGTCTGATTACAGAAATAAGCATGTGTGACGCATGAAAATGACAATAAAGAAAATGTCAACAGGATTTAAAGCCAATTTAGGGCAAAATCTTATCAAATTACTGTTACGGAGACGTTGTTAAGGTACGAGAATTATTTTTTTCAGTTTGGATTGGAGAAATAAAGTGGTCAGAGTGACAACATAATAATATAGAAGAAAACCGATAGACGTTATCATTTAAGTTATTGATTAATTCTTTACTAATATAGCCGGTATGGTTAATTTGAAAAATGAGTTCTTCGGGTCCAGGCGGTCTACGTTGTGCAGCGATCTCTTTTCGCAGAAACCTGAGGAAGGGACAGCTTTCCAGTAAGCGGTGGTAACTGTACTGGTTTGGTCAAAATTGAATTTACAAATCTCATGGGAAGGTTACATGCCCTAAAATTCAATCAATTTCATTATTAAAACATAATTTTCAATAATGAATAAATACAAAACAACGTACATGTGTATAGATCAGATATTATTAATATTCTAGAAGAGGATCGTTACTATGAAGGAGGTATAAACAATTGTATATACAGTATGCGGCATATGAAACCGTACTTCATTCTTCATCATTTACGCCTTCTGATCCATACCCTGAAACCAATGTATCAGAAAATGTACAGCCCTATGTACAAGTGCTTCATGTGGATCTGTACCCTTACAAGTTGCTTCAAATCGTAATCACAGAAATATACACATTAATTTTATTCTCTGATGGCGTATCTCTCAATGTCTTCTCTTTGTAATTATCCGGAAACTGCTATTAAAACAATGATCAAAAGGTTAAGCATTGATTTTCTACTCAGATGCAGCAGAGAAGCTAGATGACAAAGACGCGGTACAGACTAATGGTGTATCATTAGATCTAACAAGATGAATTGATAGCGTTGGTATGCCATTAATGTATCTAACAGCATAGTCAGGTTTGCATAAAATGGCTAAGTAATTAATTTATCGATCTATATTCTATGTTACCCCGAATATATATATAAATATATATATATATATATATGCGTGTGTGTGTGTGTGTGTGTGTGTGTGTATCCGTCCAACACACATGCGGTTAAGATTAATGATATTACGTTTTGTAGTCATTGTGTCGTGTTGTGTATGATTCTGAAAAAGGGCACATAGCCTAAACAATTCGACGAATAATTTTGTTTCCATTGTTGTCTAAATTTCTCTTTAGATATTGATATATATACACTACAATAAGTAAATACCGTCTGATCTCACAAAACTTATATTATGTGTTTTAACAGAGAAATGCCAGTATTAAGTCCGTAAACATTTATGTTTTTCGAGCTGGGTGTTCTGTTACAAGTAACGAAAAACAATTCATTACTGCGATAACCGTAAAATCCAATCATCGCAGTATCCATAGCCCTTGGTTATAGATCAGACTCCAATATCTGGTTTCTTCACATAACAAAAACGAATTCTACACCTGACAGATAAACTGGAGAGTATAAAAATACCAACATTGACTTATACATAAAAATTGTTCGATTCTGACCACCTTTGTTTCAAAAATGAAAATACGGCGTTTTCTAAGGTAAAAGGAAAACGATATCAACATTCTGACAAGAGGACATTGAGTTCTTTTTAAATGACGTCTTGCTTGATTTTCGTCGACTGTCATAAAAAAGGAAATACCAATATGTCAACATATAGATTTACACAAGATTAACCAGTTCTGATTTCATAATTTACTCGTGAACTTTGGATCCGATGACTTTTTAATTTCTTCTCGACAAGGTGGAGATAAGTGGACACAACGAGAATGGTGCATTGAGTCAAATACAACCTTACAACACGTCTACGTATTACAGAGAATCACTATCAGAAATACATAAGAAAATACTTGGAAACCAAAGTGAAGACAGAATCACACCGTATCTACTTGTGAAGTTGCCCACAACCATGAAATATTAACCGCGCGAAATTAAAGAACTACACAGTACTCTGGTGGAACTACAACTACCCTTACTTAATGATGAGAAGATGTTGTCACGAGTAAGTTCCACACAAGTTACAGAAGAAGGCTTCATACTTAACTACTGTCATAAATATGTTATTACAGATAAGTTCTACACAGGTTACAAGTGAGTATCTACTTACCTATACTCAGGGAGGTGTTGTCACAAAAAGTTACACACAGGTTTTAAGTGAGTATTTAATTACCTACATTCAGGCAGATGTTGTCACGAGTGAATTCCACAAAAGTTACAGGAGGCTTTATACTTAAAAACTATCATGAAGGTGTTGTCACAGGTAAGTTACACACAGGTTACAAGTGAGAATATACTTACCTACTATCAGGAAGGTGTTGTCACAGGTAAGTTCCATGCATGAAATAGGTGAGTTTATACCATCCGTTATGCTTCCGAGCTTTACTAGATCTTCCAGACTCCACAAGACAATGGATTGATCCCTAGAAGCTGTTAATAAATTTAATGAAACAAGCATGTTGACTTGACATCAGACTTTCACGACGCCTACTGAAAAGACGACATATTTGAGAAATCGATTGAATAAGCATTGAACGTAAACACAATGAAAAACATTGCAACGAAAACATAACAACACACTTCGACTAAAACATATATATATGTATTTATACATTTTTAGCAAACAAAATGACACATCTTCAAAAATATGTGACTTTAATGTAATCTATTTACATGTAATGCCATACAAACACAATCTAGATCGGGAAAAGAGCTTTGACACGTAGACAGTTTTGTCGTGGAAATCTGTATGAAAGATGTCAAAGCGATAAGAAATACAGGATACACAGTGTGTTGATACAAAAGCTTACAGTAATCAGTGTAAAACAACAATAAAACATATCAACAGACGAGTAAAATATCAGTACAATGTGCCAGAGAAGACAAAGCAGGTGTGATGCTTACGAAAATTACCCAATTATAGAATAAATATTGAAAGATAAGGTATCAAGAGGCCTTGACGGTCACATGAGGTAAGCAATATCGAATATATGTAGCTTTACCGTGTCATCATTGCAATATTGATGGTAGTAAAGACTTTAGAGATATGATTTAAGCCCCCGGGAGTCAACCCGGGCCAATATATGCATACATCACATTTTGCCATCTCTAACCAAATTTGATAATTTCCATTTATGCTCATTTTTTTCTATATGAACTAGAGTAAACTTCTCTTCCCAAGGGAGAACTGTGAGACACTAAGGTCAAGAAATTTACAATTTTCATAAAGCATCTTCCTTAAGACTCTCCCATCGTTGAAAAGCATTTTCTTTTACCTTGTTAAGGTGTAAAGATTATTGTTAAAATATGAGTCAATTTGACGCCTTCTGGCTCTGCCCATCAGCGCCTGGAATTCAGCCAGGATCGATATGTGCATATTATCAAGCCGTCATCATATACTTATAATTATATACAAGTTTGAAATATTTCCAAAGGAAATTAATGAATTATTGCAAATGGAAATTAAACAATTTCGGCTTAAAAATATATTTTAAAAAAAGGTATTGTTATAAAATATACACCCTTCCCAAGGTAAAATGTGGGACCTTAGACCACAATTTTGGTAAAGCACTTTAAAAATTGGAGTCAGTTTGACCACATATGACTCTGCGCATCAAAATTACAGTGTATCGGTTAAGAAGAAATTAAAAATGTGAAACAGTTTACGAACGTACGAAGCCAGAAAAAAAATGCGATCGCAATAGGTCACAATGAGACTTCGTCTAAGGTCACCTAAAGTACAGAGACAAACCAAAATTTGTTCTTTAGATATCATTATATGACCATTTTGATATCACACTCCTTATCAGACCGAACGTCCTGATACAAGCAAGAAGGTCGAAGGCTCGAGACTTATATCAAGACTCAATTGCTGATTAGGGCTGTGATATCAAAATGGTCATATGATTGTCTTTTTATCGTGTTTTTTTTAATTATTTGAAATAAACAAACCAAATAAAAAACAATAATCGTCTAAGTTCTTCTAGAGTTTCCCAGCAATCTTTAGTCCTAGTCACCATGCTTAGCTGTTAACGTTTGCAGAAGACAGCTGCATACGTATCACTAATAAGGAAAACCGATACGGAAACGGCACCATGCGGAGATTTGAGTGGGATTCTCAATTACTTTTCGTAAAAAAAAGGCATTCTTCCAGGCCAACAATATCCATGTCCAAATCCAACATCTATAAACGGAAGTGACAAAATATAAAAATAAACGAGAGTGGGTGAGATATCACTTTCTAGGGGGTGTGCTGTCACTTTAAGGGATGTGATAGCACCCAGGCTGATATCAACTGAAATGTCAGACTTGTCGCAAACAATGGTGTCATCAGTAGTAAAAATATGATGATGTAAAATAAAAACGATGTGACAGTCGTGCATCAGGATATGTCATATGAAGATAAACAAAAAGCAGACATTATGATGACGAGAGATAACAGGAGAATACAGTCTGACAATAGGAGGACATGTGATACCAAGGGAACACAGTCTGATAATGGAAGGTGTGATATCAGGGGAACACAGACTGATAATAGGAGGACGTGTGTTATCAGGGGAACACAGTCTGATAATAGGAGGACGTGTGTTATCAGGGGAACAAAGTCTGATAATAGGAGGACGTGTGATATCAGGGGAACAAAGTCTGATAAAAGGAGAACGTGTGTTATCAGGGGAACACAGTCTGATAATAGGAGGACGTGTGTTATCAGGGGAACACAATCCGATAATAGGAGGACGTGTGATATCAGGGGAACACAGTCCGATAATAGGAGGACGTGTGTTATCAGGGGAACACAGACTGATAATAGGAGGACGTGTGTTATCAGGGGAACACAGTCTGATAATAGGAGGACGTGTGTTATCAGGGGAACACAGTCCGATAATAGGAGGACGTGTGTTATCAGGGGAACACAGTCTGATAATAGGAGGACGTGTGTTATCAGGGGAACAAAGTCTGATAATAGCAGGACGTGTGATATCAGGGGAACAAAGTCTGATAATAGGAGGACGTGTGATATCAGGGGAACAAAGTCTGATAAAAGGAGAACGTGTGTTATCAGGGGAACACAGTCTGATAATAGGAGGTGTGACATCAGGGGAACACAGTCTGATAATAGGAGGTGTGATATCAGGGGAACACAGACTGATAATAGGAGGACGTGTGTTATCAGGGGAACAAAGTCTGATAAAAGGAGAACGTGTGTTATCAGGGTAACACAGTCTGATAATAGGAGGACGTGTGTTATCAGGGGAGCACAGTCTGATAATAGCAGGACGTGTGTTATCAGGGAAACAAAGTCTGATAATAGGAGAACGTGTGTTATCAGGGGAACACAGTCTGATAATAGGACGTGTGTTATCAGGGGAACACAGTCTGATAATAAGAGGACGTGTGTTATCAGGGGAACACAGTCTGATAACAGGAGGACGTGTGTTATCAGGGGAACACAGTCTGATAATAGGAGGACGTGTGATATCAGGGGAACACAGTCTGATAATAGGAGGACGTGTGATATCAGGGGAACACAGACCGATAATAGGAGGACGTGTGTTATCAGGGGAACACAGTCTGATAATAGGAGGTGTGACATCAGGGGAACACAGTCCGATAATAGGAGGTGTGATATCAGGGGAACACAGACTGATAATAGGAGGACGTGTGTTATCAGGGGAACAAAGTCTGATAATAGGAGAACGTGTGTTATCGGGGAAACACAGTCTGATAATAGGAGGACGTGTGCTATCAGGGGAACATAGTCTGATAATAGGATGTGTGACATCAGGGGAACACAGTCTGATAATAGGAGGTGTGATATCAGGGGAACATAGACTGATAATAGGAGGTGTGATATCGGAGGAACACAGTCTGATAATAGGAGGGCATGTGATATCAGGGGAACCCAGTTTGACCGTAGAAAGACGTGTGATATCAAGGGAACACTGCCTGACAATAGGATAGCGTGTGATATCAGGAAGACATGCTTAACGTAGGAGTAGTACACACAACTTTGATCACATGTAGCTTAATCTTACAATACACTTTATTTCCTACCTGACGCGAGAATGCTATTAGAACTGTTTAGCCGAACACTTGTCACGCCTTTTACATGCGCCTGTAAGACACAAATCTTCTTTCCCTGGTAACTACAGATGACGACGGTGGTATCGTCAGAACCACTGATTATGTAATCGTACTTGCTAGCAACGATTAATGTATTCACGTCCGCATCATGCTCTCTGAAAAAAATCGTAAAAAAACAGACAGGTTTTATGTACTATGTTGCTTAGTTACAAGGACAAAATGTTGATATTGATTTAGAGAGACGATTTGTATTACAAATCAGACGTTAGAAGTTACATGTGAATTCTTGAACATAATACATAATTGCTATCACTGATGACGAGTATTGATAGACAATAACGAAGAAGACATAATTATCTATGTGATCAATTATAAGATCACAACGCAACGGCCACTGGCAAAACGGTAAAAATGAAAATATAACAAGACAACAAGATACACTTGTCGGTAACTTCCCGAAATGAATAATTGAGGGAGTGGGAGTAGAGGGTTAACAATAGGAGTAGGGGTGAGCGACATCAGGGATTACCTGATTACGGCTGTACACTGGCTGGTGTTAGTATCCCACACCCTTACAGTACCCTCATCGTCACCGCTGACAAAGTCCCTGCCTCCTCGACACACATGAACGCACTTCACTGTACCCTTGTGCCCTGGAAAAATGTCAAATAGGCAATTAAAATAACTTGAACATTTCATAAACTTTTTACTATAACCATTGGTAACACATACAGATAACGGATGTACCCGTAACGACACATTTAATTGATAGTTTAAACTTACCTGAGAACGCCTTGACGATCTTCCCAGTTGACACATGGTATAAAGCTATATCCTGCTGTCTTACACTGCATATCACGTGCTGGCTGCTAAAAACTGTACTGAGAACTCTGCATCCCCAGACATCCGATATGGTGGTCGCGAGGGGCACGAAAGGACTGGATAACCATGAAGTCAATGGTATCAAAAGAGGTAGACTATAAGCGTCACACCATTGCATACACTGGGTAACCAACGGCTCGAGATACTCTTGATAATGTTCTGTCAAATTAAATATGTAAGAGTATCAACATGGGTGCTCTGCTAAGCAGAGTATAAAGAGATCAACAGCAGATGACCAAATATATTGGAGTATTATACAAAGACATCAGTAAGGATCTTATACATCATAGAGACCGACCACATAAAATTACCCTGGATAAGCAATGCTGATCTGAAACAATGGATTGAAGGGTATCATAAGAGCTATAACTGATATTGGTTGGGGCTGGCCACACAAATTTTGAAACCAATTTTTTTTCAGTCGTGTCAAAGAACTGTCAAATTATTGATATTCCAATATAAACACAATGTTTGCGAACAATGACGAAAGATACATTGAAACAAGAAACAATGCTGATATTTTGTCATTATCAAGCCTTTCGATTGCAGTAGTAAGTATAAGTTATAAGATATATGAGAGATAAGCACAACCTGTGATGTGTCTGACGCGTCCGATCAGTTCGTTCGCCAACTGAAGATAGTCTTCGATGAGAATCAGCCGAGACATGTTTAGTGTGTTTGAAACCATGAGGATGTCAGCGTCCAATAGGTTGGAGGTGGTCAATCGAAGGTTGTCAAGTAGAGTTTCCGAAGACTGGGAATGGGCCATAGCCAGCATGTACTCAAAATTACAAAACGTTTTCTCCTTTAGCAATGAGACACTACCTGCGCCGAAAGATACAACATAATATGAAACGAAAATGATCAATGAAAGGCTGTGCTAGTAGTAGTTAAGAAGGAGATCTTATTGATGATTTTATGTTGAAATGATTGTATACAGGCAGCACGAATATCCCATTATCCGTCATTAGAGGAAACATAGAATAGGGACGAGTTGCTTACCCGATTGAAGTAGTTGCATCCAAAGCATGCCAATCCTACGCTGGTTGTATTGGTGTTCGTTGTAGAGGAGAGGCTGAGGACAAACATAGCGGGATGCACAATCAATCATCTGCAGTCCGCGCTCCTTGTCCACAATGGGTTTACCACGTACCCACGTGTCCATAAAGATATCAGCAAGCTCGACTTGGGCCTTACATATGTCATCAACATGACAAAGGTACTTCTTACGCATGATTTCTTGAATACTCGGATGTGCCCATCGGAGCAAGTACTTTCCATGCATAAGGCGGGTACATAACAGACACCCTTGAACAAAGAGGCATTATAAGCAGTGTTTCGATCTGTGAAGGATTGTGAAACCCGATACACTTGTTAACCCATCTAAATATTTGTATTTCCTTTAAAGGCAGACATGGTTACTGCAGTAATTTACGTAATATGCCTACCCCGCTAAATTAAGTTTTCATTCTGTTCAGTGAATACAGATAAATAGCGAAAAAAACATTGAACAAAAGCATACCTAGGTCTTCTTTGACTTGCAGCCACTTGTGAAAGGGGAACCGCAGATTCTTTGGAAGTTCTGTGGGAGTTGTTGCGAGCAGCACATCATTGTTACAAGATAGAACATCCATAATCTCCATCTCACTTAGTCCATCCTTAGCAAGAGTGATGTACCGACACACAGCGCGGACCAACTTACAGCCAAGTGTTTGTTCCAGTCTCGTTAGACGCCTCACCACCAACTGGTCCACAGCTATCGGGGCGGTCAGATCGCTGGGTGTATAATGGGAGGGCATTCTAACGGCCGTTTCTAGTACCAAATTAGAAACTATGGGCATGCGATTCGTTTGGAGCAAATCGCGGAAGGAGCGTTCTTGTTCCTTAGTCAAAACTCTCATTTTCGACTTCAGATTGAACTGGATAGTTGATTTTATCTCATCCTCTGTCCAGTTCGAAAATGCGATCATGTGGTCGTTTGCGGGTGCTTTGTCCTCGAGACGCTTCGTAGCTTGAGTCAAGGGATAGGAATCATAACTAACGAAAAAGTGAACTTTTGCAGGAAGCTTACTGGCTACCCAGTCCAGCATGGCAAGAGGGTCGGTCTCTGTTGTTGGCACTTTCATCCTGTCTATACCAGCTACTGCTAATACTATATGGCGTTTTCCTTTGGAAATTCTATTAAGCAGACCATGAAAGTAGTTTCTGAGTTTACTCATGTTGTAAGATTTTAATGATACGTTCTGCTGTAAAATTTGATTCATATGACTACAAATAGCTCTTAATATGTTTTCACAACACTTTGAATCAGACGTGAGTCCAACAAATCTGGTAATGAGAACTGTATCTTTCCCAAACATTTCTCTCGCTTTATGACATAACTTGGATATAAACATGGATTTACCAGAATTCACAGGTCCTTTGATCATAATAGCATAATGCTCATTTTTAGCTCCAAAAGTCAGCAATTTTTGTACATTTGTCAGTTGATGCTCTACCGCTGCATCGCAAAGCATTGAATTCAGAGACCTGCAATGGTGTAAATGCAATAATGTTTCGTTGTAAAACATGCGTTCGCTGGTTTTTAAACACTGATTGTTTTTGATTATGCAGCTTTCAGCTAGTTCCTTAATTTTTGTTGCTGCAGCACCAGAAAAGTTGTCCATGTACTCTGCATGGTCCTTACAGTTTCCAGGGGTAATGCCCTCTTCTTGCCACTTGATGAGAAACTCGAACCTGTTTGCGGACGGGACCGCGGCGTTGATCTGGTTCTGCAAATCCTCGTACCGCAGTCGTCGCTCATTTGGTTCCTTACCACCAAAAACAGGATTTACCTTGTTCTCGGTGTCAGGAGCATCTACAACAAATAATTGTTTAATTAAGGTGTAGTCGATTGTATTCTTACATAGAATGTTCTTAATCTAGATCTGACGGCTAAATGAAGTGTATTTGTCATTTTAAGTTATAGTTACTGAGACTTATTCGCTCGTATTTAAACGTTGCAGATGAATGTATCATTGTGCTCATGTTGTTGACTTGTAATTGATGTCATAAGTTAGTACGGCATTCAAACAAACTGGAGAGTTAAAACAGTGTTCAATGTATCACATCTCTTCCGTATCTAATTCTAAATTCATCTATAAAAATATATATTCATTTGTATGTCATTTATACAATCTCCAATCATACTTGCTTCCTTTGATATGAGCAGTTGGTGAACATCTTACCTTCGATCGTTCGCTCGATGAAGATGCAGCCTTCTGGCGACAAGTTTATGGCTTTCTGTATCTGTAGGTCTAGGCCTGTAATGATGAACTTTTAATATGTAATCATATACGGAGAATTTATCAGTTATGAAATACTTTAGAATTAGTGTGTCCTTATTTTACAACATGAAGTACAAGCAATGAGAAATAAAAAAAGACAAAAAACATTGAAATATGATAAATACACAGAATGTTATCTGGTGTTTTTGATAGGATTAATGCTCAGTAGTGCGTTAAACACATCCAATGAAATATAACAGAACTGATAATAAATTTTAAATCTTGGTGTTATCATACACCAGAAAACGGTAACGATTCTTTATGACATCAGAGTGTGAAGGTGTAGGTATGTGTATAAAAACAGGTAGAACACCTGATGAGAGATTCTTCTGCAATACTTTTGCTATATCCTGTTGTTTGGAGGATTTGGACAAGCCGCATTTGACTGACATGGTGAGGATATCCAACAGGATTGGGTACACTTCGTCTCTCTCCGTCTCCACGTTGACAGTTTCCTTTGCATCCCTGCTGTCAGAGTAATCACGGTATTAAACACGCCTATAATTCATCTAATTTTTGTCACATTAGTACACATAACAAACATATACATGTGTACATTATGAGCAATTAATAAATTCTAGCCTTGTTTTGTATAATATATTGCTTGTACATTGACGAAAAAGTATATTTAGAGAATGAAGAATGACATTGTTTACACTGATACGATGTATAACAATATACATTGTTTACAATGATATGATGTATAACAATATACATTGTTTACACTGATACGGTGTATAACAATATACATTGTTTACACTGATACGACGTATTACAATATATATTGTTTACACTGATACGATATATTACAATATATATTGTTTACACTGATACGGTGTATAACATTATACATTGTTTACAATGATATGATGTATAAAAATATACATTGTTAACACTGATACGATGTATAACAATATATATTGTTTACACTGATACGATATATTACAATATATATTGTTTACAATTATACGATGTATTACAATATATATTGCTTACATTGATACGATATATTACAATCTACATTGTTAACACTGATACGATGTATTACAATATACATTGTTAGCAATGATATATCATAATAATATAGATATCACCTACACTGATACGATGTGTAAGAGATATGTTTTACACAGATACGTTGTATGAAAAAACATAAGAAAAGCCGTCTTTTTTCCAGTAGAAAGAGTAGTCCCGTCATATGTCCCTGTTTATTGTTGATACTTTAACACCTACCTCTGGAACGGGTCAGTAAAGGACTGGAGATAGTACTGAGGAGGTACAGAGTTTTCATCCAGTATGTACCATTTTTCAAGCACGCTAACATCTGAGTAAACAAATTTGAAAGGTGTTAGATTAAAATGAATTTCATTTATCGTCTTAATCCATAGCTTTTGTAGACACACAATCACCAGCTTTTGTAGACACACAATTTGAAATAATCATAATGGTAACAGACTTGTGCCACACATATTGGGAATGATGTGCCACTGATTTCTTATTAACACAAACACTTTGGTAGTAGCAACAGAGACATGAAGACTTTAGCAATGATAAAACGTTAAATATCTAATAACACAAAAACTTGGACACTTAGGTTAGGACTATTGAAACAATAAGATAAGTCAGCGAAACTCACTTTTCCCTTCGTCGATGGCATATTTTTTCAGATAGTTGAATTCTTTGATCGTAAGGCAAAGTGGAAGGGGGGCATCTCCATACGTATTTCCGAACAAGCACTAAATGATTCAAACAAGTGCTCAATCATAAACATATTAATACATAAACATAAGTTCACAATCAGAGACAGAAGCAACAAAATATCACATAGCCATTAAGTTATTTGAATGAAAACCTCTAGAACATCAACACAAGCACGCAGAATCGTACAGAAACACTTCAGTTTATATCAATGCTATATGTTGTTACTAACTTGTTATAACTCTATTGGTTCCGTTATTGTAATGTTATCAATCTTATGGTAGTAAAGACGAACTTGCTGTTCTAAGACATTTGTAAAAATAGCAAAATAGTCAGTACCTGGTCTTTTGTAAATCAAGCAAAAGGAAATAATGTAACAAACAATGACAAAACCTTACAGGGTTTCATTATGTATGTCAAAAATACCAATTTGTGTTACTGTGTTATCAGATTGCTTAATCATGAATTTTCTTCAGCCTGACAGCACAAAAAGCATTTATTTCGTATACAACACTAAAGAGAAGTCTGAACCTCCTCAAGATAAGCTATAACAAACCAATAATTTGTAAAATTCTAACATAAATTTGGTAAAAGTAGGTCAAATATAAACAAAACCAAATTTACACGAAGACTCATGAAAAATCAAGGAGAAAAAGACCAGGTGTTTAAAGAGTCAGTGTCTTCTTCATTTATGTAAACCTTGGACATCCAATTGAGCAGTTTCATCTACCCAAATGAGAACAAGATTGAGTACATTAAAAACGTATAACGTTTCAGTTCCTTGGCTGCCTCAGTATTTTCATATGTCTCGAATTTACGACTTTACAATGAGAATATTTTGTCTATCAATTAATATATGACTAAATCAAGAAATAAGGGAATAAATAATTACAAACATTGTCGTGTTTTTCTAATGCTTCGGGTTAGATCAGTGTATGAAAACAATATTTTATTAAAGAAAATGGTAATTATAAAGAACGACTTCTACACAATGGCAACGATCGATGAATCTCACACGTAACACCGACAATCTCCCACAGCTTATTACGTCTGTCTGAGGTCTAGAAAAAATAGAGTTTATCGAAATCCCGAGGGGTTTCTTCGTCGCAGAAGATATGAGGTCCCTGCAGGAAAGTCGTGGCGAGTTAATGACATGGTGTCATTCCGATTATCAAAGTCAGGCTAGTTTAATCCAGGTTTTGCAGAAATCAGCATTTGTGTCACAACCGAAAATGAATAAATGACCTTGATAATGTCATCTGAAAGTTCAAAATTATGTGCGTTCCAACCTCATGTCACACCACCGACCGTATTTACTAAACTCTAGGGTGCCAATAATCGATGATGTCATATGTGTGAATCATCTATCCTTTATTTATATCCTTTCCTAATTGCCTGTCCCATCTGTATTAACCGTTATTGCAGTTATTTTGATCGTCCCTAGAGAATGAAATTCAAAAATATCTAAGACCCAATTACCTTTTATCGTACTGATACTTTGATTTATATCTCTTACAACCGTTGTTAAAACCGCCACATTTCTTTCATTACACACAATATATGTTCAGTTGGAAAAGACAGAAAAAAGACGACCGCTGCGTATAATCATAAGAGTTACATATTCGTCAGGTCTTATTCACTCAAAATGCCTTCAACATGGTCAAACCAACGGAACATGAGGACTCCCTGAATGGTCGTTGATTGTAGTGGTAACATACTCGTCTTCCTACTAGGCGACAGGTTTCCGACAACATGGGTTTCATCCGGTTAACCCAGTTTCCCATAGTAAAATATTTTGTTTACCCTATGTACGATTCAATGCAAAAGAGCGAGAGTGTTTCGTGAATGATTTAAAAATGAATAGTTTACATTTAATGACTTTAAATAAAAACAACCCGCAACCGGAACCACACAGACGTATACTTCGAGCCACAATATACGAGACACGACTAAACACGTGTGCTGAAATGTAGTAGACAGTTACACTGGCCACTTTTTCTTCGATAGATGTAGTGGTGAAATGAATAAACAAACCGAGAATATAATCGATCGTGTTTTTTCTGTATATTGAAACAACGAAGAAAACATGGCAAATTACAGTGTTATACAGACCAAAAATTAATAACAATGGTCCCATTGTTGTCGAGTCAATCCTAACAAAGGGCAGATGTAGATTTCTAAAATGTTCAAGGAATTATCTACTTGTTTGTAACGTTTCTGGAATTACAAGCCCCATCCTAACGGCAAATGGAAAAACCAAAGTGGCATCCGTATAGAAAATGGAGTAGACAAAGTGGCATCAGTTAAGCAAATAAAATCCTTAGCAAACGAAAAAACCAAAGTGGCATCTGTTTAGAAAATCAAACTCTTGGCAAATGTAAAAACCAAAGTGGCATAAGTATAGAACATCAAACTCTTGGCAAATGTAAAAACCAGAGTGGCATCCGTAAAGAACATCAAACTCTTGGCAAATGTAAAAACCAAAGTGGCATCCGTATAGAAAATCAAACTCTTTTCAAGAAAGAATGTAGGACAGAGTTCTGGCAATTACTTGGCACTATTATACCTAATTCATAGCTATCGTTGTTCGATCGTGTTGTATAATCATTCGGGATGGGGGGGGGGCATAGTTCAATAGTAAAGGAAGGACATAAATATTCCTTCAACATTCCATACTGATATAGTATAATTCAGGCGACAAGTACGTCTGATCATGGAAACACCTCGTCATGTCTACAATAATTCAGACAAGTACGTCTGATCATGGAAACACCTCGTCATGTCTACAACAATTCAGACAAGTACGTCTGATCATGGAAACACCTCGTCATGTCTACAATAATTCAGGCGACAAGTACGTCTGATCATGGAAACACCTCGTCATGTCTACAACAATTCAGACAAGTACGTCTGATCATGGAAACACCTCGTCATGTCTACAACAATTCAGGCGACAAGTACGTCTGATCATGGAAACACCTCGTCATGTCTACAATAATTCAGACAAGTACGTCTGATCATGGAAACACCTCGTCATGTCTACAATAATTCAGGCGACAAGTACGTCTGATCATGGAAACACCTCGTCATGTCTACAACAATTCAGGCGACAAGTACGTCTGATCATGGAAACACCTCGTCATGTCTACAATAATTCAGACAAGTACGTCTGATCATGGAAACACCTCGTCATGTCTACAATAATTCAGACAAGTACGTCTGATCATGGAAACACCTCGTCATGTCTACAATCATACAGTGTCCGTTTTTTAAAGCTTTATTAGACGTAGCCAGCGGGAAGTAAAAAAATAAATGGTCGCCAATAAGAAATTCCGAGCTTTAAAAGGAAAATTATCACTCAAAATCTTCAAAAATGTCCTGTCTGAAGAAATCTATAGCTGTCGAATTATACAGAATGTTCTCGATTTGTTTCATTACTAATTGATGTTTCACAAACCACTAGTTACCTCAGGCGAAACAATTGGGCGCAGAATTCCAACAGAACTGAATCAACAGATATCATATTGCCAAAGGGTAACATAGCCATACATTTAATTCGAAGGTAGTCATGGAAACAGTAATCTGCTGTTATGTCTCCTTTAGGATCATTGATATCTCCAGAATTGACAACCACCAGTCGTCCCGCGAGACTGGTGGTGCTGTCGGCAAGATGGAGGATTGTGAGGTCACAATTAACTATCACGTTAATCTGTGGTTGAAAAGTTGTATGTGCGAAACAGTGAGACTCGTTCCCGGTACGCCATGGGGAATGTTGGTCGCTTATAACATTTCTTACGCTATTTCTAGTCATGTTATTATTCTATATCTATATATTGTAGTTTACTAATCAATGAAATGTTAGCGTGTGTCAGTCAACTAATGAACCTTCTGAGGCAGTTGTACTTTAATAATCAGACGTCCATTGATATAACAGAGAAATAATTTCCTAATTCAAGACACATTGTAATATTTTAATTGATTTCTTCATAAATAACGGAAATTTTAAAAAAAAAAGTTGAATTTAAATATAACAGTTAAATATAACACGAATGAACAAGTTGATGGGAGGTGTTGTAATTAAGATTTCCAAGGATGTCATTGTATATGAGAAGCAGGGAATTTACGTCATAAAAGAACCAATATTTTGTAATATGTAATACCCGTGTCTACAAGATATACACACATGTACTTACTCATGTTAACTCCTTACACTCGCAGAAAACAAGTAATGAAGACAAGCGGAGCAGTCGTTACATGTATTTCTGGTAAAACCCCCTGGATAAGTGTGTATAACGATCAACCGCACGCAGCTGTAAAGAATGTCCTGATCTCTGAATGGATTTTCAGGAGGACTGAACTAACGTAATGGTTGTTCTAGGCTGCTTTGACCACAATTTCCGTGAATTAAACATTGTTCTATTTTGTACTGGTTGTCTAACATGTTTTAATTAATTGTTTGGGACATCAACGTAGACAAAAGGGAAAGAGTAGATATGGACTTCGACAAGTTTCCAGAACTAGGAGTTATGTAAAGTTGTCTTTGAGTAAGTCGGTTAGGATTTCAATGTATATATTCTAGTATACGACATGTGTGATTAAAAACTCATTTCAGAAAATGTAAAGCCAATTGAATAGTACGCATGGAGTTAGTTTGAAGATTTCACTAATGATATCTCTCCATTGAAAGTTGAATTTTATTGTAATTTCATTCACTTACACATAATGAATGTAGTGTAAGCACGATTACCCATCCATTTAAGCGGCTCGTTTAGTATTTTGCATGGTTTTCATCGGTGAAGCTTAAAATTCGTTTCGTGAATCAATTATTCAGTTCTCACAAAAATAACATATTTGAGGAAATAATTCTTTACATTTCACCCGCAGCAATGTTACAATATATCAAATTACCAAAAAGAATGGACCAATAGATGTTTCATAGCTGTGCTCTATTTCTGACAGATGTCTGAAGAAGCCGTGCGAGTCCGTAACTTGATCCGTCTTCCTTCCATGTTGAACGTCTGCCCAAATAAGGTCAAGACCGTGCTGAACACAGAATTTCTGAAGGTAGGGAACGGCGTCATTCCATAAACGCGTTCGTTCCAACTCAAATTCTGTTCAAAAGAAATTGAATACAAACCTTCAGAATATGTGATAGCATGGTACACTAAAAAAGGCTGTTAGCACAACAAACTAAATGATTTTTTACCTAGAGGTTAAATCAAGGGGACTAAATGGTCAAATTTTCTTTTCAATATCTGTTAAAAGTTGTGAACTTTCTGTTAATTATAATAATCAAAAGTTTACATAACTTTTTGATAAACACGTCAAACAAATAAAAAATAAAATAGAACAGCAGCGACCAACCATTAATTCATATCACTATTGTTCGAAGGGTTTAAACAATGTCATTGTGCAATGCATGAAAGTTATAACAGAGAGGCAAGTTAAAAAGTGGTTCCGAAAGGTCACGCGATGAGCCTCGGCGAGTGTCGACCAGTGTTAGTTTGAGACTGATAATCTTTATCAAATTTTCTCATAAAACGCTATAATTTTGTGATTATTCTCATTTTAAGTATTAAAACGCTTGCTCGAAATCAAACGCCTGGAAAAAAGTCATGAAATCTAACCATTTAATCCATTTAATGTTATAGAACTTCAATCACGGTTATCATTCACGACCAAGCATTTATCTAAGACTTCAACCAAGGCTAACTCACCATTATATTATATTTTATTAAAGACAAATCTTCTATAAAGAGCTGCATTCAAAGCTATGTTTCACGACTACTAATTTGTCAATGACTTCAACAAAGGTATAATACTTTAACTCTGATTACAACCAATGTTATCAACTGTAATCAATTTATGTAGGACTCCAAGCAAGGTTATCGTTAACCAAGTGTTTAGGATTTAATTAATGCTATCGTTAAGCACGTGTCGAGGATTTAAATAATCCTATCGTTAAGCACGTGTTGAGGATTTAAATAATCCTATCGTTAAGCACGTGTCGAGGATTTAAACAAGAAGCCCAGAGGGCCTGTATCGCTCACCTGGATCCTTATGACCAACAGTACTGTATCTGTGCATATGTTCCACAGTAGATGGTTAAAGCAATATGACTATTTTTTCACACACTATGTGGGCACCATTAAGGGGACCTTTTGGCCAAATATTATGATCCTAGGCCTTTAGGTTGACCAGAAATTGTTCAAAGGTTTAACACATTTGACTGTTGTGACCTTAAATATGGGTCAAGGTCATTTCTGTTCTCAAATATTACCGGGCATCATTGAGAACCTATTTCAGAATAATATCACCCTCATAGACGTTTTGGATAATCAGAAAATGTCATTTAAAGGTTTAACACATTTGACCCCTGTGACCTTGAAGATTGGTCAAAGTCATTTCTTTTAGCAAACTTTGTAGTACACCATAAGAGGGACATAGTAGCCTAATATAATGATTTTAGACCTTATGGTATTTGGGGAGATGTCGTTAAACGGTTTTAACACATTTGACCTTTGTGACCTTGAAAATGGGTCATGGTTATTTTTTTCGCAAACTTTGTTGGGCTTCATCAAAGAAACCTTCCAGCCATATATAATGATTCTAGGGTTTCCGGTATTTTGGAACAAGTCGTTTAAAGGTTTTATCCCATTTGACTACTGTGACCTTGAATATGGGTCAAGATCATTTCTTTTTGCAAACTTTGTTGGGCTTCATCAAAGGAACCTTCCAGCCAAATATGATAACTCTACGCCTTTCGGTATTTCAGAAGAAGTTGTTTAAATGAAAAGTTGACGGATGCAGGACGGACAGACGACGGATGGACGACGGATGGACGACGGACGTACAACGGACGCCACGCTATGGCATAAGCTCACTTGGGCCTTTGGGCCGGGTAAGCTAATAATGCTATCGTTAACTAAATGTCTAGGATTTAAATAATACTATCGTTAACCACGTGTCTAGGACTTAAATAATGCTATGGTTAACCACGTGTCTAGGATTTAAATAATGCTATGGTTAACCACATGTCTAGGACTTAAATAATGCTATGGTTAACCACGTTTCTAGGACTTAAATAATGCTATCGTTAACCACGTGTCTAGGACTTAAATAATGCTATCGTTAAGCACGTGTCTAGGACTTAGGTAATCCTATCGTTAACCAAATGTCTGGGATTCAAATGATCCTATCGTTAACCCCGTGTCTAGGACTAAAATAATGCTATCATTAATAACGTGTCTAGGTTTAAAATAATGCTATCGTTAACCACGGGTCTAGGATTTAAATAATGCTATGGTTAACCACATGTCTAGGACTTAAATAATGCTATGGTTAACCACGTTTCTAGGACTTAAATAATGCTATCGTTAATAACGTGTCTAGGTTTAAAATAATGCTATGGTTAACCACGTTTCTAGGACTTAAATAATGTTATCGTTAACCACGTGTCTAGGATTTAAATAATGCTATGGTTAACCACATGTCTAGGACTTAAATAATGCTATGTTTAACCACGTTTCTAGGACTTAAATAATGCTATCGTTAACCACGTGGCTAGGATTAAAATAATGCTATCGTTAACCAAGCGTCTAGGATTTAAATAATGTTATCATTAAACACGTGTCTAGGATTTAAATAATGTTATCATTAAACACGTGTCTAGGATTTAAATAATGTTATCATTAAACACGTGTCTAGGATTTAAATAATATTATCATTAAACACATGTGTCGGACTTAAATAATGCTATCATTAAACACGTGTGTCGGACTTAAATAACGCTATCGTTAAACACGTGTGTCGGACTTGAATAATGTTATCGTTAAATACATGTCTAGGATTGAAGTAATCCTATGGTTAACCACGTGTCTAGGATTTTAATAATGCTTCCGAATTGATTTATAAAGCATTTCATCATCAACGACAGATAAAACCTAATATAATAATATAACATAAATGTCAAATATCTTATAAAGAATGTCACTCACTCAATCCTTAATGCATCCTTGATGCAGGACTTGCTCTTTAATCCCGTCCTGATGACATATAAACTTACTCTGCGTTCTAGTGATACCATGTATGGATAGTTTCCATATCTATATCAAACATTAACGTTAATCAATATTGGCGCGTAGGAAGCCACATATTTTGAAGATTACGAATGTGTTTATTTCTAGCTTCAGCTATTTCCTTTATGTGCCAGTAAATGATATACTGAGCTTGTCTTTGACATGATGTCCAGAGTCACAATAACTCCGATAAACATCAGTACTCGCAAACATCTAAGATAATACTATAACTAAAGTTGATGTACCGTTTAGACCATCCAGTTTCACATTTTAAAATACGATTACTTTGTCTGACAAGACTGAACCCTACTTTCTTAACACGTTTGAGAGTGTTTGAAGTCTTAACGAGTATTTCGGCATTTCCTGTGACACTACTCACCCGACTTGTTGCAACAGACGTAAACCTTCAGGGTTTTAGCGGGAAGTGGTGGCAGGAGGTCCAGTTTTCCGCACAGCACACAAGCTGTATTGTCTTTTTCTATAGAAATGCTCTTTTTGCGGTCCATCTTCTTAAGATAGTGTTGAGACCAGCAATGACTGGAAGTAGACAGATAAAACGTAAATTCACACCTTGGGAGGTCTAAACTGTTTCTCTTCTAAAAGGCTGGTGGAGCAAAGGGGTTACAATGGAAGTCATTATCAACTAATTGGTACACGGGTTTGTTTGGGGACATGAGGACCAAAACGAGAGACACGTGGAATATAGCACGTCAGAACTACCACTATCCTTCGGTCCTAAGGGCATAGCACGTCATTATAAAATTTTGAATGTGGTGTTCCCGGCATTATAAGATTTTAAAAATAATGTTCCCGGCATTATTAGATTTTAAATATGGTGTTCCCGGCAATGTCAGATTTTAAATGTGGTGTTCCCGGCATTATCATTTTTTAAATGTGGTGTTCCCGGCATTATAAGTTTTTAAGTGTGGTGTTCCCGGCATTATAAGTTTTTAAGTGTGGTGTCCCCGGCATTATAAGTTTTTAAGTGTGGTGTCCCCGGCATTATCAGTTTTTAAGGTTGGTGTTCCAGGCATTATCAGTTTTTAAGTGTGGTGTTCCCGGCATTATCATTTTTTAAGTGTGGTGTTCCCGGCATCATAATTTTTTAAGTGTGGTGTCCCCGGCATTATCAGTTTTTAAGTGTGGTGTTCCAGGCATTACCAGTTTTTAAGTGTGGTGTCCCCGGCATTATCAGTTTTTAAGGTTGATGTTCCAGGCATTATCATTTTTTGAGTGTGGTGTTCCCGGCATCATAATTTTTTAAGTGTGGTGTCCCCGGCATTATCAGTTTTTAAGTGTGTTGTTCCAGGCATTACCAGTTTTTAAGTGTGGTGTTCCCGGCGTTATCAGTTGTCAAGTGTGATGTTCCCGGTATCATAATTTTTTAAGTGTGAGGTCCCTAGCATTATCATTTTTTACGTATGGAATCCCGGCATTATCAAATTTCTACTTTAGGATCCTCTGTATTCCTTGAGTGATTATTTGAAGTTGAAACGAGTTACTTTAGCAGGACATTACAGATAGATTCTTTTATTTTTTTTAACTACATGATTGTATACACAATAGCAAACACGTACAAACACATGGTTTTAATGTGTGTTATATTCCCAGTTAGATAATGATACGATGATGTTTAATCAGAGAAAAGGTGTGCGTTTAGACATTCATGAAGTTAAAGTTTAGGTGAAAAATACACTTATGTGACACATCATAATGAGGTAATTCGTCATTATTTGTATTTTAGTGTTCTTGAAATTTTCTGATAGACATTGGGTACAAATCTACAACACAAAGTTAGTTCAAGATAATACATACTTGACCTGGCATACATATCAGCAGTAACGTGACTTATTAAAGACGAGGTAAACGACCTTCACAGTACATCAAAATATCAACACATTCTGATGTACCGACATAGTATTAACTCTTAAATCAAGAACGTCTCTAGATTTTGAAATTATAAAAGAAAACCTTAAAAATAATCATTTTTTATGACTTATATTAGTATATTGTTACGCCCTATCTTCTCCATCACAGGGTTTTGCACGAATTCCAAACCCACGGTCCATATATATGTATGTATTATAGTCAATATGATACATTTATTTTTATGGACCGCGGGTTTGGAATACATGCCAAGTGCCTACGTCCTCCACACCAGTGTAGTGACTTAGAAGTATTACTTAAGCGATAAATTATATACATGTACATACGTATAAAATGTGTAGAGATGAATTATATCTATCTAAACCAATAGAAAATCCATCTCGTAATACATCCATCGACCTTTATACTTACCAATCTGTCGACACGGAGCTATATACTGACAGCGATTATCGGTCCTTGAATTACGTCTCGACCGGACTGCGAGTGTACCCAAGTGTCGACATCTATTTTGTACAAAACAGCCATGTCTTCAGAAAAGCGATTTAATTGCACATGAGTTTGGTGGCAAGCAACCTTCGTTAGTCAAAACAGACAGGGATCGATAGAACCGAAAATATTTCCACTACTATTTGTGTATGACATTTAGATGTAATTCCTCCTTATTATTAACACCATCCGTCAGCAATTTATCATTACAATCATAAAAAGACAGCATCGAACAGTTTAGCGGCAGTTGTCATCAATTTTCCAGTTATCCGTGTAGAAGGGTTTCTGTCTATAACCTGTGTCTCCATCACCTTATCCATTTATGAGTGTACAGTGCTATACATCTGTATGAAGACTTTACTGCTACGAGACACGATGTTAGCACAGCCAGCCTCGGTGTAATAAAGTTTATGTTCATTATCACTCAGGGCTCGTACGTCATTGAGCACGTCATGGCATTAGCTAAGACCTTGCATGACCTGACTACCACTTTGTCGCAGTCAGGTGTAAATCTTCAAATCTAATTACCTAAAGATGCATTTCTATAATACCAACTATCCGTCTTTATTTCAGCGAAATTTTCCTCGTTTATATAATTTTGCCTAGAATATGATGCTTAAATCAAATATAATTATTTTATTAATTCAGTTGAGTGGTAGATAATGAGTGGACACAGTAAACCAGAATTGCTGTCCTCTTCAAGGACTTCTATATCCGGTTGACAATTAGGAATGGATGTTTTATTCAAGAGATACATATCACAAGAAAAGTGCATTGTACATGTATATTGTAAATATAGAAAGTGGAAGATAATTCAATACTGCCGGAGCCATAATGACTTCTATATTTTGTGATAATCGTGACACTAATGATGAATGTTATTTTATCAAATGTAGCGCCCTTCATGATGAACACAAACCGTCAATTGTATTACGATTGGCCCAGGTAATAATACTCAGTTATGAGTAGTATTATTGACATTCCGATACACTTATCAGGGATCTTCAGCATATCTTTACTGTTATATTGAGTTGTTTATTATACTTGATTTTCAACAGTCAAATTTCGCCTGGTGATACGCATTTGTCGGAATATTAGAGTAAGATGGTGAGACCTAGTTCATATTATACAAATCAACGGTACTATAAAGAAAGAAAATGAACGTTTCTTGTCACTGGATAATGCACACTTTGATTTTCATGTTTTCGCTATTCAGGTTTTTTTTCTCTCCTTCACGATATGTCGGCGTAAAAATGCATAACGTCTTTATTTTAATTTGCATTTACTAATTATGGACATCCAGACGGAAATCAAGAGTCATTTCTCTCTTTTACCTCACAAACAGACACCAGTAAAATGCTAAGTTGATGACCCAAATAAACACTATATTGTAACAATTAAAAGTTGTTTAACTATACGAAAGCTCCACGTCATCAAGACATCCATTTTACGGTAACTGCATTGAACTTGTACACGGACAATGTGTACTTGCTATAATTAGTGCAAACATCCTCCAAGAAAGCAAATTGTATTACCGGTTAAAGACGCGACATTTTACGACAGCTTCAAGCACTAAATAAAAAATGTTCGCTTTACGACATTTAAGAGAAAAAATATCCGTTTCCCGCAAGCTAGCTTTACAGCTAATAAAAGACCTAATTTACGACTGTTGCAAAACAAGCGTACAATGTATAGGACGAAGTTCAAATGCACATTTCAGGAAAGAAGCAAATTGTACGTGCGTATTAAATGTACATGTATGCAATTTACATGTGCATAAGATCAAATGTCCGCTTTACGGCAATAATAGGTACTTACGATTAGATGCTCCTTCTACGACAGTTACAGAACTACAAATAAATGTCGTTTTACGACAGTTACGGGTATTTACGATTAAATGTCTGTTTTACGACAGTTACAGGTACTTACGATTAAATGTCTGTTTTACGACACTTTAGAGGTACAGTCTGTTTTACAACAGTTACGGGCACTTACGATTAAGTGTCTGCTTTACGACACTTTAGAGGTACAGTCTGTAGTATGATAGTTACTGGTATTTACGAGTAAATGTCTGTTTTTCGACAGATAGGTACAAAAACGACTAAATAACAAATGTTAACAAGATCGACTTTTCACGGTACGAGTTAATGGTACTGACGATCGAATGCCCGCGTTACAGGTAAGCGCGAATCAGTGTGTACTTTACGACAGGCACACTGTACGGGTACAGAGGATGTGATACACTTTAATTTCACGTATTCATGTGTAAAATCAGGAAGAAAACATGTACTTGTCGACTGTCGAACAGGAAGAAAATGAGAGACTATTGAATAATACAAATCACACCGACCCAGTTTTCAGTACTACTTCCCGTTTTCATTTCCTAGGTTACATTGTACCAGTGGGACTTCGCCTGTCACCAATCCAAACGAACGAGGAAACAATTCTTGATTCATTTATTCAATTCATTTACATGAAGATATCGTGAACCGGGAAATATTGATGGTCAGTACCCATATTTTTAATCGGACATGGGGTCTCCGGCTTATACATGTACAACGTATATCCGTTATTCAAGGTATTTACACGCTTGAACAACCTCTTGTACTGACGATTGCTAAATAAACAAAATGTTGAAATATGGACTGAAAGTCAGTTCAGACTCGTTTTTTTTATTGTCATGGTGCTATGAAAGGTCAACGGGTACATCCATATTGAAAACATTATGATGTAAAATGTATTTTTCGCACCGAAAAAATTCTTGCCGATCGGAAAATCTGTACATAACTAACAGCTTTCTGCGGTGATAAGCTCGTGGTCACTTCGTAATTGTTAAAACAACACACAACAAAAGGAAATATAGTCTGTTTGAGAAAATTTATTTATGGGCCATTTCGTGTCGTTTCTATTAAAGATTTTGTACTTTCTCATTTAGAACGTTTAAAAAAGAAAAGTTGATGGTAAGGCAGGTAACCAGTCTAATCTTCAAGCGGACGACAGAAGTGACGATATTTCATTGTTCTTAAGCAATAACTCACAAAAAATATTTCTTTAACTTCATATATATATATAATTGTTTTGCTTCATTTTTGAAACATTTTTTATAATCTTTTTTTCGTGCATTATTTTTTAC